ATTTGGCGAAAACCGAATAGAACTAAATCAAATAAAATCAAGATCTATAGTATACACGGATAGTGTCATGTTATAGTTTGTGGATGTTTCTCATTTCAAATTTGGAGACCTCGATAGTTCTATCGAGATTATTGGGCAATATTCTGAAAAGAAGTCAACGATTAAGGATTGAAAATTCATAAATATATATATTTAAACAAGATAATGATCTCAAATATATAGCGCATAAGACCAATAAATGGCCTTTATATTATTATCAAAAGGATCACAACTACTCCTCCAATTCCAAATCCTAATGTTATCGAAAATGCATGTTAAATTCTATAGAACTAAAGATCCGAAAACAAAATTACAACTTCAAAAACATCTAACAAAAATTTTACACGGAAAGTGGCATAAAATCGATCCTGGTTGTTTTAAATAACTCTTCATCTATTTAATAAACGCCCACAAGCATTTATAGACATCCATGCGTAATTAAAACACTGATTGTTTAAAAAAATAATTTAAATTTTAGGCGGTCTCATTAAAATAAGTTTTCATAAAAAAATTTGTATAAAATTATTTCATGACAATTTGAATTAAATCCAAACTTTGACTTGTATTTATTACTTCTATTCGCCAATTTCTCTATTTTGTAAAATATTTTATTTAGGGAACAGTCCATAGACATCATTTACTGATTGCGTTACAAAAAGTTTGTAGCACTGAATTAGTTTAGATATGACGTCAGTTGAATCAGTTCTAAACGGCAAATGTGTGACAGGGGGGGATTCACGTTGAGTGTTCATGGAGGTTTTACTAGTCTATATAGACATTTAAAAAAAAATTAAGTTATTAGTCAAAAATGTTTCTTGGTTTTAAACTTGAACAGTTGAGTTAATCCACAGTTCTGCTTAGAAAGTGTAGAGTTGCTTAGAATACAAGTTCCTCTTAAATTTTAGTAAGTTCAAAATATATTTGTTTATTTACGTTTAGAAAATATTGTTATGAGTGTTATTTGTTTGATAATGTATAGCTAATTTAGATCTCCTCAATAAATGTGTTTATGATGACTAATAAGTCAGCTATTTTTATTGTGATACAAATTTAGAAGTTCATTATTGTAGTTTATTAACATTTTGTGATGCATTACTTTGGTTTTTATCATTATTTCAAAATCTAACCAGCAAAATAATTATTTTAATTATTGGACGTTTATAAATAATCATAGATAGAGGAAGTAATGGGTTGTGCTCCACAGTTAAAAATAGAAACACACTGTGTGGGTAGTTGATATAAGTTGACACTTATTAATTTTGCAGTTATTCTCTAGATTTTTCTGTCTGCAAATCGTCTATTCTCCCTTATTATTATTTATAAGGTTTTTAATAATTTATTTAATTTATCTCAACTTATCTTTGAATGATTACTCTTATGATAACAGTAGAGAGTCAAGGTGGGCTATTTTTACTTTTTTCTGTTATGTCCCACTATTACTGTAACTTCACTTTCAACAGATTATTTTGAAATTTAAGACTTATTTATAAATTTTACAAAGGTCAGAAGAATTAATATTTGGTTTGGATTGTGTTATTTCTTATAAAAATATATATTTTTTGAAGTCCCAAATTGTTGTAATTTGATCTTTCTTAATAGTTAGGCTAACACCGTGTTTTTTTAATTGCCAAAACCCCTTCCTATAATTTTTCCAATTTTGTTAAAGCAATTTTTATTGTCAATTCTTAATGCATATATTTTATTTTTGTATTGAGTTATGAAGTTAACTTTGTTTGACTTGTAATATAACATTTTGTAATTGATAATTGTAGATGACAAATAATTAAAAAAAAAATAAAATGTTATAATTTTATTGTCCTTTCTACTGCACAAGTTGTCCAATTTGAAAATGACAGTTTTTAATTAAATTAAAAATTTTGTTGTATAAGATTTTGGTTAAAGGATAGTTTGCTTAAGTTATAAAGGTTAAGATCGTTCTCTATACTAGCTCTAGTAGGATTATAGATTCATTGTTTTGCCCTAGTTACTGTACCATTCCGGAACAGTGTTGAATAATTTGCTATTAAAGGGTTGAGGCCTTCTATTTTGTCTATGTTTTTATAGATAAATGTCAAATTGACTGCTGAATACTTCTAAATTATTTATTAAAAAAGTGTTTTAACATTGATACCAAATGATTAAAACAATTTCGTTCTTATTCTTAGCTATGTTTGTTTGGAACACTCATTTCTTTTTATTTTAGTATATTTTTAGATCTTAAATTGTGTTGTAACATCTTGTTTACAACTTTGAATTGCTATTGACATATACAATATTAGTCCATATTTAAGTTGGCACTTCCCTTTTAAAAAATAAAGAAAATAAAATAAAATAATTATGTATGATTGATCCTATGTATATGTAGTATACTCCGAATTTTCTGTACATACCAATAAATTTTTAAAAATATATTGCATACAATTTTAGAAGGCAGTAATGAAATCAATCTATAGTAGGTTTAATATTAGATAGCTAGAGGGCAAACTTATTCAACACTGAGTTAAAACTAAAAATTTTTCCTTTTCTTCGATTTTATTTTGCAAAACATTTAGAAACACATAGGTATATTACAAAATGATATTGTAATCTTGAAATATATATACTTAATTGTAAATATTGGGAATCAAGAGAAAAAGGATTAAATTAAGAAAGTTAGTTTAAGCTTAGTGTCACATGAGTTTACCCTCGGGCTGTCATGATTATATTTTACCCTATGGTAAAAGCACCAGAAGCTGACAGAGTACCAATTCCTGACATCTACCTTGAAAATGGAAATAATAAGATTCCAGGACCTTTTGTCTGTAGTTGACAAGCCTGTACAAGCATACATTCAAAGATATATACTTAATATAATGGATCATAAAAATGGGATCATCCACTACTCCCTTCTTAGAGAAAATAAATTGCTAGTGATGCAGATTAAATACAAAGCAAAAATAGATCTTCATAATTCCAAAAGTAGGTTCTTAACTGTTCCAGTGATAAATTTGTCTCGAAACGCAAAAAGTTAATTTTATAATAAGTGAAAGGTAATTTTGGTTGATATCTATTTTAAAATGAAAAATAAAAACATTCAGCAGTTTATTTCACATAATGACACCTATGTTCCCATCGCTGTCAGTTATAGGAACATTCTAAATCAAACAGTGTCAGTTACAGGTGCAACAAAACTATTCCCTAAATTTACAATTTTTTTTAAAATTAGGTGAATGTTTCATGTATTTTAAATATTCCTTGACCCAGTGAGAAATAATTCTATAAAATGAATGAATAATAGTTGAAGGGTCAAGTTGATGAAGGTAAAAAAATTATATTTATAGTTCTGAGAAAATTGAATTTAAAGTTTGACTTAGGCAGATTTTTTTAAAAGAATGTTGATATCTAATTTCTAATATTGTTCGATTGGTGGAAAAAGTTTCTAATTTTGATGAAAAATAAATTTAATATACTAGATCCTAATGTGTTTTGATGTACTTATCACCTTTATGCACTGAACGATATCTTGTGAATTAGGACTTGTGAAACATAGGTCTTGCGTTTTTGAAGAACTTTCAGTCCAAAAATGTATTGTAGTATTTTTATCTTTTATGAGAATACAAATCTTCTTGAATTGTAGTTTAAGAAAACTTTTTAAAGAAGTTAAAATTACATTAAATTTTTATTTTTGAAAAATGAAATAAATAGGTTTTAAAAAATTACCTCATTCTTACTTTTTTTCATGTCCCTCTAGAATATTTTCATAAATCCATCTACACATATGTTCCTAATTGACATACTTAATTATCCTTTAAGTTCACAACTTTCTCTTCAATCAGCCTGTCATTAAATTCCTTTGAAGGATTTATTTTTAGCTCTTGAATATTGACTGTGTTGCAAGTTTTGTCATCTCTCACCAACAAAACTTTTGTGAACACTGTCATTTCATGGTACATATTTAAGAAAACCCTGGACATAGTTGTTTATCAGAATGTTTATATTGAAATCTTAAGCTGAATCAGTGATTTCACTAACAAAGAGGAAACTTGTCTGTTGATGAAGGTTATAAGTTAACTTATCACTCTCATTTGTATCCACGACCTGGTTGTGGTGTTGTGTCTTCACTTCACTTATAACTCAGTTCTTAGTAAATTATTAAATTTTGATGGCTGAGGGAGGTATTAAAAATATATCACTTAATAACGTTATCGGTAGTAATAATTCAGTTTTCCAAGAATGTTACATATCACCTTTATCTACGTGATCCTTCAATTGTAATGCTTAAATTTGACCATATGTTGCCTGATTATTTACCAGGATTTATCATCTTTGTTAAGTATTTCACGATTACAAGGCTTGTATAGGTATAAGCTTAGTTTGCTTCCTCATAATGCATATAAATGGAAAACACTTAAAAACTGTCGTCTTAGATCTTAATGAAGATTAATAATATATATTAAAATTAAGCCACTTTAATAATTCAATTTCATAAATACTTCTGATTTGCTAAAAAATAATAGTGTATTCTGGAATGCATTATGTACTCTGTAAGTTGTTTATTAGGATTCCAAACATTTGTAGGTTTTGATAAATAAATTAATAGCTGTTGGATTTAGTGAGCACATATTTTATCACTTGTAAACTTTTTATGAGTTACTTTTAGCAATAAATTCTATTTTCTCTATTGGCAGTTATAATAAATTTCTCAGTTTCTGTTCCCTGCTCTTTGTAATTTAATTAATGGTATAATATTTTTTAATCGTTCACCAAAGATTGAATTACTTTCTCCAGTGTACCACTTGAAGAATATTTGTGGAGAAAGTCATTGTTGTTGCCTGATAAATAAACTTCTATTTTTTTTTTTTTTAAGTATAGGTTGTGTTATTATAAAAATAAGTTTTTATATTACCTCATTTTTTTAATTATTATAAAAATAATTAAAAAAATTAATACATTCATATATTTATTTTGTTCTATAACAGATAATGGTTGTACCAGAGTCTTCTATTAATAATATTATGGGGGGATTGGAGAGTACAGGGGGTGTGACTCTCCATAATCATAGAAGAAAACTTAAGCAAAGGTAAGTGTATTTAGATTAAATGTATTTTTTTCCCCAACCAAATCTTCAGAAAACTTGAACATTTTGTACTACCTTGTTTTGTAGCATTTTACATAAACCTTATATTTTCAGGTTCGAAACAATTGCTAAACTAGGCCAAGGTACCTATGGCAAAGTTCAACTGGGTATTAATAAAGAGACTGGGCAAGAGGTAAATAATAAGTTTACTTTTTATATTTATTAAATTTTTGACAAACATCTTATAATACCAACCTTTTTTTGTCTAACTGAGCATAATGGTAAATCACTTTTTCAGTTAAATTTACTTGTTTTTTGTTCTGAGAAATAATTTAATCATCATTGCCTTTTTAGATATTACTTAATTATTGTTATAAGTTATAATTACAAAGAAAGCTAAAAATTATAACTGTAGTTCAATTTATGTATTTTAGGTTGCTATAAAAACTATCAAAAAGTGTAAAATTGAGACTGAAGCAGATTTAATTAGAATAAGAAGAGAAATTCAAATTATGTCCTCATTACGACATCCTTATATAATTCATATTTATGAAGGTAAGTAAGCATACTGTGATTGAGCACTTAGTGTAAAATAAGTAAGTGAACAGTAAATAAATAAATTTATAATTAAGTCTAATCTTTTTTCTTTTAATTTGCCTAACTCAATTAATTTTGAAGTTCATTTAAAACACTTTTAAATACTTTAACAATAGTATATCCTCATAGTCCTCTCAGGTATTACTTGAAAAAAATTAGCATTTTCAAGAAAATCATAAGTAAATATTCTCACCTTAATTGTTGATTGGTTTGGTTAGTATTTGAGAATCGTGACAAAATGGTGCTAGTAATGGAATATGCTGCTGGTGGAGAATTATATGATTATTTGAGCAAAAGAAAAGTCTTAGAAGAAAGTGAAGCAAGAAGAATTTTCAGACAGATAGCAATGGCTGTGTATTACTGTCACAAAGTAAGTCTCTAATTTCTATTTTCATTTTATATTTTCATTTATTTTTTCTATCTGTGGTATAACATAACTGTATTCTGGTTTACTCCACTAAGTGATCTAGATTAAACAACATATAGTTGTCTGTGTGAAAAACGTCCTCTGTTCGTCGTCTCCAATGTGCTTAAACATGTCCTTAAATTTAATTGATAGTGACTGCAAACAATATTTATGAGAAACTGCTGACATAATTCCCCACAGTTTTACTGATTGATTGACCTAAAAGGTTACTTCACCATATCTGCATATGTCATAGTGTAATTTTGTACTCCCTAAAGCCTTTCTCTATAAAAATTTCTAAAATTAGCATGTTCAAATAAACTTAAAATTTATATATTTGCATAAATATACTATTTCAGAATATTGTTTTGTAGGTTACTTTCATCATTTTAATGATGATAAATTTATATAAGTTATTAATTGGATTTATTACAAAAAAAATTTAGATTTCCACCTTTGTTACATTCTCATCTCCCCCAAAATCCAAACAACAAAATCATTTTGATCTGTCTCTTTTAAGTTTTGGAAAAAAAAAAAATGTTATTACAAATTTTAACACAGTGCTTAACAAACTGCTTGTGGCATCAATGAACTATATAGTCAGGGCATCATTCACTAGTGCCTTGAGCAGTGTTGATTCCAGAAATTTCACTGTGGAGATTTTGATTTGAAATCTCACATAATTTCAAATCTCCCTTTAAAAGACAAGGCCGCAGTACGGTGGTCTACTGTCGATATTATCCACTACAGCTTTTGCAATCACTGCTAAACACTCTCTATATTTATATTATGCATGAAAAACTGCAATGTCTTTCCCAGCATTGATTAACTGGAAGAGAACTATCGTTGTTGATAACGCTGAGCCACAGGTTGCACAACCAAAGCTGCAACGACTGTAGGGGTTAAATGTCATCTTTCTGTGCCAAACCTGTTCACCTTACCTATCTCCTAACGACTTCCATTTTTTTTAAACAATGTGTAGAATTTTAAACTTATAATACCAGGTTGATATAAAAAATGTTTTTAAGAAGTTCACTTTTTCCAATGATCCAAATTTCTTTCCAGCTGATGTCAATAATCTTTTAAGTTGTTATATACTTATTAATTCTATTAAAAATTATTTTGACTAAATGTAAATAGTTAGTTATAATTGAAGTTATGGTAAAAATAAAGATTCTTAATAAATATAAACAAGTAGAATTAATTTTGCATCAACCCAAAGTGCATATGCCATTAAGTTTCATGAAATATTATTATTTATATTAATTTTTTTTTTATTTGATATTTATATATTTCAAATTAATTTAGATGACTATATTAACAAAGTTATTTTAAATTTTCAAAGCTTGGTGCTGAATAAAAGTTTTGATAAATAATATTAAGCAGTTCTTTTTTCCCTCACAGAGTATTTATGAATTAATTTAGTGAACTAAAGATTTACATTTATTTTCTTCTAAAATAAAGAGATTTTATAATTTTTTTTTTTTCAGCATCAGATTTGTCACAGAGATTTAAAACTTGAAAATATTTTATTAGATGAACAAGGAAATGCAAAGGTAATAACCAATTATTTTTCATTTATTCCTGTTTTCCTATTGTACTATATAACAATTTAAGAGTATAGGTTATTATTTTATAGTACATGTTCCACATGTAGGTCATAATATGTGTACCAAAAAAGATTTAAGTGTTTTGTAATTGATTATCAACTGTTCAAATAGTTATAAAATAAATGGACTTAAAAGAATTGATTAAAAAATTATCCAGAGGAAATTAAATAAATTATGAATGAAACTGGTAATAAATAAAATAAAAAAGAAAATGAATATGTCTTTCCTTACTTGATTTATTTAAATGTATAAGAGTATAATTGTATTGCTGAAAAACAGGTAAATATAGTTTCCTATCTATCATAATCTTGAGAAATATATTTATGCATGCTCTGTTCCTGTGGAAAATGTTTGGTTATACTTCATTACCATTAACTTTTATTATTTAGGATTTAATTTAAAAAAAAAAAAGTTTCTGTATTTTATAATTATAATTATCTGAAAGATAATTGATAAACAAATGATAAATGATTGAATAAACTATCTTGAAATAGACAGGTGAAATAGTTGAAAATAGACAGTATAAATAATTCTGTTAATAAAAAAAAAAAAAAAAAAAAAAGAAATACAGGATGGAGGCACTTGTTAATTGAAATCCTGATTTAGTGAACTTCTGATAATGGAGATTCCTCTGTAATTTCGAACTGAATTGTTTAAATTATGACTTCTTTTGTAAACCATCTTTGTTGTGAAGTGAAGGAATGGATTTTATTTTTATATGTTTTTGCATATGTTACTGATTTTATAGCTAGTTGATAATAAAATAAAAATGATTAGATTTTATTATGCCACTTCAAATAAGATACTTATTTTTTTATCTCTTAAAACTTTGTTTATTAATTATTTAACTTACCAATTATTTTTAATGAAATTACATTTTTTTCACTATTTGTTTCTCTATTTATTATATTTAAATAGAAGAGGAGTAAGTTAAATAACTATTTTCTCTTTTTAACATTTATAGAACTCTTTGAAAAAAAGATACAATGAACAGGAACAGAGCCTACAAAATGGTGTTTCCTGTTCATTTTTTCCTTCTTTACAACCTTGTAGTTTCAGCCAGTTTATTCTTTACTTCACTTCTTTGTTACAGTTAATTCTAATCACAGGCAGATAAATATAAGCTATTTGTTCCTAATTAGCATATATGAGTAGATATGAGGTTTATTTAATTTTAAAGTCAAAATAAAGATTCATTTGTGCCATTAGTTCTTTTTTTTTACTTCGACAGATTGCAGATTTTGGCCTGTCAAATGTATTTGATAAAAATCGTCTGCTTAGTACCTTTTGTGGAAGTCCCTTGTATGCATCACCAGAAATAGTGAAAGGAATCCCATATTCTGGCCCTGAAGTAGACTGCTGGTAAATCCATCATTTTTTTAATCTGTTTCATTTATTTATTTTGTTCAAAACTAACTAAAACACATCCATAACTTCCTTTAGTGAGTAATTTGACATCGTTAAAAAAAATTGCTTTAGACAGACTAAACAGATTTAATCCAATATTTTGTGCTAAAATTGTTTCAAATTTTACGGAATAATTTGAACCATCAAACTTAAAAATTGATGTAACTGCTCACTTAAAACTCAGATACCTACTAACAGACAGATATTACCCTCATATGGCTAAGCCACCGTCTGGTAAAAACTTCACATTATAACATTATTTATATAATTCTATTATTTTATTTCCACTGTATAATTACCAACCATAATAATTAATTAATACAATAATTAATACTTCAATAAGTAAATAATATTATTAATACCTAGTTTTTAATGATAGTTGATTGTTGTAGATATATTGAAGAGAAGTTTAGTTGAGGTTTTTATTCATTGAAAATAGAAACTAAAAATAAAAATAAATATAATTTATTTATTTTAACTTTGTATTTTCACTGGCTGAAAACCCCAGCCAACTACTATTCAATACATGTTTGTTATTAGTTATTCATTATTATTTGATGAAAAATAATTACATGATCAATTTATGAATATTTTCCATAGAATTTGTACTTAACATAGGTTAAAAAATTTGAAATATCGACAAACTAAGGCAATTATAAAATTATTTCTAATAAACAGAAGTTTTCCTCACAAAAATATCCCAAATCATTTGCTTATACTTCAAAAGTAAGTTTTTTTTTGCTGACCATAATTAGAATATTTGTTTAGACCATTTTTTTCTTATTGAATTATTTGATGTTAATATAATAATACTTAATAGTACTAATTTTTATATAATTTCAGCTGTTTTCTCGTCATTGTTTAATGACTCTTGTTACCTTGTTTTAGTTTTTGCCAATATCTTAAATGCTAACAAAAACTTTTAAACTTTTGAATAGGTCACTTGGAGTTTTACTCTATACATTAGTTTATGGTGCAATGCCATTTGATGGTTCAAATTTTAAAAGACTGGTCAGGCAGATTTCTGCTGGCGAATATTTTGAGCCTAAAAACCCTTCAGGTAAGTTAGTCCTGATAATTTCTGTTTGGATTATTATATGTTATTTTAGAAATTTACTCAAATGTCTAATTATAGCTAGAACTAATTAACTTCTGAAATAGTTAAAAGTGTCTTCATTTCTTATTTTGGGATGTATAGTATAAGAATAAACAATGTTCCACTCCAATTTACCTTATGGTAAAGTTTTTTTTTTATTCTTCTCCAATGGACGCTACAGTTCTTGTAGGACCTGGTCCTCTGCCACAACTTTTCTCCACTCATCGGGGTCCATAGCAAGATTCTTCCAGTTTCTGATCCCCAGCCTCTTCAAGTCTTCTTCCATCGGTGCCTGGGCCTACCTCTTTGTCTTTTTCCTCCGGGAGAGCCATTCATCATCATTTTTGGCAGTCTATTGAGATCCATTCTTTCAATGTGACCCAGCCATCTTGTTACCTTTTTTATTCTACAAAAGTTTATTATTGTATATATTCATTATTAATTCAGTAAAATTTATTTATTCTGTTTCTTAAAAATCAAAACGAACTTATAAACAAAAAATTGAAGGAAGTTAGTCGACTGTTCTACATATCATCAGTGATGAATATTCAGGACGCAGTCATTATAAAGTTTTTATTAGTGCCGACGTTTCACTCCAAACAAAAGAAATAAAAGAAAGATTATACTCAATATGATAGAAATCAAATATAGTAAAATGTATTGTATTAGGGTGAAAATGATCATAAAATTGTCTCTGAGTTCAAAATCAATTTAAAAACTAACAAAACACTTGTTCATCCCGATAAATAACAAACATTTCCACCATTTTTTTTATAGTTCTAACATAAATGTTCTGAACGAGTCTTAGTTTAGCTGATTGATTGCTATTAGAGATGATATTGGTTCCACTATATAATAATGCCATTATTTGGATGATAGTGTTTGTTTTACAATGTGAATTTTTTAATTAAAATAAAATTTAAAATATCAGATTTGATGTTTATACTTTAAATTCCTATTATTTACTACTATTATAATATATATAATACGGTATTATAGATCCTTTTTCTGTCTTATGAGCATTGGATTTTGACAACGATAGTGTCAGAATAATGGGAATTCGGAAGTGATGAGCTCAACAGAGAAATGTTGAATTCCAATTTCAATCCTTAAATTTATGCTGCAATTTTAATAAAAGTCATTAATAAAAGTACGTTTCAAAACTCTAGGATAAATTGTGTTTATGAAGATTTCTACACAGATATCTAGACCTGGTAAATTTCCTTCAGAACATTCTGAGCCCAGTCTTTTAAAACCATAAAATGTACTATTTCTGGTTGTAATTCTTTCTGAAAGCTGCTAAGGCACCACGTTCATCATGGGATACTTGTTGTTTTTAGTTTAGGTAGATTTAAAAAAATTAAAATACTGCAACTTGTTATAGTCTGTGACAAATTAAAAGTCTACTTAAGGAAAATAAATAGTTCTAAGATCCTTTGGGCACCTCTAGTTATATAAAAATTAGCATAATTTGTGGACATATTTCAATTTTCTTGGTTGCTAATACGACAATAGCAGTGATGAAGTTCTTATCCAGGTCTGACTTCTTTACTCCACTCCTTATGACAGAGAGAAGAAAAACTAAGGATCCTTTTGTTCTTTTGCACCACCCCAATAGACCTCATAGGCCACCATTAACTCCAAAGCCCTACTTGGACCTATCCAGTATTATTCTTTTTTTTTTTCTTGTTCTTCCCTACCTTGCCTTTTAGGCTATACGGGATTTTCCGAGGCCGGAGGATGAAGACGGGGAATTTAAAAGTTTCTACATTCAAATATTTGGGTATGAAGATCAGTGAGAGCGGGAAAATCAGAGACGAAATCAATACAAAAGTTGTCACTTTAGGGAGGATGTTTTCTGCCTTCAATTGGAAGTTTTAAATAAGAGATAAGTGGTAAAAGAAACAAAATTAGCTGCCTATCGCTCGGTGTGCCTCCATATCCTCACTTATGGAAGCAAATCCTGTGCCTTGATCCCAACCACCTGCAAAGCATGAAAAATATAGTTTCTTCCCACCATGTTAGTGTAGGGTCAGTTTTTGTTTCTCCCCATTCTATAAATTATAAAAATTGAAAAATAGTGATGTTTTCTTTTTTAGAATACCACATACTGCTATTTTTTTTATACAAGAGAATCTTATTGTAAACAAGATAGTGCTGATACATCATTAACTTTAATTAAAATATTGTGTAGTTTAACATTAGCTCATAAGTTTTTTCATGTTTAGATGTATTTAGTATGACTCTCACGAAGGTACTAATTCTCTTCAATCAATTTTTCTTTGTTAATGTTACTATTATTTTATAGCTATTGAATTATATCAGATCAAAGATAATTAAATTATTGATAAAGAAAATTGTGGTTTATATTTTAGGAGCTTCTGAATTAATAGCGGGCCTGCTCACTGTGAAAGGAACTGACCGGCTTGATATTAGTGGTGTTTGTCAGCATCCGTGGATGAATGAAGAAGGAAAGGTTTCCTGTTACCGATTAGCCGTTGAACTTGCTGAACAGGAACCTAATCGGCTGGACCTTCTTTTAGCTCTTGCGCCGCAGGAGAATCAAATCCCTAGTGTGAGTAATATTCTGTTGTATGTCCTATTTCTGTGCTGCTGTTTTCTTAATTATTCATTATCAGGATCATAAAAGAGAAACCATTTGTTGTGTACTTAATATGTGAATAGATGTAAAGGACTTTTGTTCCAACCCAGCTTTCAGTTGTGGAAAATAAAATTGTTGTTATCAGCATCCAACTTTAGGTTTGCTAAGCTTTATCATTACTATTATTATAAACTTTATTATTGTCATTACTAATAAATTCTTAATGTGGACATTCCCATACAATCCCAAATGATGATTTAACAAAATATGGATTAAATTAAACATATGCCGTTTATTAAGAACCTTTTTTTACTCTTCTGCTTTTAATTGAAGGTGTTTTCTTGTCTTGTGTATTTTTAATGGTTCCTCACTTTTTAGTACAAAAAAAAATCAAATCAACTTTCTTTAAAATTTGATTTTGTTTTACTTTATACTGGACTAAATAATTTACAATTTGAAGGATCGTTGTTTTGTTACATGTTTCTTAAACATCAATGACTACAAATCATAGTATCTATTCATCAAGGGAAACTTTGTATCCCATGTTTTGTTATGGCTAGATTCAGAAACAAAATGTTTCTATTCTTAACATGGGTGATAAATATTCAGGACGCAGTCTTTTTAAAAATTTTTATTTTTGCCATAATCATAATTTTTATATTATGATAAATATTGTATAATATTTTGTCCTAAGCATCATTTGCACACATTGAAATTATCTATTATAAAAATTATTCATCTAACCCTTGTATTCTTGCTATCAAACTAAGCTATATTTATATTAATTGGCACCTTTTGCTTATGTTCATTTTAATACTAGTCAATAGTCACATTTCTGTAACCATATGAAATAACTCAAATGTTGTATACGTCTGAAATATTTGTCAGCAAATTATGTATATTCTACAAACAACAAATGTTACCTCCCTTCCCCTCTAACCTTGTTTATTTACCTTTTGCTATCTGAAAAGGGACAAGTGGGAAATCCTCCACCTCTGACCTTTTTACTTACTTACCAAACATGTGTCAGTACATGAACAACCTCAGTGCTCAAACCACAGTTCGTAAGAGAAAATATTACAAATTTATATAAATGGATTATATACATTATTTTTTATTTTTAGTTTGTATAACTATTTTAATATGTGTATTACAATATTAGTTAAGATTCATGTGCCATCGATCACTATAGTTTATTATTTATAATTAGCGGCCATATACTATTATATCTCTGATTGTAATTAAAAAAAAAAATTTTCAGCCCTGAAGATGACCCACATGTTTGGGTTGAAACTTTGGCAAAAATAAAAAATTTTAAAAATACTTCATCCTGAATATTTATCACCCATGATAAGTAGAACAGTCGACTAACTTCCTTCAAGAATTCTATTCTTAACCTGTGGGTAATAAGTTGATGATATGTAGTTATCACCCACCCTTCCTGTTTTAGCTATAGTACATTAAGACATTCTACCAAAAGAATCTTTTTTACTGGCAGAGTGCTCAATACTACGTATTTCTAATGGTTGTTGTCAGAAATAGTGTTTAACCATTGTTCAAACTCAAGATAATTTGATTAATGTCATTCCTTACCTTGCTTTATTCATAGCCCCCAAGATCCTCGATTTTGTCAATAATTCTAATATAACTAGTAACTAGATAATGATAACACTCACTAACCTGTAAAAAACCTGTACCACTACAACCCATGAAGGGTCTGGGGTTCAGTACTATTTAGGGAAAGCACTGTTTCTAGGTCAACGGTTGTGCAAGGAGGTGATTTGACCGAGATCACGCTCAACCGCCAGGTTTTCCCCCTTAATCAATAATTTTAATTAAGGGTACCCACTTAATAGAGGCTGGGTGTGCCCCAGGAAGGACTCCTGACCCAAGGTCGCTCCACAGCCAATGAAACAGATAAATAAATTATCTGCCATGAGCCGAGGTTCGAACTCGGGACCTTTGCATTGGAAGCTCAGTGCCCTACCACTGAGCCACCCCGCTCCCACACTCACTAACAAACATGCATATGATAAGGATAAGATTTCTATCACTATACTAATACATACGTATTTTAATATAGGTGCCTGAAGAAATACCTCAGCAAGCTGAAAGACCCACAAGATCAATGTCCTTAAGTAGTTTGGCCACTGTCCAATCAACATTTACCCCAGCTCCCTTAGCTACTAAAGGTATTGCATTGAATTTATTGTTTTTAAATTGTCTATTGTTATATAATCATTGATTGATTCTGTTCTTCTAATATTTTTAGTTGAAGAAACTGAAAATGAAAAATCCCCTGATAAGGAAAAAAAGAGAGAAAGGAGTAATTCTAGATCGAGGAAAAAAGATAGTGATGATGAAAAACCTAGAAGGAAGTCGTTAAAAAAGAAAAAGTCTGATGTAGGAGAAATGGACCGGGAAGAAATGTTAAAAGTATTAGAAGAAGCTAAAAAGATAGGAGAATCTAGCAGTGTTCAAACAGACGTCAAAGAAGAACCGAAAGTAGAAGTAGATAAGGACAAATCTATTCCAGTAAAAACAGATGAAATAAAGGAAAAACCTAAAGAACCAAAAAAAGTTAAGAAACTTAAGCCAGAGAAATCTCAAGAATTGCAACCTAGTAAAGATGAAGAAAAGGATAAAGTTCCTGTTTTGCCAAAAACTAGACCTAAACTTCAGAAGGAAGAAGAAATTGACATACCTGAACAAAAAGGTGATAAAGTTGTAGAAACTACTGAAACTAGTGTAGATAAAACAGTAGAAGCAATTGAAAAAGAGAAAGAAGTTATTCCAGAGGAGTTAAAAGTAAAAGAAAATGAAGTTAAAGAATTAGAACAGACTAAAGAAAAAGAACCGTCCACTCCTGTCAGAGTGGATTCTGTCAGAAGAAAATCTAAAGTATTTGAAACAGCAGAAATGTTTTCAAAATCGGCTACTCAGGATAAAATTCCACAAAAGAAAGTTATTACAGGAGTTAAGGTATTTTTAAAAAATTTTCATTAGGTTATTTAATTTAATATATGTTTAATTTGATTTAAGTTCAGTAACATTCTTCTAATTCTTTAATTTGAAAATTTTGATAAAAATTTAACTCGATTGTTGGGTTTTGGATTTTTAGAAAGGCATAAATAACAAAATTTACTCAGATCCACATGGATATTGTTATTTTTATCTCCAAAATCATATTCCAGGAACAAAACAAAGTCCATTAATGTCTGTACATGTTTCATTTTCAATTCTATTTGTTACTATAAAATTGAAAATAAAGAAAAGACATTAATGTTCTGCTCCAGGAATCATAGAGGAAAATAACATCAGTATGTTATAATCTATTGAGGACACATTGGCTGAGCACTTCTGGGCATGGGTCCCAGAGTACCCAGTTCTCAACGTTGTGGATTCAATTTCCACCTGGGTCGGTTAATTTTCATTTCTCACCGGCTCCATTAAATGGATCTTAATATTCCCACTCTGGTAAGTACCAGACGACAATCCCAAGTTAGCTGTCAGGGGTTGACAAAAAGGACCGCGATAGGGCCCACTTACCAGACTAGTTCTCCCCACCAAGTACCAGTACCTGGATTATATTGATTTCAGGTGTGGTATATTTTTTCAACAATATAGTCAGCTTATTATATTTTAATTGTAAGGAGGAAAAACAAAAAAAAAAACCTGTACCACTCCAACCCGTGAAGGGTCTTTGGTGTAGTACTATGTGAGGAAGTACTGTTATAAGGCCACCGGTTGTGCAGGTAGGTAATTGGGCCGATATCACGCTCAACCGTCAGGTTTCCTCCCTCAATCAGTTATTTAATTAAGAGTACCCACTTTATAGAGGCTGAATGTGTCACAAGAGGTTCTCTTCACACCAGGGTCGATCCATGGCTGATGAAAAACTACTATTCATCAGCCAGATTCGAACCTTGGACCTTGAGCTCTGTGCTGACCCACTCCCTAAGGAGTTTTAATCTCTTTCAAAAGAGTAGAAATATAAATATCGAACAATAACGTTGATTCTTGATAGTTATCAATATTTCAAGCTTGAATGTTTTTGATCTCTGAAAAAAGGGGAGCAAGGTCAATATTGACATGGTCTTGGATTTTGAATAGCAATAATTAAATATTAATGCATTTCCTATAATAAGGAGGAAAAATAAATTTTAATTAATTAATAATTTTACTGTTTAAATTAAAAAGTTAAATTATCAATGTTGGACATTAATATGAAAACATAAAAAATTATTTTTGGCCAAGGGGCAACAAAAAATTTGTTTTGTTCAGTTATTAATATCTTAATGCTATAGTTTTATTTAAAGAATAAATAATAATATGGCATCAAGCATAACAAATATCACTGAAATTTTCTTTAAGTTTTAGGTAGGTTGAGTAGAGGTTTTAAGGTGATAATAAACTTTTTAGAAATGGGTTTTCTTGAGTACGATTAAAATGTTGTTTTTTGGACTGTCCTGTTTTCTTCCCATGGTCCCAGGAGTAGTGACCACCTCTTTGCAAACTATACTTAAACATAGGGTAGGATATCAGCAATCCACTTGCACTTGAGAAAATGGTATTTATTAGTTGAGCACTATTTTGCATCTTTTTTCCAAATAGTCCTGCAATCTTATAATTAATTCTCACTATTGCAACTTTCAGTCTACCCTTTACTCTTCCAGAAGGGTAGACTGAATTACTGATGTAAGGATTGTGTCAAATACTGGAAACCAAGGGGGAATTGGTGATGTAGGCATTGAATGTTTGGGTAAAAGTTAATTTATTCATTATGCTATCATTTTTATAAATTTTCAGGTATCAGATGCTAAAGCAGCTTTTGAAAGAAGGAGCTCACTAGTTCAAGAGAACGTGAAACCTGACTTTAGTTTAGCTTCAACTGTAAACGTTAATAAACTAGTTGAGAATGAGCTTGGAAAAGATGAAGATAAAATGAAAAAAGAGAAAGAAAATGCTGTAAAGGTAAGAATGTTATAGGTTGTTTTAATAGTAGTTGTTTTTTTAATAATAGCTGTTTTCTAATTAGTAGGATCAGGTAGTTCTGTTTTTAATGCCACAATCCTTTAAAAGTTAAATATAGCCCAGAGATTATAAAATGAATATACCTAATTATCCATGTTTTGAGTTTTGTATTTAAAAAAAATTAATTTTGTAGAAAAGTTTTAATTAAGTTTATGTGCTTATTTTTGTATAAATTCAAGAAGGAGGTTTATCTACAATTTACCAACCTGATGTTAGGACATTAGAAATAACTATATCATTTCGGTGTATTTGCTACAAAATAAATTTTATCCCTTCCAACCATAATCATTACTGATTAATTTGTTTTCTTTCTTTTTTTTTAAATTTAATTGATTTTTTAATTGGTACCCCTACCTCGCCATTTCTGGCATAAATGGCGGTTGTTCTAGAGGTACAACTAAACCTATTCTAACCAGAGTAGGAAGGTAGAGTTCCATTCTGTGGGTCCGCCATGAAATAAATTTTAATTCCCCAAGGCCGGATTCGAACCGGCATCGCTAGGCACGAGAATGTTAAAGTTTACGCTTTAACAAGCTCGGCCATCATGACCTCAATTTGTTCTTTCCTGTTAAATTCATTATGAATTGGTCAAAAGTATCTCCTCTTAATTGTTCATAAAATGTTCTATATTAATTTTTATTAGCCCCTTTTCTCAAAAGATTTGCAATCGTTATTGTTACCTTGTTTTAATCTAATTTTTTTTAATGAGTCATGGAATTTGAGGACTGTCTCAACTTTTTTTTTTATCCTCTTCTTCCTTGGCTTTTAGGCTATATGGAGGTTTTCCCAGACCAGGGGGTGAGAGCGGGGATTAGCGCCAGAGTTAAAATCCTTCCCGGGTAGTGGGACGCAAACTCGTACTGTTTTATCAATTTATATCATTGATCAGATTGCTGGGCAACGGTGGTGCTGCGCGCACGTGTTAGCCCACTTGGCCACCTGTCCACCGGACTGTCTGTACCTAATATTCATTAAAACAAAAATTTATTTTTCCAGGTTATAACACATGCTATTTCAGAAAGTGAAATGAACAAAGCTTCTACTCTACCCCGAAGAAAGTTATCAAAACCATTGTGAGTAATTGAAACATAATTAATTATACTGTTATTGTTTTAGTAATTTTTCTCATAACTTACGTGCTACTTTACCATAATATGGTTTTTAGTAAGAATTTATTCATCTTTGATATTAATTTGAGGCAGAGGTCTCCAAACTTTTTGACCTGTGGGCCACAGCTCCTGCAGGCTATGATTTGTGGTGAAAAACAAAATCTTGTTCTATAAATGACACTTCACTTGTGAAATGAGCTTTCTAAGAGAAGCGACTCATGGAATAAATGTTGTAGTAATCTCGTGTTTGAGTGATTTATGAAATTTTCTATTTTTTAAATATTTTATAAAATTTTCTAATGCAATCAAAGAAACTTTCGCCGTCCACATCGAAGGTGCTTGCAGATATGCTTAGTTTGGTGACCCTTAATATATAGTATTCATATTTCCAGACCCTAATCTGCTTTAGAATAATGATTCACTCTAATATTTTAGTAATCCAAATATTTAGTATCTAACACTTTTTTTGTTTGCCAATATATTTCTACTGATTATTATGAGAAGTTTAATTAAGACCGTATATAGTAATTATTATAATTTTAATTAGGAAAGAAAATGTAGACGTAATTATTGGTCAATCAATAAAAAAAAGGTAATTGTAAGCCTATTGCCCATGTGAGTTACTCACTGCTGTTATTGAGCAGGTTTATTACCTTCCACTGTGTGCTGAATCCCTAATTGTGAATTGAATATGTGTGACAAATATTTCATGCCAGGGATGATTGAATCCCTCTCTCTCTTTTAGAGAGAGGCGAATGCAATAGAAACTTGGCGTATATGTGATTTTGTTGATCTCAAACCATAGCAGATAAATGTTCACTTCTCTGGAAGTGAACATTTTTTTCTGGGTTTACTTAACTTAATGAAAATGATTGTTAGTCTCTTGAAAAAGGCTTAAAATTCAAAATGTACTTACCAAAGAAAAGGACTTTATAATAAGGATTAAACCATCTCCAGAAGTTAAGTTAATATTATGTAAAGAATAAAGAAATTGGGACAAAATTGATAAATTTTATTTTCAATGAAGAAAGTGTTAGCACATCAAGCTTTTTTTTTTCCTTTATTCATTTATTGAAATTTACAACTCTACAAAGAAAATACAACAGTTAAATCTGCTATAAGAATATAAAACATAATAGGAGTCTGGGAAGAAACTAGTCATTAGTGAATAATTTGGAAAGTCTCATGGCCATCTTTTCAGATCCTTCAGAAGGTTGTCAGAAATTGTTTTATGTGAAAAATGATGAAATAGAGGGTGAGGGTTAGGGTTGTTGTAGTAATCAGGACCTATGAGCAGTTTCTTGTCATTTCAGTCTTGTATGAGAATGCTCAGTAAGATGCTTGTCAAGATGTAGTCTTAAATAGTGTAATAAGCTGAATATAGTTAATGGATACTGCAAGAGAGGATGTAATAGGTTTATGACTATTTTTTCTTAAAGTTAAGATTAGACCAACTAGAAACTTTTCAAAGTTAGTGAACTGTCTGTGCTACAATGATAAATTTGAATATTCAGCTATAGATGGTTCTTAATAACTGTACAATTTGTTTTACTCCAAAGCTCCTGCATGGTTGGGTGGCTTAATTATATTTTATAATTGTTTTTGCCTTCTATTTTTCTCTCCTATTTATTTAATATTATAAAATAACTTTTGTCTGTTACAGTATTCCTAGGGCTGAACCTGGCATAACAAGCAGCACAAGCTCTACTCAAAGTATATACACCGCGCCTGTACCTCCACCTAGGTAGGATATTTTTAGCATTAAATTTTATTCTAAATTAGATCCTTGCTTGGAAAAACAATTACCTGATGAAATTTAAGGGTATTTTTAAGTTAGATTTCTTCCTCTTATTTTATTTTTGAACAGATTTCTAATTTGTTTCTGAATTTAAGTTATGAAAATGGTGGTGGGAGAAAAAAAATTAAGACTCCCAAAATGCATTTATCTAATACCAGTTCAATTCGCACATAAATTTTCAAACCATTAATTTTGAGGGATCGTTAAGATGCATAAGGTTAAAAACTGTAAAAAAAGAATATATATGTATATATATATTGTAACGTTCCCCTTTCCCTCCAAAATCAAACAACGAGTTTCTTTTTCAATATACTATTTATTTTAACATATAACATAAATTCTCAGGTTGGGTTCTGACAACTGAACACTCATTCAACATTAAATAACTATAATCTACACTAATTTACTAATTACTAACTACACTTATATTTAATTTAAAATAGTTTTATAAGAAAAATTTGTCCCGATCTACACTTTTGTGGCTCTATCCCTCTGGCATTTTTAGCACTCATCCAAATGTTTAAGCCTGTCAGTGAAATAATCTCTTCTTACTTACGAATGTTCCGTTTTCTGTACCACTTAATTAATTTCTGCTATGTTCTTTCTTCCAACACAAAATAATCTCCACTAGTGGCCTCTATCAACACTCGAACCGGCTAGTACTCCTTTTTCACTTTTTCAGCTTGCTGGCTAGCACCTTCTCTCTTGGCGGCTCGTCACCTTCTCTCTTGACAGCTTGTCACATTCTGCCCTTACATGAGGCTTGCTTCCCCCACCATCCGCACGCACTTCCTCCCCGTAGTTTGCGCTGTTACCACTTTCGCGCCACTATTAAAATGCCATGTAACGTTGACATTACAATACCTTTACTTTAGAAGGGAGAGGGAGAGATTATATACAATATATATATATATATATATATATATATATATATATATATATATATATATATATATATATATGTATATAATATATATATATATATATATATATATATATATATATATATATATATATATATATATATATATATTGTGACCCCCCCCCTCTCTCACTCTCCCTCTCCCTCCTAAAGGCACACCTCCGAACCAACTCATTCCCACTCTCTCTGATTTAAATTACTCAAAGTTAATTTGGAATGTCTTTAGAGAAGTACAAAAAAAAAAAAAAAAAAAAAATGGTACATGTGGATGAGACCTTCAAAAGGCTCTTTACATCAACTCAATATTGATTAATAAATAACTGTCGTTTTATGTCTTATTAAATGTTTGTTGTTTTGTAGGCCATCTCTTGTTAAACAAGACAGTGGTCCAAAAGAACATATCATTCCAATACAAATTGAGAAGAGAGATGATAAGCCTCATCCCGTGTCTAAACAGACATCAGTTTCATCTAGAGCCAGCTCTTCAAGGTAGGTTGTTTTTTATTGATTACTTATTTAAATATCTTATAAATTAATTACAATGGGATTCTATGTTATGAAGGTACAGAGCCCGAATTAAGATTTTTCAAAAGAGAGGCAAGCTGAATTTGTCTGCCTCTTCTTTCATCTGCCGTCATTATAATTCCCTCCTCTCTATAAAAAAAATCAACATTTTACAACAATATTTTAGATACTATAATTCAAAATTAATGTCATCATTAGATAATATTATCTCATTTTATTGACTGAATTAAGATCATAACAACCAAAAAGCAGAAACAAATATTTCTTACTTAAGGTAAAAAAATGATTTCCAATATTTGCTGCCCTCTAAGTTCTTCCACCTAAGGCAAGTCCCCTGTGCCCCTTCCAAGTTCTGGCCTTGTGATGGTTCTGGCCTTTTACTTGGTCCACTAAATGCTCTTTCATCAACTTTTTCATCTAAATAACACAACTAAGAAATTTATATTTATATAACTAATGATATTTCATTAGAGTTGATTAATTATAACAATCATTTGTCTAATGATATATTATTAGAGAAAATTTAAATGTTGAGATTAATAGAAGTACAAATATTAAAAAATAAAAATAAAAAAAAAATGCATAGACTATTCTTTTTGTCCTGGACTTAAGCCTGTGGTAAGAATTATAAGACTTAGTGTTCCCTGGTATATGTGCTTACAGTTCATCATTTGGAGTTCATATAAATTGTTAGTGGTCAAGTCGTCGAATGAACAGATAAGATAATAGGATTTAAACTATGTTATAACTATTTCTATTTTCTTTTAAAAATAAAATCATATATTTTTATTTTTGAACTGTTCCAGCTTGGGAAGACAGGATTCTGACTCTAGCACTACAACTGTCAATTCTCCTTGTGAACCTATTAGAAAATCACCGAGAGAAGTGATAATTCCGATTGCTGTAGAAGGTGGTGGATATGTTACGCCTAGTGCCTCTACACTATCTAAGATGAGGTTGGTTTTAGCTAGTATTTTTTAAAAACAAATAGAAGCAAATAAAACTGTTCTAGCCATTTAATCTGGGCCTTTCTTTGGACTCTAAAATACCTGATGTGGAGTATTAAAGTGATGTAGCCATCCAACAACATATCAGCTGAAAGAAAAACTCATTTTCTGATTTATCAGTATTTATAGATTTTTCATTATTATTATTATTATATATAATAATTTCATTAAAAAAAAAAAGAAATAGTCATAGAATATATGCGATTAAAAACTAAATCACAAATATTTTATAAACTGGTATAAAATCAGTCAACCATTTCTTTAGGAACATGTAAATATAGCAAGTAAAATGGTGTAGTAGAAAAAAAAAGGTTTTTAAAAACAGCACTATTACTAGCAAAAAGATTGGTGTTGTCAGGGAGCTTTTATTTTGAATTTGGTGAGAATAAAAATTATTTGAAAATTATATTTTATGATGTAAAGATGTTATTACATACTTCCATTAAACAAAACCTTTTTAATTAATTTTTAGTTCTGAAATTGGTAAAGTGTGTACTCTTTACTGAAGGGGCTTAGGGTTTTTAATTGAAAAAAACCAAAATGATCCAGTAATTATTTATTATATTGATGAATTTTTTTTTTTTTTTGCTTAGTTCTGTATCTGAAAGTGAAGAAGAAGGGACCGGACCGATGAGAGGATTTGGTCTCCATAGTACCAGGAGAAGGGTTGAAGCAACAGATTCATTGTCCTCTGATGAGGAAGATGATAACTTTGAGATGCTTACCGCTGAAAATTTATTTTCCACTCTTCTTTCCAGGGTAATTATATGAAATAGTTGAGGTATTTTTTAAATACAACTAATTCTACAATAGTTTTTTAAATCTAGAAGATTGATATTTCTTAAATCAATGAAAGCAGCTAAACAATAATGCAAATTGTTTTTCTCTGTTCATGCTAAATCACTGTTGTGTTTCCTCTATCCTTAACATATACTTTTTTCTTTTTCTCATATGTTATTTTTTTCAGTTTTTAGCTCATAATGAATGTTTTAGTTTATAATATTTATATTGCTGGAATTGAATCTGTTTTGAGAGCTATTTTAAATTTTTGCCATGGATACGCTTTCTGTTATAATTGGTATTATAAATGGTTTATTTCAGACTAGAAACTATCTTATTTTTCTGTTTCAGCTTAAGCTATTGTAATTCTTTATATTTATATATATTCTAGTCACACATCCTTATCCATATATGACAGAATACTGTATTGTTAATTACAAACTGAAAGAAAATATTAAATGCTTTTTTTGTCTTGCTTTGCCTAAGTTTGCTTATTTGCACTTGGTGTATCAGCTATTTTTATTTTTTAAATTTAGAATGAGACACGTCAATCAAAGACATTGTTAAGAAGAGAACACATGTATTGTGAATAAGAATGGGAATAGGTTTGGTTTGTTAACTTCTTTCAGAGTTAATTTTTAGCATGTTAACCTAAATATTAAACTTAGCAAATTCAATTGTTACAAATTAAATTTTCAAGTACTATTTTCTTTTTTGATTTTCTTTATGTTTTTTTAGATTTTGATCCCATACAACTTTTGAGTTGTTTGTTTGTATAATTACAAAATTTTATAAATATTATACAATGTTTCATTGAAGTATAATTATATTAGTTTCATATATTCTTTTCAAAAAATCATATAACCATTGAGTAAATTATTTTTCTTGTTTTTTCAAATGTGTTCACAGGTACGGAATCTCACTCACAGGTTGAATGTTGATGAAGGAAGGCCAACTTTTCCTAGACTGTTTAACCATTCTATTTTTGATGCTCCTGCGTAAGTCAAAATATTTTAGAATCCATTTGTCTTGTAAATAGTAATTTCTCTTTATAAAAAAGAAGTCGTGGTTATAATAACATGTATACATTTTTTAAACATCTTTATATAAAAATTATTTTAATTTTAGGAGAAGATTGACCGAAACTAAATCTTTTTCTGAACATGATCCTACTCCTTGGAGAAGGAAACGAGAAAGTGCTTCTTCATCTACGCTGCCGAGAGGTTTGTATTTTGTAGAAAAGAATTGAATTGACTCCACTATGTGTGTTTAAAGCAAAGGTTTTCTTTTTTTATGGAGGCTTTTAGTCCTTACGTTAACAAATTATATGGAGAACATACATTTTTCTATTCCATTTCTTCTATTTTTCTAATTTACAATGGAGTAAAATTTTCCTTTGTGTTTTCCATGAAATAGAATCATTGTATATCACAGAAAATAAGTAACAATTCAATTGGATTATTTTTCGTATAAGATTAATAAAAGACATAATGGTTTTAGCTTTTGTTGCTAATTCTGGTTCTGTAACTTATGTGGTTTATTAATTAAATTATATCTATAAATTTAATGTTGTATTTATATTTTTTAAAGTTTTATCTTATTATATTATTTGTACAAAATTGTCTAATATAGTTTATAAATTGTTTCTCTGTGGATTACAAGTATGGTACATTTTCATTTATATAAATTTATTTGATTTAATGACAAAATGAGGTGCAAAAATGTTTATCGGGATTATTTGTCATCAAAAGTTTATATTTACTGCAGTAATTAAAAATATTTAAGTTTTTATTTCTCTAGCTATTATACCAAAGACTCAAAAAGGTAAATAGTTGTTTCAAATTTTGAAAGATATAGAAATCTTTTGATGTTTTTCAAAATACTTTTTAAAGTAGTAATTTTTATCATTTTTGCATGATAGGTGCATGCTTTTTTTTTTTTTTTTCTTTTTTGTGTTTTGTAAGCAGTAAGGACTTCTTAAATATTCTGCACACTTCTTTTTATTTTTTAGATATTTGTTGTTTTATTTTGAAAGCAAGTTCTTTTATGAATCATTTAATGCCTGTCTCTACCCTTTTTGTATTGTAGATATTGATTTTTTTTTTTTTAATTTGAACCCCAGCACTCCATTTATGAATTTTAAAGTGGACACATCTATTTTAAAAAGTATATGTATTTTTTTTAAATTTCTAATGCTTATAAAATTGTTTTCAATTGTAAATTTTATACATCAAGAACATTTTAAAGTCTTTTTTTATTACATCTAGCATAGAAATTATTATTTAATAATATTTACTATCTCAATACTTTGATTAATGTATCATTTCAATTCGAAATTATTCAAATGCCACTAAGAAGTTGACTCTGAAGAATGTTTCAAACGGTTAATATGGAATCTAAAAAATTAAAACATATTAAGAAAACAAAAAGATATGTTTATTCAACACTTAATTTGTTATAAATAACTATAATATCATTATTGTCTAATAAGAAAGAAAGAAACTTAACACTGGAAGGAAGTTTCTGTAGTAGTATGGCTTTGAACTAAACTGCTGGTCAAAAAAACCTGTACATCTGGAATTTTACATAAAAACCACAAATTAAATCAATATTTTTAGGCCTGAAGTAATAACAGATATATGACAAGTCAAAGGACATTACTATGCATTAATCCTTTTGAGAAAACATAATGGTTCTCTCTATGATTTACGATAAATGCATTAAAATAAATCATGTACTTCGTAGTTCATAGTTTTTATGTAGTTTGACTGCAGTTGTCTTTTTAATCACATTAGTTATGCTTTTGTGTGTTTTTTTTTCTCTTGAAAAACAATGTTTCATTTGTATCAAACATTTCAAGAGTATAAAACTGTTTTGGATCCCGTAGTAGTCGCTCAGATTACTGTGTTAATTGAGAATGGCCAGTCAGCGATACGTGGCCTGAGTATGGACTGCCTGAAACAACTGTTCAGTGGGCAGTCCAGAGATACTGAGAACAGGAAGCTACGCTAGGAGGCCATGATCAGGTCATGCATGGGCGATAGGTCCAAATGATAACCACTTCATTGCTATGCAGATCCTCAGGAACCATTTCCAAACTTCAGTTGAGATTTTTTATTGATTACGTATTACTCAGGGTGTGGACATCAGCACGCATACAGTAAGAAGGCTTGCTGAACTGAACCTGCACGTTAGGGTTCCTGCTTACGGCTCTCTACTGAGAGACATAGCACACTGAGAAGCTTGCTTTCACTTCATCATGAACAAGCTGTATGGACAGAAGATGATATGACCAGTCCAGATATAACCTTTATGGTGCAAACAGACGAGTTCAAGTGTGGACAAGACCAGGTATGCAATATAGTGAGAAAACTGCAGTTTGGATGAGAATCAATGATGGTTTGGAATGGAATATGTGTAGGGTTAAGTACAGACCTCCATGTGTTCTGAAGGACAACGCTCAATGCACACAGGCACATCACTGTTCTCCTTCAGGAATATGTGGTGCCTTTTGGCCTGTTTATCGCTCTCCGTTTTCTATTTATGCTGGATAATGCTAGGCCACACATAAAAATGTTGTTTAGGATTATCTAGAGGATGAGGTTTGTGGCCAGCTCGCAGCCTGCACTTCTATCCTATTAAGTATCTTTGGGATCAACTTTAGAGGTCCATCCGTCGATAACTGAACCATGTGACCACCAAGTACATGAAATGGGTCAGATTCAAATTCATGTAACCACGTTATTCTTAATATGCCTACGAGAGTACAGGCAGTTAATCAAGAAAAGGGAGACAATACGTAATAAAGACTCAGATTTCATAATTAAAAAAGAATTAGATGTGTTTTATTTTTGTTTAAAAGTCTTCATATGCTTTATTTTACATTAAAATTTGTTTAATGAATTTTAGTTGTTTCTCCCTCCCCCTCCCCTCCGTTATTTGTGGTCTTCTACAAACTGAATATGTCACACTATATTGAGGTTAACAAAATTGCAATTTCTTTTTTCTTTTAGGGAATGTCAAAATTTATGGTGTGCCACTTTATATGACCAGCAGTGTACATACCTAAACTACTACTTTTCAAAGGTGAAAGGAGATTTTTTTCCAATGAGTAGAATATCTCAGGGCTTATATCATATTGTCTTTGTCATAATAGTTTAACAGGAATTTTTAGGATTGTTCTGAAATTATGGGATTTTTTTAACTGTTTAAAAATTAGTTTTTCTCTTTATTTTACATTAAAGCTTGAAAGTATAAATCTTGAATATTTAATGCACTTAAGTTTGGGTTCACTATCAAAATACACCATTATAAAAAGTTATTTATTTTTTTCGCAAACTTGAATTAAATCCTGAAATCCTTAAATACTTAGTGGCCTCCTAGCTTATAGACTACTGTTTTAACTCCCAATATTATATTTGTTTACAAAGAGAAGGATGGTTGGGATAAAATAGCAGTTAATAAAATAAAATAGCAAAAAAATAATATTTATTTTTACATTTGCCGAAGTTCAGGCCTTCATCCATTGTCCACGCTTGTCGGATTGAACAGCCCTGAACTTTGAGTCGAAACATCAGCCTTTTTAAAAAAATTACTTAATTACTTTTATTAAACCATTTTCTACTCTTTTAAATTTTGGATAACATCCTGGCATTAAGCAGGTACTAAATGATGATTGATAACCCTCCATTGGTAAACATTGGATGTTCAGGTGGGAGGATTGTGTTAAGGTTATCCTTGCAGAATGTAGTTTTGACAGGGTCCAAACTTGGATAAAGATAGCTGTTATTGGCATCGGTATTGGATTTGCTAAATCTTAATTTTGTAAAAATGTTCGACTCTCTTGTTAGTGTTGTCCACATCAATGTATTTTCATTCATAGTGTCATTTGAGAAGTTGGTATATAGTAGAGATATGAAAGATATTAATAGTATTTTGAATTTTCTTAAATAACTTATATTTTACATATTTACAACATTTCTGCATCTCAAGTGATTTGTAAACATTAATTAACACAAACTAGTTTTAAAAAATGAATAAATATTTATGACCATAGAAAAGTAGTTACATAAGTACATATATACAAAATACCCGATTTAAAATAACATTAATTATATTTTTTTATATATAATTGAAAAAATATGCTGTAGTTCATGTATCTCACAAATTTATCTTACCGTGCTACTTTTATTTTAAATTAATTTATGCTCAATCAGGGTTATTTAATATATAATAATTTAAATTTATTATCGGCTCTTGAAGTTATTAACTAAAGTAAAGTTATATCTATATGTTTTTGACATTCTTACTATTTGTTCAGTTTATCCGTTCTTCATCTTTCTCCATTCTCTCCTATAACTTCAGTTGTTGCGTTAATTAATTTTTCTAAAATCTTTAGATTTCCAATATTATATTAGCTATATTATACATCTAGATATATTATTACTAATATTGTAAATACTACAAGTATTTCTCCTTAGTTATATTATTAAATTCTTTTATATTTATCTATTTCTTATTACTATTAACAATGAGAGATGGTTAATTATTTAAGATAAACAAATTTACTTACAGAATTATACATAAAAAAACTATTGATAAATAAAAATAATATTGTTTTAATAAAAAAAACAAATAATAATTAAATTAAAATATAAAATTTATTTTATAAGACTAAACATCTACAGTTATGTAGTACTCTTGAAAAACTTAAAGTTCAATTTTCACAATTTGTAGTTAATTTTATTTTTAACCTGTGTTCCAATAAAGTTCTTTATTTAGCTTTTAATTACATTTTGCCAGCTTCTTTCCTTATTTTAGTTAGTGTGCATGGCCTTTTATAGGCTACTTGTTCATTGTAAATTTGAAAAAAGTAATTCAATTTAATTAATGATGAGACTAAGCTAAATAATTAAATAACAAATATATTTATAGTCTATTTTGTCTTAATAAATTAATATTTATTTATTATTTTACTATAATTTTCCATTAACTTTTTTCTTATCTTCTTTGGAGTGGTAGGGTTGATAAAAAGCCATAGCTTGCCTCTGTGTTTCATGTCGCCTGTGTGTCTGTTACAGCTCGTGTTACAGTGCATGTGCCCGTCGTTGTTGAGAAAACACAAAACGACTAATCCACACGCTAGGTAACACATTTTTTTTATTTTATTTATATATTTGCTTCCTTTAATTAACTTACTATCTATAGTTTTGGTTTTGTTTGAATCAACTAATTGTGTTAATGGTTCACAAATATTAATTATTTAAAAATAATTGATGAATATATTTGATAAATATATATGATTGAGTGAGACATAGCCTGAAAAAGGTCACTACACCAGGTAATGAAGTGATGTTCAACTAAAATAAACCCACATTCTGATATTTTTTATTTATTTTTTTAATATAAAATTCAGTTAACTAGAGGCAAACTCGTCCATCAATAAAATCTAGCCTCTTTATGGAGCTTAGTTGTATTATATCCTGCTGTTACCTCACTATTTGCTGAACGAGATGTAAAATTATGACCTGTTGTGGGAAATACTTATTTTATTTAAATTAAAACTCCAATGTAAGCTATATTGGTAGAAAGAAATCTCTACAATTTGACAATTAGTGTTTGATCAAACTTAATGTTCATTTTATTGTTTACTAACACTTAAAGATCTAGTAAACTTAGTAACAGCACAGGATCTATCCTCTCTGAATTAAAACACTGGTTTTAATTGGTAATTTAAAATTAAATATCTATTAATTGAGACCTGTTGGACAAACTGATTTTGTTAGCTTCGTTAGTCAACGTACCATTTGCTCACTCCAAGCCAGTATTAAATGTCTTTATGATGTTTCTATGACTTATCTATAATGGAAAATAAAATTAATTATAAAGAAATTTTCCAGTGAAATAAAAATTAATATAAGAAACTTATTCCATACCTGCTTTTGAAATTATCAAGCCAATCTTTACTGGCATGAAAATATGCTTTGTCATACTTCTTAAAAAAAATTATTAAAGAAAAATTTTGACTTTTCAGCTAATACATTCGAAAATCGGACATCATCTCTTCTGCAAAAGTGATATATTAAGGGATTTCTCAACTTCTGGATGACCGCCAATTTTTAATTTTTTCCGTTTAGAAACACCTGATTGATAATACCTTATGAAGTAATTCCAGTAATATGTACTGAGAAAAAAAGTCAATTCCATTCTGTCTTTTGTCAGTTAATTTTAAGTATGTTTTCTTTCTTGTTTGGATTACTGAGGGGTTCGGATTATTGAAACTGTCCTGTAATTGCTTACTGTTTTATGCGAGCTGAGGTTTCAAATTTCCATTGCAAACCTACTTTATAGCAGTCTCAAACAGATAGAACAGTAAAAATATTTAATTTTTTGGTACAATGAAAAATGGTCAGGATGTGTAGTCAAAAAAGTAAGTTTAATGAGTTGGCTTACGTTTCGACCCATATATATGGGTATCAGACTAAAAACATTTATGTATGTAAGGAAACTGAAACACACAATGTGATAAAAATTTTGAACTCTAATTACAATTATTGCAATATTAACAGTTTTATTCATTTTTTTAATGCCTGGGAGATGACTAGTAGTTGGTATTCTTACCTTAGGCTCCAACTTCAATTTATCTCGTAGTTTGTTTAGGTGCCATATTTTTGCAGCTACATGAAATTAATCATACCTTTTGAGGATTATGATGTATTACAATTAAAGTTTTTGATAATTTGAAATGATTAAATTAAATTGACTTTTTACATTTAAAAAACTAGGAGACAAATTGATTGTAATATTTCAACAGCCACACTGCAAATTCCTGTAATTACAATTCTATTAAAATTTCAAATCAACAAATTTCGACGAACAATTCTGAAGAAACTTGAGTTTTTTTAGTCAATTTTGTCCTCGCGCATATTCAGAAAGACAAACCAAAAACGTTATTTAAAATATTTCTTAGTTTAAGTATACAATAAAAATTTGATGGAAATATCAGTTCATAAAATATACCATAAGCGGTTTATTTTCTCTTTTAAATAATTTTAATTTTTGTACTTGCAAGCTTTTATAGTGTGGCTGTCGATATTTCATTTTTGACTTTGATGCATACTTCAATATGAAGTTTTTCTGTATGATCTTTCCATTCGTTTTTTTTTTTTTCTTTTTAATTTATTGTCACAACCTAATTTTGCAAAAATGTAACAAACCGTTATTAGCCACACTTTTCCAATGAAAAGTATTTGGAAATTTCCACATAGTCGTTTATGTACTTAAATTGTATATATATATATATATATATATATATATATATATATATATACTGATATATTTAATTTAACTGTTACATAATGAAGCCTATTACCATTTTCTTTTTTTACTTTAGGTTATTCTGCTAAACCATTCCGGAGGACTTTGACTGGAGGAGACGAAAACAGAAGGGATGGTCGGCCTCCAAGAAGCCGGAGACGTTCAGAAGATGAAGTGGTGGAAGATTTCCTCGCAACTGGAAAATTGAGTAGTCTTGATAGAGTTAGAAACTATTTAGAGGATCTTAGAAAAAACAGCATTGAAGGTGCCCATCCTCTTCGCAGGTACTACAGTTCTGAAATGCAAAGACCTGATTATCCAACTCTTCCTAGGCATAGAATTTCTAGTTTAGATGAATCAGTTAGGAGGAACAGGGATCGTACATTCTGTTACAATATGGACCGGCCTTTGTTTACAGACAGTAATAAAAAACTTAATATCGAAAGTAATAGAATGACTAATTCTTCTGAAATGAGAAACCATATTTATAACACAGACGAATCAAATGATTATAATAAGGCAGAACAAAATCATGTGGTTCCATCTACTTCTGACAAAGGTGTACAGTCTGATTTCCCTAATAAAGACTGTTCCACTAGTTCAGAAGAAACAAAGAATACTTCTAATAACAATGAAAAATCAAAGCGAGATACTAAGAATATTGAGAAACAAAGCAAAAAAGATAAAAATGGTTCTAGAGTAAATAAAGCAATAAACTCGCTCAGAAAAAAAAGTGAATTATATGAAAATGAATTCTCAGAAAGTAAATTATTAAAGAGAGCTGTCTCGTTGGAAGATGTCAAGACTGAATTAAATAGAAATATGCGTGCATCTTCATTGAAGCCTGAAGGGACTTCAGAAAGAAGGGATAATTTTAAAGGGAAAGGAGGTTTTTTTTTTGACTCGTTAAACAAAAAAAAAGAAGACAGAGAAGCTCGGATTGCAAACCTGAAACGACTAGATCTTGGAAGGGGTTCTGAATTATCAACTGAGAGCACACCGACTGGAGAGAACGATGAGGGTAGTATGATTTCGGCAACTGATAATTCAGACACTTGGTCCAGCTGTGATATGGGAGAACGATTTCTTGACCCATCTGCCGAAGATTGTGTATCGGAGAGAATCAGAAGGAAAAGTTTCTATCATCGGTTCAATACACCAAAGCGACAAACCTACCATCGATCCACTAGCAATATGGAAAGAAAAAGATATTATTGATGTGGTATCTGATATATTTTGGTTTCTTCATTTTGATTATTTATTTATTTAGTGAATCAATAATTAAACAATTTCATAGAAATATGGTAGGCCTAATCCACTTTAGAAGTCAGAGTACATTGCATTTTTTACTAAACAATTCTGTAGCATTCAGGTAAAATATATGATGGACTTATTCTCATTTTCTGTTACAAGTATTTCATAATTAACATTAACTGTTATGGCATTTGTTCAAAGATATTGCCTTGAAAAAAATATTTCTTGAATTATTTCATCATGATTATTTATTTATAGATCTCATTTTTTTTTTAATTATATTTTTATTATCTTTAATTTTGCATGATTATTATTATTGGAAATGTATTTTCCACAAAAGTTTTTACAATCTATTTGAAAAATAGCTTTTTGATAGTTTTTGTTAATAGCTTCATTATTTAATCATTCTTGTTTGTTTTGTTGCAATTTCTATCATTAAAATAATAGTAATTTTTTATATTTCTAACAAGCTATTTGCATTTTTATTTATATCTAATTTTTATTAGTTTTGATTTTTTAAAATATGTTTTAAATTTGAAAAAAAGTAATTTAATTTTATATGGTTAAATAGAGTTCAAAAAGAACTATTATTATTGTAGCTTATCTTCATTTTTATTTGGATCATTGCTTTATTGAATTAAAACCCATTGTATTTATATGTAAAGTGAATTAATTACTTTCATCTAAACCTAATGACGATGAGATGACTTCTTTTATCAATACTTAAAAGTATGATTTTATTTTGAATGAAATTATATAGTGATATAATCTATGGAAATTTTACTCAAGAATCCAAAAATCAATTACATACAATTATAAATAATATTATTGAAGAATGTCTGTAATGATACACTCAAGTAATTTTAACTTATCAATATTTAATAGACAATATCCCGTAAGATCATAATGCTTAAAACTTATTTAATATAATAAGTTTGATTATTAGCTGTCTAAGGCTCCACTTCTGATTGTAAATTAATTAATATTAATTTCGACCTAAAAAAAAAGTTAAAAAATTTACTTAGTGAAATTTTTTATTATTATATCAGTTATCAACATGCATCAATATTTAGAAGCTAGTGTTTTAATCTGTTTCTGTTATTATTTAACATAACATTATTTGCCCAGTTTCTTTAATTTATATACTCTATGTGAACGTTAATAATTTTTAAATTAAAAATTTGATTCACATCATAAATTTTATCTGATACAGGCCCAAGTCTAATTGGTATTTATTAATTTTTAACATAAATTTTAATTACCTAAATTATTTTTATTTTTAGCAAATCATAACATTGATATTTTATCATCGATTATCTTTAAATATTTAATTACAAATAAACTGTTAAAATGGCCTCCACTACTACTGGACATTCTTGCTTTAGTGCCTAATATTGTGAATAATACTTTAATCAATTGAATTAATTGAACACAATTAATTATTTACAACTTATTTTTGTATTGCTCTTGACAAAATAAAATACGAATACACAAAACAGTGTGATAAAAGAAATAATTTTCATTACAGGACATTGCATTTAAAGATCATTTTTAAAAATGTTTTATGAGTTAATTTCTCTTCCCTCTATGAATTAATTATATCTTAAAATCTTTTATCGTGTGTAGTTGTACTTTAATTTTATTTCTATTCCTTCAAATTGCTAAGTTGGTGCTGTCTAGTCTTCTCTGTTATTTGCAATAATTAAAATAACAGATGGTGTTATGATATGTTTATACCTTCCTTGTAGGTTTTAATTATTTTTAAAAAAATTATCAAAAGTCTAACTATTTTTTTTTCTTTTTTTGAAGCAATGGATTAGATCTACACTGCCAAAAATAGTGTGCCAAGCTTTGTTACCAGTGATTTTGTTTCAAAACAAATTTTTAAGATAAAAAATTATTCTACCTCTAGTCAAATTCATGGATAAAACGTTTGAGTTATTTTTAGTTAATACTTTTATTTTAATTAATGTTTATTCCAAATTATAGACTATATTTATAAAAGGTTTGAATAGAAGTGTATTTTTTATTTATTTTGAAGGAAAGTTTTTCTTAAGTTTTATAAAAAAAATAAAAACAAAAAAATGAAAAAATTGTGATCAAATTATGCCTTTTAAAATGTATCTAATGACCAATAAATTAATTGATCATAACAATTATCAGCTTGTATGGATGATTTGTTATTGTGAAAATGAGATTATTTATTCAAATATATTTATTATTGTTTCATTGTTATTTTCTTTTAATCCTCATCCTTTTTTAATCAAATTTCAATTTTATCTTTTATCATTGTGGACTAGACACAAAATGTTATGTTTCGACTGTATGGGATAGCTTTCTAAATGATCTGGACACCCTGCTATAAAATCTCAAATAAAATAGGTTTTGTCTGTTCCATTGCATTTAAAAAAAAAATTTTTTTGTTAAATTGAACTTGGACAGAAAGTGCCGGTTGTCTAATTTGTAAAAAATGTAAATTAGCCAGAATGAGTAAGTGAATTTGTTTATAAGGTTAGCTTTGATTTTGTAGTTGTATATATATATATATATATATATATATATATATTAGGATTGATCCTGTCTGTAGATCCTCCAGGGGCACACCTTAGACTCTATAAAGTATGTACTCTTAATTAAGGAGAAAACCTGACAGTTGAGCATGATTCTGACCTGATCACCTCCTTGCACGACTGTTGGCCATGAAACAGTACTTATTAACCAAGCACTGAACCCAAAAACGCTTCATGGGTTGTAGAGGTACAGTTTTTTTTTTCATTCATTCATAAGAGGAAAAAATTGAAGAAAGTTTTTGTTAGTTAAAACTTTTAACTAATTATTTGTTACCACTTGAAATAAAAATACATTGAATTGTACTAAAAATTTTGATAAATAAACATGTTAATTAACCTTTAGTGACGATGAGCGACCTTGAGGACAGAATTAGCTGACTGCTTCATGCCTCTGTGTTGGAATACTTTTCATCTCCTATACTCAACACAGCTTTTTGTTTAGGACATTTCTCCAATTTTTTTAAATTTTGCATCTAACTTTTATACAATTGAAATGAATGAATCCACTTTCATTAAAATTAAAATATAACTATTAAAGTTTTTATATTTTTGGTTCTTTTATTATCTTGTTTTCCAATTACAAAATTAAAATCACTTATTTTTAATCTAATTTAATTGACATCTTGGCAAAAATTGCCATGAAAAGGAAATAAATATCACGGAAATTCTTACAGGCCTTGGCTACTTAAATTGGAATTCTGTTCTGTGGCTGTTTTCTTTTCTTCCTTAATTCATTATGAATTGAATGTCATAAAATGCATTGCCACATTAAGCGTTTTCTTGACACACATCCCCAACTCTGCATCATAAGTTAGCAATTTAGTACTTATTGCTCACTAGATTGGTCTAGAACAGAATTGAGCGTGAGGGCCCTAGCAACTACTTTATGTTTGCTCACTGTTGAACAACAAAATTTAAGTAAAATGTAATATATACATTTTTAAAAGACTATTTAGCAATTAAAGTTGGAAACTTAGTGGGGGGTTGCATTTAGTGAGAAACACAAATAAAAATTGGTTGCGCTTAGTAAGAAACACAGATAAAAATTATTTAATTTTGTGTTGACATTCCGGCCTAAATTTTAGGCCCTCTACACTTACAGAATGTATTTAGTAATTTATTTAAAATATAAACCTATTTGTTTGAAAATAGTTACTTATATATCATAGCATTTAACATAAACCGCCCTCCCTCTCGTTTTTTAATCTTTGTTTTAGGGTGTGGCTTTTTAATTAATTAATATTTTAAAAATTGTATAATTAATAGTTAGTGAGGTTAATAGTAGTACGAATTGTTTTCAATTATCTCTAGTTCTTTTTGCCTTATCTGACGATAATGATACTTATCGGAAAGGTCAAAGTCCGTTCTTCGAAACTGTTGTGTTTGGTTTCATTGGCAATAGTTTTGTTTGTGCTACAGAGTAATAAATGTGTCAAATGATAAAGTACATTTTCGCCATATTTTGTTTTTTATTTCAAAAAAAGGCAAGTAAACTTCAGAGGCCCACCGATAATTAAGGTACACGTGAATACCTTAACAGAATGTATTGCTCAAAACTGGTTTGCCAAGTTTCGTTCTGGAGATATGATGGTATTGTATTCCACCATGACAGCCCACACTCCACAATAATCACACAGCAAAAGTTAGTACAACTTGCCTGGGATGTTTTATTATACCCACCTTATTCTCCGGACCTTGCACCATCCGACTACAACTTATTCCAGTCCCTCCAAAACTCTCTCACCAGGAAATCATTCGCTGATCAGAGATGTGAAAATGTACCTCGATCAGTTTTTCACTTCTAAGCCCTAGAGATGTTTTACAAGAGTAGGATAATGAAATTGTTAGAAAAATGGTCAGAGGTCATTATTAAAAACGGTGAATAAATTATTGAGTAAAATTTATTCTTTATATAAAAAATACTGTTTGATTTCACCCATCAAAAACCGAACAAACTTATGGATCCACCCAATACTTTTACCTTTACAGCTTATATCCCTTCAGAAAAGTCTCTATCAGTGTTCAACTCATTTATCTTCACAAGATCTTATTTATATAATTCATCTCTTTAATATTCATAAAAAGTTCGTTGGATTCGAACTTTAACCTAAATGATTGATAGTTACTGATGCTGACCAATATGTACATTGTAAATAATGTTTTAACAATACATTTAGTAACATTTAAAATTATATTAAAAGGGAAATACAGAAATAGAATTACAACAGATTTTTCTAAATAAGTATATTATATAATATAATAATCTTTTAAAGTTATACAAAATTAGTAACTATATTTTATATATACATGTATAAATTTTTGTTATGTAATAGTATCTATAATACTATGATCAACCAATATAAACATATCCATATTAAATTAATAATAAAATTGAATGGTATGGTATTGCACTCAAAATAATAATTATAAAATTTACTTTATATATATAAATATATTCCAACATAAATAATTATTTTTCAGTTATAAATAAACAAAATTTAACAATATGAAATTTTATCAGATTATAAAATGAACTATATTCAATGGATAAGGAATGTAGTAATGAATAAATTTCAGGGTGTATCTTTAGTTTATCACAGTTCACAGATCACCGACAATATAGGAAATAATTTAAGAGACTACACATTGGAAATAAATATTCTGTTGCCAGTGAAGGAATTTCTTAGGACTAAAACTCATGAAATTGAAAGAGGTTTCAATACCAGTACGGTTTTGAAACCATTTAATTTAACAAACTCTAATAATAAATATTATATTAAAAAGTAAGAACTATATATTATGAAGGACCTGCCTTCATGGAGATGATAACATTAAATCCATCTTAATGATAATAAGTTGAAAAGAATTATCAAAATCATAAGTGAAAACAGTAATCAACAAAATCAATCCATACTAACCTAAAGTCAGACAAAATGTATATAAAAATTGCAAATTATGTAGACCCATGGTTATTTTAGAAAACAAGATTCTAACATCATCCTTTCAGTTGGACAGTACATATCTTATTATCTAGAGAAACACTACAACATTTAAAAAACAAGAAGACAATGGTTTTGGTAAAATTCGTCTCAATTTGTCAATGAGAAAAGAAATCTTTAGTTATATTTTAAAATTAATGTAGTCAGAAAAATTATAAATTTCATTATGAATAACTAAAAGAAGAACAATAATAGTTTATGTATGGATAGGTTTATCCACAAACTACTTTCATGATATGAAATAATGATCAGACCATTCTTATTTACTTTTATAATCATTTGAAAATCCTTCAACAAATTTAAATTAAGAAATAATACTATACATTAAATAATAAATTAATTCAATTAATAACATAAATGAAACTTTTACTGATACTGATAGTAAAGAAAAATGACTAAACCTTACATTAGGAAAAAAAATTGTTGGTTATAAATAATAATGCCTTTATAGATCAGTATTCCAAGGAATCATACATTTCTATAGCTTTCTAATTAAGGGATCAGTAGAAATTTCACTATCACAGAATATTGATTGGCTACTTGCTAGCTAAGAATGTCAGTATTACAGTTCCCATGATATATTTTAATAGGAGAAGGACATGAAAAAAATTTATGAAATGTTTCTGAATATCCATGTTTACTCCACCATGTGCATAGTTGTCTGTTCCATCCACAATCAAGCAGATGCAACAATTCAAGATGTTCGAGCCCGATTAAGGTGTAAAAGTCTTGATCACCTAAATGACCCTAAGGCAAGACAAACATAATTTTGATATAAGAATAAATAATTGTTATCATTTAAGTTCAACAATAATCTATCATTAATATATAGTAAAATATAACTTTCCTACTACTACTAAGTAAGAAAGTATTGCCATCAGGTAAAATTTCCAATATGTGGTTTTAACAGATCCTCATGTTTCAGAATTTAAAAACACATTTTCAGCCATTAGTCTCTCTATGTGTACCTCTACAACGATTATCTCTTAAACGGTTGGATCAATTTTGTTGTTTCATTTTTGTTTCATATGGTTTCGGCCTCTGACCCAGTGTTCTGAATCAGGTACACTTTATAAGCAAAAACTCTGTTTTTCTGTAGAACATAATGACAAAACTATTATGTCTTTGTTTTGTTTTTCAAATAAATCGAAAATTATGTACCTTGGTATATGCAAGATATTCATTTGAAAGATAATTGTAAATTTGTTTACATTTATAGTGGTTTAATTTGTCTGAAATCGGTAGGTAAGATTCATGAAAATAATTTTAGCAATCAGCAGATTTCTTTATCTTAAATGTAAATATTGGGATTGGAAACATTTAATCGATTACTTGTAAATACGGACTAATTTCTGTGATAGAGGTCTTTATAAATGGACAGATTAATAATAACTTTAGATGGAAATATTTGAAGTCATTATTTTAAACTTTTTTTGTAAATAAAATGTGTATTTATACAGTTATATTTATTATAATACATTCCAAGTAACGGAAAAAGGAACAAATTAAAGATTTGCAATAATTTATTGTAGTAATTTTGCTTAGGTCTAGTCAGGAATTTCAGTCACAATTTTTTAAATATTGGGTTAGCTGACGCAAAACCCTCAATTCTTGTCTCAACTTCCAAACGATTTTCCTCCATTGGCACAAAGCACTAAGATCCTTGAGGAACTATTATGCATCATGCGTTTCGTCCATTTTATTTCTAAAACGTTAATTTGATCGCTTCTGCTTATCTTAGTAGGTTTAACGGATTTATAGTCATAGCTTCTAGGGTAATCTACTTGGTCCTCCTCAAATAGCTCTAGTCTAAGCCTTGAAAATCTATCACATCGACAAACGATGTGAAAGCGTTTCATTCCCCTCCTGTCAAATTCTGCATAGCGGGTTCCTGATCACTCGCAAATTGAACCCATTGATTAAATCCAAACGATAGCCCTGATGATGACCTACAAGTTGGAGTTGAAACGTCGGCAACCCAATAATAAAAAAATTGCGACTGAAATTTTGTTTCATCTTTATAATTGATCAATCGACTACTCACCCATCTCTAAAGTTTTACTTAAATGTGTTCAACAAAATCTTTACTAGTATAACTCCTAAGTAATAATAAAGAACTGTTACTCGGAACCAAACAGAAAAAAACATATGGAACATGCTACAGTTGTAACTTGTTGATTAGATTGTGAATTATATTTATAATACCAGAAGAGAATTAGGTGTAATTTAAAACTTTTTTTTGGTTGGTCCAAGTTACAGCACGAAACAACATAATATTACTTTACCTTAAAAAAATATTTTTTTGTCAATCTGTCAAGGGATTTTTCTGTCAGGAGTTCTTCAAACAGTTTTGATGATCTTAGTCGATCTAAGTCCAGAGCAAGCACTCCTGAATTCACCCCAGGAAAGCCACCTTCTGAATGAGCTACGCCTAACTTTGTATTTTTATGCTGTTGCCTATATCTGTACAAAATATGATGATATACAGGACTCAATTCTGGAGCAATGCCTATGATACTCTCATTTGAAAACCTAGGGAAAACAGTAATCAATTAAAATAAGGAAGTTAAAAAAAAAAAATTACAAGCATATCATGGAATTATTGTAAAAAGGTGTTAGGTAACATTTCATAAAATTAAATCACTCTGTACTTTGATGAGTTTTTCCCCTGTGAAATCAGAATGTTGTACATTTGAATGTAATTGGTTTTTATATATAAAAGAATTTGTGTCATTTTCATGTTTTTACTGTGCTTTTGCATCAATAAAAAAACTTACTTAAAAATTTAGCTTCATTAAAAATGTACTTAGTGATTTTTTTCACTGTAGCACTTCCATATGAAGTGCACAACAAAAAAACAACAGTACACAATAAAAATAAAAAAAATTATAATGCATAATAAATCTTTATGTTTCATGGATATACCACCAAATAGCCATTCTTGCATATCGTCGGAACCATGTTAAAGTTGTGAATGTGATGAATCACATTTTTCAATTTTGTTTCATTTACCATAGTCCAGAAAGTCTACCTTGTGGCAAAATGTTGAATCTGAATGGCGACCGGAGCGGAATCAGTAATGGCATTTTTATGAATTTATAGTTTTGTTAGATATGTGCATGTCGTAGTAACGAATAATCATAATCGAAAGTTTACATAAGGCAGATTTACATTTGTTACTTTAACACGGTTTTTAAGCTGACGATATATAACCTACTTATTCCTGTAAATATCTCACTCAATAAGATTCTATAAAAATTAAAATCAACAAGTTCAGACTAAATATGATCTTCTCAAATATACCTAGGCCTACCAAAAAGTGTTCTCAAGTTGATTCAGCTCTGAATAAAATATCGAAATGATTCATTCTTAAATCAACACAACAGTTTTACAATATCAGTCATTGTGAAAATCTCTAATGAGAGACCATCTAAAATCTCCAGTCAACTCACCTTTCTAATGACCATGTTTAGGTCATTTACATTTACATTAGTTGAGAATACCAATCTGATCCTTTATAAAATTTAGTCATAGATATTTTAAACATTCTACAAATAAAACATATAGAAAACCAGACACCACAAACGGATAAGTAACAGTTTAAATAAAATAACTAAAAACGTCCCCATTCACTTCTCATTGAAGGCTCAAGATACTGATCTCAAGTGTTTTCAGTACAATGACAACAAAGAATCGAAACCTAAGTGCAGTAAGTGGGTTAATATCTATTGCAAATGAGATTTTGAGATGCTGCTTGGATATTAAAATTCTACAAGAAATTAGGGGATCAGTAGAGTTTTTGATAACAAAAGCTTTCAGATCTGCAGGAAGCAGTAGTTCATAACGCATTAGTAATTAATAATAGTCATTATGATTTATAATAGGCATATGTTAATAAAAACCAGGCTTAGAAGAAATAATCATAAAATAACAATAATTACAACTTACTTAGAAAATTCATTGAAAAGTTCCACAATATCAACTTTTATCAGTGTATCCACATCAATTAATATTACTTTATGCTGAGTAAAAGCAATCTTGTGAAGAACCAAAGAAACAAAAAACAATGGGTCACTGTAATAAGCTCCAGGTTGAGAACTGAAGTATTTTCGCATTAAATATACAACATTTCCAATCTTATTAGTTATCACATTAACATCATGAAATGACACCTGAAAAAAAAAATATAAATATTTATATATATATCAGTGTTTCTTTTTTGTTGAATAGGAACTGATATCTTAAAATATATTTGATTTAAGTAACAAAACATTGCCCCATGGTAAACTAGATAAAATTAACTTTAAAATAAAATAGAGTTTGTCATTAATAAAACTATTTAAAGAGAACTATTGAGTGGAGGAGTTTCCTCAGTTGGTGAGTGAAGAAAACTTCCCACGGTTCAAAGACTTCATAAATGGCTGGAAGACGGCGGTGGGTCCAGCTCACTTCAACCTCGGTGCCTGAAGAAGGAGAAGAGGACCAGTGTCAGGAAGGCCTGCGGATTTGGGGAGCCAGGCCTAATTTGGTGTAGAAGGAAGAAAAGCTAGCTGTGTGCACAGCTTTGAATTTTTTAAACTGATATTATGGCAGTAGAGTGTTATAATGTATTAATACTTAACACCACACTACTGCATACACCCGTATTGCTCTGGTGGCATGGGAGGGTGGAAAATAAATAAATAATAGAGTCAATTAATTCTAAGTAACTAATGCAGCCTCAACTTTGGACAATTCAGCAGTTACAGAGAAGTCAGGGATATGATCCTATGATTTGTCACCTGGAATCTTAGTTCAGTCATTAGAAAAGGCAAAGAGCTAGTAGAGGAAATGAAGATGAATAAATTTCTTAATAGGGCTGTGTGAAGTGTGAAAAGTGTCACCAAACATTGTCTGGTAGGTATAATTTGTTTTAATTCAACTTTAGAATGAAAGAAATTAGTTTTTCTTTTTGTGGTAGAAGAACTTTAAACAATGATGAACCTTGGCGACCATTTTCACCAATGATTACTAGATATAGAATTTTAAGTCATTTATTGTAGAACTGTTACAAGGATGTGTCCCAGTTGAGAAGGCAGGATTCTTTGAGAAGGCCCAGTGATATGAAGACCTCCCAAAGACAGTAGATAACAATAATGAAATAGTAGATAACAAATAAAAAAATGTTATATCTTTGGAGACCTAAATACCAGAAACTGAAAATGGATAAATTTAATGCACATGGAGTAATGGATGCCGGAAGAGGAGGAGAAACAGCCTACCTATAAAGAATTATGTAACGAAAATAATGTTCTCAGTAAGCTAAAGAAATTCTTGGTTCTATCACAACACACGAGGAGGAGAGTTATTGACTATACTCTAAGATTATTCCAGGCCCGGACGGAATCCAGTCAGAGCTGTTGAAATGTGGAGGTGAAGAACTCAAGAAGGAAGAAAAGGACTCACTGGGAGAGGGAAGCTATGCCTACGGAATGGGCAACAGCCATTATCTGCCCAATACATAAGAAAGGAGATCAAACAGAATGCGCTAACTATCGAGGAATCTCACTCCTTTCGTGTGCTTATAAGCTGCTCTCTAACATTCTCTTTGAGAGGATCCTCCCGTATTCTGAAAAGGAACTGGGGAAATATCAGGCTGGATTTCGAAGAGGACGCTCAACCACTGATCAACTGTTCTCTCTGAGGATGATCCTAGAAAAGACTATGGAGCGTAAGGTAGTCACCCACCATCTATTCCTGGACTTTAAAGCAGCATACGACAGCGTTGATAGAACGCAACTATACTGTGCCTTGGAGGAGCTAAGCATCCCTCAGAAGCTCGTACGCCTAATCAAGATGACCATGGACAGCTCGAGATGTAGAATACGCGTCGGTTCTGACGACTCCGAAGAGTTTAAAGTGAGCAGTGGGGTTAGGCCATGGGATGCCCTCGCCTGTCTATTGTTCAACTTGGCAGAGGAGAAAGCTGTAAGAGACTCCGGTATTCAGACCAACGATATAATCTTCAATCGCCTGACACAGCTTCTTGGTTTTGCTGATGATATTGACATAATAGGTAGGTCTGAACGGGCTCTCAGAGAAACGTTTATAGGCCTTGAAGCAGCTGCAAGACCACTTTGTCTAGAAGTCAACGAGAGGAAAACTAAGTATATGAGAGTTGGTGGTGAGGTGGATCTGAACTCTCCATTTGAGGTAGGTTCTTTTAAGTTTGAGAGAGTGAAAAGTTTTATATACCTTGGGTCTGAAATTAATAGCAAAAATGACATGGCTCAAGAAATACAAAGAAGGATCACGGCTGCCAACAGATGTGTCTTTGGACTTGGCCGACACTTAAGAAGTAGGTACCTCTCAAAGAAGACCAAGCTGATCATATACAAGACCCTTGTTCGGCCTGTTTTGACATATGGCTCAGAGGCTTGGACGATGACTAAAAAGGATGAGATGAAGCTGAGTGTGTTTGAGCGAGGAGTCCTCAGAAGGATTTATGGTCCAGTAAAGGAGGGTGATGTCTGGAGGAAAAGAAAAAATAGGGAGCTCAGTTCTCTCTATGCAGACATCGACGTAGTCACGTATATTAAACTGACCAGACTAAGGTGGGCAGGGCATGTGGCCAGAATGAGCACCGTTGAAATACCAAAAAAAATAATGATGGAGGAGCTGCACCTCGTAAGACGGGTAGGAAGGCCGAGGACGAGATGGTTGGACAACGTGGCCTATGATGCGAGAACCCTGCTTGGTGTACGGAACTGGAGAGCTGCAGCAGAAGACAGAGCCAACTGGCGGAGGCTCTTGGAGGAGGCCCAGTCTCGGTAACGGGATGTAGTGCCACACATGATGATGATGATGATACTCTAAGATTATTCAGTCATTGAAGTTAAAAGTGGTGCTGAATTGAGAATAGACCACAAACTACTTTTAGTTGATACTAACATTATCAAGTCAAGAAAGAGATACACTAATATATATAATAGGATTCATGTTAACTAGATGAAAACAATGATAAATAGTACAAGTCACGATTTGAAAGTCACTCGAAATGGTATTTGGGAACTATAGGCCAATAAGCATCACCTCAGGTGTGTACAAGACATCAACTGGAAAAGACCAAGCCTCTTTTAGCCCTGCAAGATAGACCCAGGACAATGTGGGCGGGGTAGCCGAATGGGCTAAGGCGTGTGCACTGCACCGCCGTTGCCCCGCAATCTGATATAAAAATCAGACAAATGATATACAAATAGCCACGAGTTCGCGTCCCAGTGCTGAAGGAGTCTTTTAAATCCCCGCCCACACTCCCTGGCCCGGGAAAACCCCGTATAGTCTTAACGGCGAGGAAGGGGAGGACCCAAAAAAAAAAAAAAAGACCCAGGACAATACTTTGTTTCTCTAGATGATTGCAGAAAAAGCATGGGACTACGGCATGGCAATCGATCTAACATTTTTTATTTGAAGACAACTTCTGATTCATTTATGAAGATGAAGGATGTCACTTAATCTGATGGTATTGAATAAATATACCATCCAATATAAGATCCAAAGATTATTATAAAACCTAAGGGTCAGATATCACAATCTTCCCATTTTTATAAAGGAATGAAGTAGTGGTTAATGTTAGTCCCCCGCCTTTTGTCTTTCATATAGGTGAGATATGGAAGTTGCTTAAAAGGTTTCAAGATCTGAAACTCTAGACAGCAAGAGGATATCATATTGAAGCAGAGAAAACAAGACAGAGGACAGTGGGCTAGATATACTTAACCACACATAGACATCATAGTTAAGATAAGTTAATGAACTGGTATGGTTCCATTCAAAAATTCCGAAACAGTGAAACTCCCCTTATTAAAAAATTTTGATGTCACAAGTTGTGCCTTGCAACTCTCCTCTGAATACTCTTGGATACAGACAATAAGTTTAAAATTAGGAATGGGTGGTGAGGGCAACAGTTAATGCTGAAACAACCTGCAGTGAGGTATGGTCGATGTGAATTTGACCCACCTGTCAACGATGTTTGACAGTTGTGAACTAATGCCTTATATATTATACAAAAACAATGATTAAGTGCCTTAAATGAGATAAACAATATAACTGCAATTTTTCCCCTAAATATGTATAACTAACCTTCAGATCTTTTCCAGTAGAATTCTTTAAATTCAATATAATATCTTTGGCAACTATTCTACTTGAACTGTCAGTGATGAGATTCAGTGTTATCACAGATGAAGTGGTGTTGAGAAGAGAAAAAAGCATTCTATTAAATCTTTCCTTAATGACTTTATGTGTGCGAACTTTAGTAAAAATACACCACACATTATATTCTTCATTATTATGAATTGAGAGATGTTCTTTTGGGAATGATGAGCCATCAGAGTAATTCCTTTGCAATTCAATAACAAGTGAGTATATACAAATTAGAAACAAAACAGAACATACTAAAATTGAAAGTGTTTTGTAGTAAAGACGCATTAAAGCAAAAAACCATATTAAAATAAAAATATTAAAACAACACCCTTCCTCTAGTGCATTATAAACTGTCCAACTAATGATGTTTGGCTTCAAAATGCTTAAAGTAGTAAACCATCGATCATTGAAGATTCACTCATGAGAACAACAAGGAATAAGTAATTATCAGTTAATGGTATAGTCTAAGTAAAAAATCGGAAGTGGGTGAAATTTCTGGAGATAATAGGAGACGACCTTGGCCTGTTGTTTACAATACTTGATAATATCCAAGTCGCCATAAATTCACAATAGCTTAAAAGTAGCCCATATAACTTTTTTTTCTGTTATCCTACCTCACTGGTTCTACCGTACGAAGGAAGTTATCCTACAAGTAACCAACCTATTATTATTATAATACGAAGGTCAAGATTTATTTAGAGGATCCGTTTCCAAATAAATTTTAACTTGCCAAAACCGAATTCGAATCTGCTCCTAGTTTGTATATTTCCATTTTTGAAGCACGAAAATTCCATAACTTCCAGAATGAGGATTTACTTGTTATCCATGTGTACAGGCCGTTACGGATAACTATAGATAAAATTCGTAAGAATGGCTCATCTAAATAGCAACTCACATAATCTCTGAAATCTTGAAAATATGATTAAAGGTAGTAAGCACCACGGGCGGATCTACGGGGGGGGGGGGGCTTTCGGGCTGAAGCCTCTCCCAAAATGGAAACATATAACCATGTTTTATGGGAAAAAAATTTAAAAAATACCTCTTAAAGTATTATTGTTCGTGTAATTTCGTGTAATGTATTATTTAAAAGTACTTAAGGAATAACTTAAACACTACTTCATATAGGTAGTTAGTTTCTTTCTGTTTTTCCAAAGTAATTATCGTTATTTTTATGAAAAAAAAGGTTTCGGGCTGAAGCCCCCCCCCAAAAATAAATCCTGGATCCGCTAGTGGTAAGCACAGGCGGATCTACGAATGCAAAACACCTTTTTCTTCCGTAGTGAGGAAGTAAATATACCAGCAATTCTACCAAAAATTTTCAATAAAAGTATTGCCTATCCCCCATTCGATTCTCTTAATAGTGGTTTTTATGATCTTTCAATTAGTTTTTTTCATGAAAAATATCTTTTGGTGTTTAAACGAAATGGAAATTTTCTGATTTTTTTGGGCTATCTTATAATATTCACTAAATGTAATAGTTTCAATACATTACATTTAATTTCCATCAAAGTTTAATGGAAAGTATTATTATTTTGGTCGACTTAAGTTTTTGTTAGTTTTAAATTTTATACATCGTACTATTTCTTTTTCATAACGTTTTGTGGTAGGGCTGGCACGTGCTTGGAAAGCTTTGAGACCTTACAGAAATTTCTGTCCCCGTCAACGGGTGCCCAGGAAGTTCCATGGCGCAAATAACGCCATAAAATTTTGTTTTGAATTTTTGAGGGGAGCACATTTCGACGTGGTTACATTCGATCATGGGGTAACGGGCACGCCTGTCTCCGCCTACGACTAGACTCTTGGAGTTCTGTCTCTCGTTTCCCTGAACGGTTCAGTACGTTTTTCTTCCTCTTCTACTTCTAACAATAAAATATAAAACTAAAGATAAGTATCTTTTTATTATTTTTTTTTAATATAATAATAATGATATAAAAATAAGTAATAACAATATTACATTTTCTCTTAACGCAAATATGCATGAACTAGGTAAAACAGGAAAAAAATAATAGGGTTAATTTTACTCCTCTTATCACTTCAATGTAAACAAGATTTTGTTGCATACTTAATAAAAGGCTTCGGTTTGGATTTATTGATAAATTACATATATAAGATGGCACGGGCGGATCTACGGGGGAGGGGGACTTTCGGGCTGAAGCCCCCCCCCAAATGGTAAAATATAACCATGCTTTATCGGAAAAAATATTAAAAAACTATCTCTTAAAGTATAATTATTCGTGTAATTACATTTAAAAGGGCTTTAGGAATCACTTAAACGCTAGTTCATATAGGTACTTAGTTTCTTTCCTATTTTCCAAGGTAATTATCGTTACTTTTATGAAAAAAAAATCTTTCGGCTAAAGCCCCCCCCCCCAAAATTAAATCCTGGATCCGCTAGTGTAAGATGGGGAATCGGGAAAATTATCCTTGGGTTCCTTGTTTTATTTTCGCGGCCTTGCTTACAAACCCTGTACTAGTGCCGTCATATGGACAGGCTGACCGGGTCACCGCGTCTAGGGGGACGCCACAGATTAGGGACAAACACTAAAACTAATAATCAGGAAACCTAATTTAGATAAGAGTTGATCAATAAAGTATATGTAATAAAAATAAAAAAAAACTAATCCTCACACAATAGACTAATTCTAAATTATTTTTTAATATGGAAACGAAAATTACAGCAAGCAGGGTTGAGATTGGGAATGTATCTCTATTTAATCGTTTAACTCTCTTTATTTATTTAAACATTGGGTAATATGGTATTAGCCGATTTGGGATGGAGCGAAGGGAAGGTGCCCGGAAAAATCTAGACCCGGACACCATAAATGTACGCGATGGCCCATCTTGTACCATAATATTGTATGGTATAAAGTATAGAATTATATTATCATCCTGGTACTCTATTTTTATTTTACATAAAACTTTATCCATTTCCTTAAATTAGGTTCTCAAATTTTCAAATATTGGAGGAGGAGGAGAAAAATGGCACGCTCTGGCAGCGGGTCTCGGTTACGCTATAAGTAACAAGTAATCGTGGTCAACACTATCGGATTTAATTTTGGGGAGGAGGTTCAACTCGAAACATTTTTATTTTATTTATATATTATGATAATTACTTCGAAAGAAAGAAAGAAACTAACTACCTATATGAAATATTGTTTAAGTGATTCTTTAAATCCTATTCAATGTAATTAGACCAACAATAATACTTTTAGAGATAATTTTTTCATAAAACATGGCTATATTTTACCACTTTGGAGCGGTGGAGGGGAAATTCAGCCCGAAAGCCTCCGTGCCCCGTAGACCCGCCTGTGGTGGCAAAGGATGCTGAGAAGAGAATTGCGTGGAGAAAGTTGCGCTAACAAATTGTTTAAGGAAGGGAGGATATTTTTAATGGATAATGATTTTTTGAGAGAGGTCCTTTTTTGTATGGGATAAAGAATTTTGAAAGGAGACCATTTTTAAAAATAGTTGAGCAATAAACTTTCTTGTGAGGTACCCATCATCCGTTGGTAGAATATACTTCGCTCTTCGTGACCTATTTAAATCGACAGTTATGAATCTGTTTTAAATTGTAGTATTAGTTATGGTAATGATATTAATCTAACTAGGGTGAGACAGTTGGGCTGCTTTACCGGTTTAGATTAATGTTTACTTGAAATAAAAAATCCTATCCTCTATTAAATAATTTATAGAAAAAATAACGAATTAAATACTCAAGAGGGACTGAAAGCGAACTGCAGATTGAGGTTTGAGTACCAGGTAAGGATCAATAGAAGTGGGGAGCTCTAAGTCGTGAACAATTTAGGGGTCCTCAACAGCAAGAAAAACTCTTTAGAGACTTTCGTTTGTGGAATTAGACCATTTTATGGAGGTCTTTAAATCTTTTTGTTTATTTCAGAAATTCTTTTGATAAAATATTTTTTAATCTTGAGGCTCTTACAGAGTCCTTTCTCCGTGAGCCAAATCCGGCCAGTTATCCGCCTTTCGCTTAATCCGCCCCTGCTGAATACTGCTCATAAGGTAACGTACTCATTTCTCAAATCTTGGCCATTCATTCCAATCGAGCGAGAATTGGTTGGCAGCCTACAGGATATCCCTTTTATCCAGGATGTTAAAAAAAAAGAGCGAAAATATAATCATCATTTTAGACCAATTATTTAGTTACTTGACAGTAACACTCTAATTACTATAATGTACATTTTACTTAATATTTTTGATATATTAATTAATATGAATATGAATAAATAGAATTTTTGTTGGTAATCTAATTCATGGTTTAGGAGTGGACTTTTGAAATCGATCAATCTTAAGGCATCATCAAACATTTAATCTTATAATCTTACACTTCCTACAATTTCTGTAATTTTGTTGCACCATATTGAACTTGAATGAATATTTTTAACATTAACTAATTTTTATTAAGATCTTGATTTAGTATGGAAGTAGTTTTTAGTTTAGGTCAAACATGAGTTATGATAATAAGGGCAGTGAATGGAGTAATTCAGCTGTTAGAGTAGTAAGATGTAAAGCTGCTGGCGGGACGCCCCGTTGGCAGTAAGATATGATATTACCAAGTGACAGCGAGGCCGGTTGAGATGGAAAATCAAGAATCGGCCTCTGATGAAGATGACAGGTCGAGGAAGAGGAGTGTTGTTTACATTCCTCAACCACCTCAGGAGTTTGGGGATAACAAAGGGGGTCTCCTCAACTGTAGGGCCTTCTTTTTCCTCATACTCTGGTACTTTTTTAGTGGATGCACATTGTTCATGAATAAATACATTCTTGAATATATGGAAGCAGACCCAACACTTTTAGGTAATACTAATGCTATTAATTATGTATCATTATTCAAGCTATGATGTTTAAATTAGTTTAGATCTTGTTATTAAACAGTATTGTATTCAAACTGTGTACTCAAGCTTAATTAGTTGCTGTTATACCTGCTAATCATCAAAGAGAGAATGTTTGTATGTAATTATAATTGTTTAGACATCTAATTATAATGTTAAATCATAACCCCACCGTATGAAATAATTCTCACTAGGTTTATGCTGTATTAATTATTCATGGTTATGATCTGTTTAATGGTCACAGAATTTGTTCAAGGATTCATTACTGTAATTTATTCATCAATATATAGTTTTATTAACTCAACTTCTGAAATTTTAAGCTCATCACCTGAGGCTCAATTATTTGTTTTCATGTGAATTACTGAACTATCTTGATAAAAATTAGGAGCTATAGTACTATCATTAAAATTAATTCTTTTACAGTTTTCCTTATTTGCTTATCTCTTTATAAATCTCAGTTAATATTTCTTTAAAGTAATTAATCATATTTTTGTTGTTTTTTTAAAATAGATTTTCTGTTTATTATATTGAAGAACCTAATATTTGAGTTCCAGTTTTCAGTGAAAAAGCCTTAATTGTGAAAGCTGCATAAATTATCATTTGCAATCGACACATATTTTATTATTCAGAAACATATTAAAATAACATTGCTTCAGATTTCTTTGTACTGTTGTTTTCATTTTTTTATTTTTTAGACATATGAAATTCGTTGAACTAAAGTAGATATCAGTTTAATTTATGCATTGCGAAAATTTAAATTTAATATTTTGTTTAGGCATTATTTTTGTATGATTAATTTTGACGGTTAGTTCATGAATGAATTTCTTTTCCATTTAATGTAATTTGTTTTTAGAAATATATCTTAATATTCAATTGTTAAAAAGTGTAATAATAATAGATATATTTATGGCTTATTTGTCATCCACAACTTAAAGTTGTGAATTATTATTTGATGGTTTATGTTATATGGAGGAGGAATGAAAAGTCAACTTTTGAAGGCCCCTTTAAGTACTTTCATTTGTTATTATTTCTTGTAAATATAACTCCTTTTTAAGTTTAATTTTTACATCAGGAGTTTATATTATTTGTTTAATTTGTTAATACTTATCTAAATGATCTTATGACATATATATTTATATCCCAATAATGGGTAAAAGAAAGAAAATGATTTTACTTATTTTTAATTTGTCGGTAAGTAAGTATTCTTTCGCTATTTCCTATACTTATAGTTTCCATATGGTTTGATACTATCAAGTCCTGCTTCAAAACCCATGCTTCTACAAATTTTCAAGGCTATTTTGCAGTTGTGAAATGAGGACTGGAGGATATGTATTCCTATGAGTAATAAACGAGAAATCTTATAATTTAATTCTATAATGAAAGATTTGGCCTTTAGTTCCTATAGCAGTTTCCATTGCCTGTATGATAAAAATTTGTTTTTGAAGTAATTGTTTTAATATTTTGTTAAGTTGGTTAAATGTGAAATCTTTTGATGATTAATAACTGTTTTGATTCTTCATTAAATATTTAGCAGATGATTCAGAATTTAAACGAATATTGTTTTTATTTTTAGGTACATTCCAAATGTTAATGACTGGTATTTGTGGTTTCATACAACTTTATTTCCCCTGCGGAATGTATAAACATCACCAACGTCTGTCTAGGCCTCCTGGTTTTTATCGACACATGGTGTTGGTTGGCTGCACAAGGTTTAATATACATTAAATATTAGATCTAATTAATTTTTTTTTAAACTATACGTGTCTGGTAAATAATGGAAAATATTTTATGTAGATCACAGTAGAGAAGCAGATTTTTGTTTATTAAATAAATATAATTTTTTGTTGAACCTGGGACCATTTCAAAGAAAAATTAGTCAATAAAACCTGTATTTTTAATTTTTTTGTTGTACTAAGAATGAATAGTCTTCTGGTCATGTTACAGTCTTGAAGGAAAATTAAAATCATTATTGTATTTCGAAGTTTTCAAATTGAATTTATTATATTCAATTTTTTTAAATTAAAAAATGAGTAATTTAATTTTAATTATAATCAGTGTTTTAATGAACAAGCAAATTACTCAATTTTTAAGTTTTAATATCATTACCGTACCTGAAATTTATTTTGGTAACAGTAATGACATTCATTCAAAGTACCCTATTGTTTTATTTTAAACTTGGGAAGTAGCATAAAGTCGCTACAAATTTGTGCAAATGTTGATTGATACCTATCAAAATATACTAGTAAAAACTGAAAAATTTGAAGCACCTGATTACAGCTCATGATTGATCATACCTGATTAAAGAGGTATGATAATGTTAAATGAAACAAATCAAGTTTATCACCTTTCACATTCGATGATTGCAAGAGATTCAACTGTTAATTTTTCAACAGTTGCCTTCGTTTTTCGTAGTTACCATCTCTTTCACAGAATCACAATTTTTTTCCCAACAATTCTGTAATCAAAATTTTCTTTTTTAACTTATTTTCTTCAGTCACCGTTTTGGCTACAGTAATGATTGTACAAATATGGGCCATATATTTTGGTTTATTATTTTCAATAATGAAACATTGTGATCGACCAAAAAATTCAAAAACATAGCTCCCTCTCAAAATTTGAGGTTTCACGTTTCAAGATGTGTAGAATTCGAAAAACGAATACAATTTTTTTTGTCCGTCTGCTGTCCTTCATTTTCTCCAAAACTACTGGACCGATTTTTTTCAAATTTTGATATAAAATCAGAGGTCACCCGAGGATGATCCTCCTTCATCGACATTACTCTCCACCTTTAACTTTCAAAATGGCGGCCGAAAAACCTGCGTTGCTATAGACTGTAGCTCCTAAACGAATGTACAGATTTCAATGAAACTTCGCTAAAGTCATTTTCTCGACGGCCTTTAAATTTATCTATATAACATACTTCAACGAAAAGAAGCTGGAAAAAAAGTTACGAGGGATGGTAAAATTAAATTCCGAATAACTCGAAAAGTTTTTACTTTTTTGTTGATATTGTATATAGTTTTTTAAAAGATTATTAAATTTCCTTAAAAAAAAATCGTTAAAATCGGACAATTAGGAGCAAAGATATGGTCTCTGGTTTTTTTTTGTGTTCTACTCCTAATGTTATATCCTTGGTTTGGTTTTTAAATTTTAAATGAATTACTGAAATAATGCTATTTTTTTTTTTTTTTTAGCATATTACTAATGATTAAAAAAAAACAGTTTAGTCCAATAATTGGAATAACCTTTTGTTTTTTTTTTCTTTGTAACTCGGAAGGTAATGCTACTTTAGATGTATAATTGTTTGGAGATAATAAACCATTGTGAAATCATTTGCAGCGTTTTTACTTAGCGCTTTTATATATAAACTATTAAGTATGATTAAAAACATAGTAATAACAAAAATAATTATTATTATTAAAATTGTTTGTTTATTTCTGTGACCTGGGACGTATTGTTACATATTAATTTCTAAAATGCACTTTCTATTAATAAAATATATGTAAAACAGGTTGTTTGACAATAAATATTTTAAAATCATCATCAAGTGATAGTGATCAGTGTTTTTTATACTAATCTTAATTGTGTAACGGTATCGGATGGCCAACTAAATATGTTATAATTTCAATATTTATGTTTTTATGAAAATTATTCAAGCCATTAGTGTTTTTTCCCTTCTATAATAAGTTTTTGTTTTTATTTTGTTGGATTATATATTTTTTTATTTTCGTTTATGTACACTATTTACTCCTGGTTATTTCTTCTACTTATGCTTATATAATTCTTTACTTTATTTTATTTTTTTGTGTTATAGTCTAGTAGACTTTAAATTTTATTGTTTTGTAATTATTTATTAAGTGTATGAGGTCAACTCTATTTGTATGGGGGCTTTTCCCATATGAAATAAATAAAATAATAACAAATAAATTGATTGGTTTATTTTTTAGAAATAATTAGTAATAATCAAGGGTGCAGCCAGCTCAAAACCGGAGGGAAAGCAGTTAGTTAAAAAAGAGGTTCAAGTAATTTAAGTTGGAAAGATTCAGTCTTTATTCCGTGGCTAATTTCTTTCAAAATGTTTATATACCGACATCCAACATGTCATTGTTAATCATTTCTTAGAAATTTGTATTTATATTTATTCTATTATTTTCAAATTGGAAGGGGGATAATATTAGTTTGCAAAAACTGTATTTTTAGTAATTACATACATATAAAAATACATCTCAGGTCACATAAACAAGAAATCAAAGGTTTGTAATGATTTATTGTGATTATTTTATTGAAAACAATTGTAGTTTCAGAGTCATTATTTCACACCCCAAGCTTTTTACAAAGCAGGAAGTGAATATTTGTGAAAGTTCTAATTCTAAAGAAGCTTCAAATTAATTAGTATGTACTTAAGGGTTTTTAATTTAGAATTTTTTTCTAAAAGTAGATAATCTGTAATCTAGTTGATGGCTGATAAAAAGATCAGGAATAATCTATTATTTTACGAAAAACAGAACTTAGCCCAGTTTAGCCTTTTTAAGTCTCCTTTAAAATTATTTTAACTAACATATTCGATTTGAAGTAAATTTTGTTTTGTTTGCTATGTAGCTATTGGTAATTACCTTAATAAATTTATTGCTTCCTCACTACCGAAGGTAGGGAAGCATTGTATTCGTGTAAAAAATGTGCTTCTTAAAAATACAATGGCTGAGAAATGTTGAAGGTACTGATCATATGGAGTGGGAGTTAGGTTATTAAAATATTTTTATGGGGTTATAAAATTTTAGGTTTTATTCAAAAAAATTAATTGATACTATATTGTTAGGTCGATTCCAAACGTTAATGGCATGACACTCGTGTAATTTTCAGTACATTTAAAATAATTTATACTCTGAGTTTGTAAAAAAATAAAGTCTTATTTGTGATTGTATTTATTTCCATTGAAATTCAATCTGTTCGTCTTGGCCTCGATTTCCTTCTTAAATATCGAAGTTATGTGAATTTCATCCATATTTTTACATTTTCTAGTTAAAAGCGTTTTGTTCTGACTGAAGAAAAGTATTTGTCCCATTAACTCCAAACAAACAACAAGTTGAATTTTTCCTATGGATTTTCTAGTTTCATCCATTTTACGAGTGAAAACATACCTATTAAGTATATATCACTACCATTAGTGCATAAGGTCGTATGTAAAAATTTTCTACTTTTATTCTATTTGTGCTAAAGGTGACATTTTGTAGTCTGCTACTATGGAAAATAGCAGATGACAATAAAATATGAAATTATACTAATAAAGCATAAAGAAATAATGAGTTTTTATGCACTTTTGTTAAACAAACAATTTTTACATACAACCTTTTGCACTAACAGTAGTGAAATGCATGTTCAGTGTGCATTGTTTTTTTAATTAAGAATAATCAAATATAGACTCTTTAAATACGGCACTATTTCGCATTTTAATATTAGCTGATAAATGAAATTCATGGATATCAAACCCGCGAATGTTCAAGGGTAATTGTATTTCCGAATTGGCTTCTCCCAGATATTTTATTCTCATACAAAAAATTGTATACCTTCCAATATTTTAATATTTTAGCCAATGAAAACGGCGAGGAAGCTACACTGACCTTACTTGGCAGATGTTTTTTTTTAGATATATGATACGAAAATATCATCGGGGAAATCAGAACATATTCTTTATTAACATTATTTTCTCTTTTGAGATCTACTGTCACTTCTTTATATATTTATGATTATTTATGGAACACTGTTTATCCTATATGTCGGCCATTTGCAAAGGTGGGTTTTTGCTATAAACCCACAATATTTACTAAATTTTTATGTTGGTTTTAAGTAAATATAATGTAACTGAGATAATATTAAAATTAAACATTATTAGAATTACTAGTAATAGTTGTCTCTATTTTTTTATAATCTTGTATTACAAAGTTTTATCAAGTTTTCTAATAATGGCAAGTCTGTAGTCTGTGATCACGAGGATTTCTGAAGATTTTTTCAGATGGGTTAAATCTAGGATAGGGCTCACATACTTATGTCAGTGCCTAAACTACTTGAATGTTGTAGTGGCCTGGTCTAGGTAATCAAAATTAAAGCCGCAATGTTCCAGATCTGACGCATTACCATAGACCTTTATTCCATTATCGTTATCATGGCAATAGTTCAATAGGCCTTATTTGCTTTGATTGAGCCACAGATTTTTGTAGTAAAATAAGAACAATTAGTTGGTCTGCAAGAATAATTCTCAAAGTATATTGTTCAGTGACCAAATTCAAATGTATTTATGAAGTAATTCAGAAATCTTTCAAATCACTATGTTCATAATATCTTACCATAAATTATGAGCAAATCAAGTTTTCTTTTCTTCATAACAATTTTTGTTGCTTTTTCTGGCAGATGTGCTCATTTTTTTGGCACTGACAGGAAATGTAATCTTTGAAATGATGGCTCAATTGATAAACTATTAAAAAAGACAAGGTCAACCAACTAAAAACCACCTTTGAGTTTTTATAACTTTTATAATAATGTATAAAGATCTTATGAATATCATAATGTAGATTGTTATCTGTCTATTATGCTTTTATTGCTGTTTTACATGAGAAAAGGTTAAAAGTATAACTTTCTTTTGTGGTTCTATTATTCTGTAAAAAGGCTTTAAGCATATCAATCAGCCATCTGTCATCTTAAATAACATAATGGAAGATAAAATTTAAATCAAACTTCAAGTTTTTATATAGAGCCACAAAAAGATTTTTCAGCTAAATTAAATGGTTTTCCTAAATTTTTTTAAAAAAAGGTGATGTGATTTTATTTTTCAAAAAAATCAGATCAATATCAATATCAATTGTCATTAAATAACTATAATCTTCTCCCACATGTCAGAACAGGTTATTGGATGAACATTGAGTATGGGAGAGTGATCAGTTACACTTAACGTTTAGTGTAGTACTCATCGTGTCAAGATACTTTAGTTGTACTTGGTCTGCTCCAAGGTCAGGTAATCCAAGAGTTTGTTTCTGAATATCCTAGCAGGACGCTTCTGGGATCCGTCATGCCAATCTCAGATAGTTGATTGAAAGGCTGTCCTGCAAAGCCACACTTAAATATATCATGTGCTTATGGTTTTTTAATTATAATTAATTCACATTTATTGACATTAATTATTTATTTATTACATAGTATATATACTATAGTGTATATTAATAATTATTTATTTATTATATAGTATATATACTGTAGTATATAGTATTAATTAAGTATTTATTATAAAGAAAAATCAATGTTCAACCGCATACAAATGATTGAATGCAGAGCAATAATCCTGTATGTGATTGAAGGCTTACTTTCTCAATCAAAGTTATGAACGTCCTCAGTTTTATCATTCCTGTCTTAGAATGGGTACCCAGTTAGTGTACAAATATGTCAGCATTTTCATGACAAAATGGAAGTTAACTCAGTTGATTTTCAGTCAAATTATTTGACAAATAATGTTATAACTTTTAAAATAAGAATTATCTTATTACAGAACTACCTCTTCTGTATAGTTTATTTGAAGCCGCTTTTAGTCATTAAGGTATTATTAGTTCAATTATCTTCCTCAAGTGTTAATTTAAATCTCAATTATTCTTGATTTGTACTTAGGACATGGTTTTTAATGTCTTGTATTAACTTTTTTCTAATCATGATTTTGTGTTTATTTTATGTATGTTTCAGATTCATGACAGTAATTCTTGGTTTAGTATCATTAAATTATGTTGCTGTTAGCTTCACTGAAACTATTAAGAGTTCAGCTCCGATTTTTACTGTTGCTATATCCAGGGTGCTACTTGGTAAGTTAATTTTTTCCATTGTTTTTTTAAGAATAATTCTATAATTTTGATTTCATGAAATATAAAAATTATTTATTACGGAAATTTATAATTTTGAAAAAAGATTTTCATTAATAAAATAAAGTCTGTAAGGTGAATAAAGTATATGTTTTATTTTCCATCTGAGCGGTATTATTATTCGGATTACTGTGAAAAAAGTTTTGAAATTTAATAAAAAATATATTTAAAATTGTAATTCTATTTTAATATTAATATAAAATTGAAAGAAATTTTAAAAAGATATGGATTACTGAAAGATGATGTCCATTTCCTTGTTATTGCTTCAGCTTATATAGTCTCGTCTATTTTGAAAATATTGAATCCAAGTTTTGATTTTTTATGCTAGACTGAAAAGAAGGTAGTGAAGTGTTTGATATCCAGTTTTCTGCTGCAGTGTAGGAAGATTCTTTCTAGTTCATGGCAAACTGACGAGTGCGCTGTTTGGCAGTAGATAGATCAGTGAGGTCAGAGATCCGTTGTAGAGTGCTTTGGTCAGCCTGTGAATCTGTGATGGCTCATAGTGTTAAGGTGTCATAGCCCTGGAGCCAGGGCCCAAAAATCGACCTGATCTCAGGCGAAGGTTTGATTGTAGATTACGAAAGTGTATGTTATTCTGAGTAAAAAAAAACCTTGTCTGCCATTCCGGAGCCGCTACTTTCAAAAATGGCGTCTGATTTAAAGACTATTAGGCCAATAATTTGAGGATTGAAACGGGAAATCCATTGTGAAAAATGTGAAAAAAGTGTTTATTTTTTTAACTTTTATATATAGGTTTAGACTTGTAAAAAACAAGATTGCTAAAGCGGGTCATCAAGGGAAAACTTTTTACAGCCAAAAAAGTCAGATTTTTTCGATAATTTTTTTAGTTTTTCACCTATAACTCCTAAACAATGGATAAAAAAAAAAAATGTATTCTTTAATAAATTCAAGAACTTTAAATTTTGCGTCAGACGAGTACATAAACATTAAAATTTGGTTACACGGTAAGTTATAAAACCACGGTCAACCAACGTTGAGTTTTACCAAATTTGTCAAAAACTGAGACAAATTACTATAAATGGCCTTGTAACTTGGAAATGAGTTCCCTAAGAGGAAAACCCCATAGGATAAAAGTTGTAGAGCATCAAATTTTGCGTATAATGAATACTGACATTTTTATTATTGGCTAATTATATATATCGAATCGGGATTCGTTATTCCTTAATAAAATTCGTTATCCTTCAGCACATGGTTTACCGAAATCTTTTGCTGTTGAGAGGTGGAAAAGAGGCTTATGTTGCGTGTAACAGACTTTAAACAAAACTAATTCAGTAGAATAGACACCCATACTGTTGAAATATTGAAAATCACGTTTACCTTCATTACCAATTTCTAACCATCGGGAGATTACTGATTTTGTTCGCAGAAAGTGACCTACATTAAATTAGTTGATACTGTGCATACGCGAAATTTGATACTCCAAAACTTTGATTCTATGAGTTTTCCTTCTTACGTAACTCATTTCCAAGTTACAGGGCCATTTATAGTAAATTTTCTCAGTTTTTGGCAAATTTGGTAAAATCAGCGTTGGTTGACCATGGTTTTATACCTCACTGCGTAACCAAATTTTAAAGTTTATGTACTTGTTTGACACAAAATTTAACGTTATTTAATTTATTAAAGTATACATTTTTCGCTTTCGCGCATTGTTTAGGAGTTATAGATAAAAAACACAAAAAATATCGAAAAAATCTGACTTTTTTGGCTGTAAAAAAAAAGTTTTCCCTTGGTGGCCTGCGCTAGCAATTTTGTTTTTTACATGTCTAAACCCATATATACAAGTTAAAAAAATAGAAACTTTTATCACATTTTTCACAATGGATTTCTCATTTCGATCCTCAAATTGTTGGCATAATATTCTTTAAATCAGCCGCCATCTTTGAAAGCAGCAGCTCCAGAATGGCAGACAAGGTTTTTTTTACTCAGAATAACATACACTTTCGTAATCTACAACCAAACCTTCACCTGCGATCAGTTTGATTTTTGGGCTCTGGCTCCAGGGCTATCATAATTTAACTTAGCAATCACAAGGCTAGTGTTCTAATCCTCCTAGTGTTCTAATCCTAAAAAAACCAACAGAACTTAACATAATTTAGTTGCTTGAAAGCACCCCTCCTTTGAATGGTTTTAAGGAAGACAAATCCTACTTGTTTTTAAATAAAGTGTTGTTGTTTATATAAGCTTATGTTGTTTCAATTAAAAGTTGCCTAACTTGTGTAGTGTTTAGTTATCGCTGTCCACCAAAAAAAGTGACGTACTTAAAAAAAACAATACAAAACTTGATTTTCCTGATTTTCTTTGTGGAATCCTACCATGTTTGCATATTTATTATGAATTAAAATTAAAAAACAGCTAATTAGTCTGAATATAATTAAATTTTGACACTCTTGAAGATATGAGGATAGAAAACTTCTCCATCTTAACGGTGATACAGACCCACAAGGCAATCCTCAGTATGCTCATTAGCTTTTTCCTAATCGTCTCTGATGGCAGCATGTCTCATAGAGATTCCAGCATTTAACATGGAGCTATCACAAACTTTCTTATCACTTTTTACAATCCTTTGAGTAATGAAATAGCTTCAAGTGAATCATATTAGAGGTCTTTTTTCTTCTAAAATAAATCAGAATTATTTGAAAAGGTTAGATTCAGAAACAAACTTATTTTATACAAAATTTGTAATAAAATTAAAAAAGACAAATTAGTAGACCCCTCCAAATTGACTTAGCTTGGCAGGGTATGAGGCTGATTCGCACATTAAATTTTTCCTCCTTATCGTTGGTACTTGAGTTTTTAATTTGATTTTCTCATTCTATTAGGTGAAGTTACTACTTTGTGGGTAAATCTATCTTTGATCCCTGTGATGGGTGGACTCGCTCTATGTTCTGTGAACGAGCTATCATTCAATACTAAAGGTTTCATTGCTGCCATGGCTACTAACTTCACAGAGTGGTAAGTAATTTGTGCAAATATTTTTATAAATTGCAATTATTTCTGTTTTCAGTTTGAAAATACCGAAACAACAAACTAAATGTAAATTCTTTCTTAACTGACAATCGATGTGAACTTCTCATGAATTCTTACATTTTTGGTTTTTTGTATTGAATTTTTGGTAATGAATTCAATATTAGTTTTTTATAAAGTTTTATATGCTCCATAATATTATGTTTCTTTCACACTTTCATCAATCTTTTAATCACCTCATTAACTCAATTACTTGATATACTTGTACTTGTTAGATATACTAGTAATTACTTGATATAAAACAAATCTTTAGATTACCTCAGAAAGCTCTATTATTCTATTTATAATTAATTTGTAAACAGAGTTTTCTTTTCCAATATTCTTTATTGTACATTTTGTTCAAGTTGGATCTAAGGATATGCATACCTAAAAATATATATTGATATTTTGATCTATTTTTAATCTTTGAAAAGACTATGAGTGTTATATTAAACAATAATATATATAAAAATATTGATATTCGGCCTCGATGTTTTTAATGTTTGAGAGAAAAGGAACATTTAATGAAGTATTACACTTTTAATAGCAACAATTAAATATTTATACATTACTTATCCAAAAAAAAAAAAAAAAGATCTATTAACATTTGTCGGTATTGGAAACAAAAAATTATTTCAAGGAACTAGAAAAAAAAAATTAATGAATTAGCTTAAACATAACAAAAAATAAATAAGATAGCAATAAATCAATATTAAATGATTTACTAAAAAAAAAATATTCAAATATCAACATTTATTATTTAGATGATTTATTACTAAGAACTAAATATAAACAAATAAATTGTACAACATAAAACAAAAAAAGCGTGAGGAGCAGAGCTCCGTCACTAAGGTCCTATTTTCCTCTTATTTTTAATTTAAAAAAAAATTTAAAGAGATTAAATTGTTTCATTAATGTTAAATACAGAAATTAAAGTTTTGCACAAAAGCGTTGCAAACATTTATTGAATGTTTATAAGGCAATGTGCCATTTTTATTTGCCAATTAAACGGTCTTTTTCTTTGTTAAATTAATTTCAAAAGTATTATAGGTGGTGTTTTTAATATTAATATTTGTGTGCCAAAGAGAGGCTTTTTAATTTTTGTTAGAAATGTTACCAATAAAAATAACTTCAACTAGCAGTAATCTGCTGCTGATGATCCGATTGGATAGATGTGGGATGCATTAAAAATAATAAGGTACTTTATCTTATGATTGGGTTCCACATCCACATCAAGCTATATATTCACCAAGCAAATCTTTGCCAACAAATGATGACCAACCGCTTTGTTGGCTAAGAGTTTTTTATTTGTATTGTGGAGGTAAAACTGGTTGCCTTGGGTCAGGGATCTCCAAACTATGGCCTACAAGCACCTTCAATCCGGAAAGTTTCTTTAATAAGGGTGTAAAATTTGAAAAACTTATTAAAATATGGAATTGAGCAAATTACTGACATACGAGTTTATTGTAACATTTATTGCATCAGTTTTTCCTCTTAGAAAGTTTATTTCACAGCTGAAGTGACTTTTATAGAACAAGATATTTTTTTTTCATCACTAGCCAAGGCCCGTGGGACTTCGCTGGATGTCTCAATGCGTCCCACAGAACTTAATCGGGGTCTCAATGTGGCCCGTGGGGCAAAGTGTTTAGAGACCTCTATCCTAGGTTGAAGTTTAGAATTTAGGCTATAATATCAAAGTGTTGCTATTGGGTCCTTTTTTTTATAATGTAGACTAGAACCCTTTGTCCATTCCTTTCATTTAAAGATACTTACTACTGAGCCAATGACAGCTAATCTATTGGCTTGATGTGGATGAGGGAACGAATGACTACCGTATTAGGAACTAATGTTTACCCCAATACCTTGGTAGTTATGCATGGCCTTCATTGGTCGAGTGTGTATGTGCCTTCAAGCCAAGAGGTTGGGACCGAGAGATGATTAAGAGTTTGATCTAAACCATGAGAGGAGAATTCCACTACTAACCAGTTTGTTGGTTCTGATTTGCTTCCAATATACAGTAATCTAACAGATAACAATCTTCCAATACACACTGAATCTTGGCTAACAAGATAGTTGTTGTTCAGGTCGGTTGTTATTTATTAGCCGCAATTCGCTTAAAAACATTCAAAGAATGCTATCCTTTATTGTTGTAATCACTAATTTTTACTAATAAATATTTTAATATTGTTTCAGCTTGCAGAATGTTTATTCTAAAATGCTCATTAGTGGAGATAAATTTAAATATACGTAAGTAATTCTTAAAAAGTGCTTTATTAAGATAAGTATGTTTTTGTTTTATTAATAAATATTAAGTTTATTAATGTTAGTAATTGATAATGAACTGTTGTCGGTGTGTTTCTGTCTTAGAATCTAAGGAGCATTAATCGAATTTCTTGTATCCTAATATTTTTATGTAAGATTTATTTAAAGTAATTCTGAAATTGGGTAATCAGTATCTTTTGAATACATCTAAACAATTAAATTTAAAAATTGGTTATTTATTATTTTACTATCTATCGATGAATCGTAAGCATTAGAAATATACCTTCAGGAAATACTTTTAAAAAATAAAAAATAATTTAAAAAATCATTTGCTATAGCTTTACAAAAAAAAAAAATCAAGTGAAAACAAATTTAAATTAATAATTTATATTAAAACCAGGGCTTTAAACTTCAAAGTAGTTCCATTTTAACATATTGAAACTGATTAAGAACATGAGTTAACTCTCATTTTCAAGCCTTCTTTAAAACATTGGAGTTGTTTTTAAATAATGTATTTGATGAATTATATTGCTTTTCTCAAATTATAAAAAAAAAATCCTTATCACGTCAATGAAATATGATCCATGAATTTTGATTCTTATATTTGAATTTTCAGGCCTGCAGAATTGCAGTTTTATACCTCACTTGCGTCTGTGGCATTACAAGTACCAGCTTCACTCTTCTATTTGCAGTCAGGATCTACTTCTCCAATGGGAATAAATGTGATATTTGCATTTGTTTTGAATGGAATCTTCTTTCATTTCCAGAGTATTACTGCATATGTTTTAATGGACTATACCAGTCCTGTCACTCATAGGTAAATTATTTAATGAACTTGGTTAGACTAATTTTCAAGTATCAGGGGATTAAAATTAATTGTTATTTTTCTCATTTCTAGAATAAATTTCCTGTTGTGGATTTTATTTCTCAAATAAAAGAAATAAAAATCATGACTTTTATTTTAAAAATAAAAGCTGTGAACTGATTTTTATATTTGAAATCAAAAAGTAAAAATCAGTGGTCGATTGTGACTATATTTCTCTGAGATATTATTTATGAAAAGGATTATTTGAGAACAAATGGTTTGTCCGTAGATATGTTATCAGTGATTTTTGAAAGCAAAGGTTATATGGTTTGAAAATAATATTTTTATGTATGTTGTGAAGTGAAAAGATGTATGTATTTTCATTGTATAAATCACCGAGCCTCTGGTAAGAATCGTAATTTGTAATAATAACAAAATTGTTCATCATCAATAACAATAATTGATTAATTGTTGAATAAACAGTTTGTTGGTATTCTTTACCAATGTCACCTGAATAATTAGTCAATAAGAAGAAATTTAAAATTGCATATAGAAAAAAGTTAAAATTAGTTGATACGTGGTGGCACAGTCTTAAATTTGATTAAATTTTCAAAAACTGCTTAAATTAGAGTCAAATTATAGAAATTGCAGGCAGTCATTCAAAGATAATTTCAAAAACATAATAGTGGATCAAAAAAAAAAAAAAAATCTGACAAGTTGAAATAAATTGATACAGCTATAGAACAAATTTAAAATCTACAAAATTAAATTAACATTTATATAAAAAACGCCTTTGGCTAATCCAATAATCATCCATCATATCGAGGATATCTGAAAAGTTATAATAATCGATACTTCAGCATACAATCTTAAAATTGATAATATTTTTATAAACATCATCTTCATTAATCCAATAACAGACCCCATTTTTTGGGATACCTGAAAAGTTCAAATTAAATTAATTCATGTGCAATGACACACAATCTTGAAATCAATATTATTGTTCAAAAATGCGTTCCTGAAACCATATAAATGGACCTCAAATCAAAGAAATTGGGGAAGTTAAAATAAATCACACGTAAACGTATCATCCTAAAATTGATATTGTTTTCTTAAAAATCACATCTGATAACTCAATAATGGCTCTCAATTGAATTTTTTTTTTTTGACTTGAAAGCAGCATTTGACAGTATCTCGAGAAACTTTAATTTTGAAATTATACGATTTGGGTGTCTCAATTAAATTCATTAATATGCTAAAAAATATTTATTCACAACCAGAATCGGCGGTTCGTGGTGCAGAGGGAATTTCCGAGTTTTTTCCTGTTAATAATGGTATACGTCAGGGATGTTTACTCAGTCCACTCCTCTTTTCTTTGTATTTAGATGATCTTCCTCTTATGCTTGAAGGAGGAGTTCGTGTAGGCAGTACCCGTATCAGCATTTTAATGTATGCTGATGCAGTACGTCTGGCTGAAGATAGGGTTACACTGCAAAGAAATATACACCTTTTGACATTGTGATGATCAGAGTTTGACGGTGAATCTTTCTAAATAAAAAATTATGGTCTGAAGACAGGCTGCTGCAGATAAATGGCGATTTAAGGGTTTACCAATAGAAGTAATCAATACTTATAAATATTTGGGTGTCACGCTAAGCTCCAGTCTTTCATTTACTTACTATTTGAAAGATCGTATAGCGGCTGCTAAAATGGGCCTTAATAGGAATTGGTCAAGTTTAATTGCTCATGATTTAATTCCACTATCCGCCAAGAAACAAATATTTGATGCGATATTGCTCTCCATGCTATGTGGCTTAAGTCTGGGTTTTCAGGGATGTGACTTATTGGAAAAGTTTCTGAGATTTTTCATTCAGAAATTGTTTTTGTTGCCTCTAACGACACCAAATAATATGATTTATTTATAAACAGCCACAAATCCACTTGAGGTATTCACTTTGCAGTTGCATTTTAAGTATTGTCTTGAGTTTCTGTGCCTGCTTGAATGTCGTCTCTTCAGAGTAATTACCATTGAAGTGATTAAACATGATACCTTTTGGTTCAGAAATTGGTGAAATTTGGTGGTGCACCTCGTGCAGGTTCGAGAGGTCTTTGGAATGCTTTTCATTATGGAAAGACTAGTTGGCAACAATACGGTCTGCAATCACTCAGCAACATTGGGAGCAGTGTAAATTAGCAGCATTGAATTCTGAAGGATTTCTATTGTATAGGGAATTGAGTCATGATCTTGAAGTTTTGAAATTTGTGGATGGCCGCTGTTGGGATATAACTAGGTGCGAGTTGAGGTGGTTGTTTAAGGTCAGATATGAACTCCTTTATTTCAATTACATCCCATGGCTTGACAGGGAATATATGGATTGTCCATTCTGTAACGTACCATTAAAGGAAGACCTGTTCCATTTTTTAGCTGAATGTTCAATGCTTTGTCAAATTCGTATAGAATTTCTCGGAACTAGCCCAGTTCGAAATTATATCTTAATTTCTCTTCTAACTGCTCCCTCTGTGAACGAATGTCGTAAAATCGTTAGTTTTGCTCGACATGCGTGGATCCCCCATTTTAATTTGCTACATTCAGCATAGACAATTTATTTGTGGTCAGTTTTATTCATGTTATCATTTATGATTTCCCTTATTTTCCTTTATTAGATATAAATTATTCAAAATATTTATTATTTTATATTTGTACTGTACCTGTAAAACATATAAAATTTCTGACAGACAAATAATCGTGCTGTATAAATGTTCTGTATACTTTATGAAATTTATGATTTATGTATATTTAATAAAGCATTTCTCATTCATTCATTGAGAATTAAAAAAAAATTATAAATTCCTTCAGCATGAAAAAAAATTCGTCATTTGTATATTACAGAAAATAATTGATTCTTGCTTATTCGTTAGGGCTTTAAGGTCATCAACGCCTGTGAATTACTTTTAGTTATCTCTGATCTAAATTGGTCCTTTTCTTTTAATTTTAAATAAATTAAATTTGTATTTTTACTTAACAGAGATAAAGAGATGCCATCATCATATGGCATCACTTAAACAGGAAAATAAGAGTTAGTTTTAATCTCTGCTGATCATTATAAAAACAATTACCTTTTACTGCTCGTAGATTAGTAACTAGTTTAGCTCTAGATTTCTACAAAAATCTAGTTGTATTTTTGAAATTAAAAAAAAAAAAACACGTTTTTTATCTGTTCATTTTTTGCTCATTCTATTGATAAAAAGTCAATAATAGAAATGGTTACGTATAATATTTGTTTATATTATTTATTCTGTTTGTTTTTCTTCAGTGTTGTGAATACACTTAAGAGAGCTCTTCTCATATGGGTGAGTGTTCTACTGTTTGGGAATGAAGTTACAGCTTTGTCAGCCCTTGGGACAGGCCTTGTTTTTGGTGGTGTTCTGCTTTATAACAGAGCTGTGCATCTTGGCGGAATGAGGTATTTATTATTATCATCAATTAAAATTAAAGAGAAATAGAAATAAAATAATTTTATCTCAAACCTTACATTTAAATTTCATTATATTCTCATCCAACAAGTTCCTTTGGAGATTGTTTTGTTTACCGAGTTATTAGATTTGTAATCACTAGAAATGGACTGTACACACTGTAATTGAATTATTTAATGAATGGGAATCATGAAATTCTAGCAAAATTTATTTATTAACAGTTTATTAAATTAAGATTAACTAACATTATTAAAATACCAATGGATTATTATATCATAGTTTAAGAAGTAGACTTGGTTTATTTTTAATCATTCAGTAAAATATTTTTTGTTTTAGGAAACCGATGAGGGAAGTTACTGTGAGATAAGCTTGTACAGGAAGATATCCTGTTTCATACATCCCTAATTTCTGTATAGCTCAAATATTTCTTAATGTGATACCCTATTTATTGTAATTAGATTATTATTTAAGCGTGATATTTAGGCCAGTTTTAATAGTCGTTTGTCTGCTTTAATTGTAAGTTATCATATTTTTCTCTTTGTATATTTTGTAAATAAATTTATATTTCGAAATGTTTATAGAGACATTGTAAATATTAAAAAAAAAAAAAAGATAAAATAATGAACTTAAAATAGTTTTTTTTTTTTTTTTTGTCCTATGAATAGACTGACTGTTTCGTAATCATTCCTTCTTTTTCTGATGTTATATACAGCAGGAGTGTATTAAGCAGTAAGTGGAGAAAGCGGCTTCAATGTCTTAAAACATCTTAAATAATAATAATAGTAGTAAAAGGCTTAGCGAACCTTCAGGTTCGATGCCACCACCACCAATCGCTTATTGCACTCTTCCCTCCACTGGTCTCTGTGATAACCCAGTCCCCTCAGATCGGGCTTAACGTTATCTTTTCACCTTCGCTTTGGTCTACCCCTTAGACATTTGGACTTGGACAGCCGGCCCAGCAAAATGCTCTTAAGAATTCTTTTGTTACTAACTCCAACAATTTTATAAGCCTATTTAATTTGCCACGATGTAATCACTTCAGTTATATTTACCAGATACAGTGCACACAATTCTGCATTGTTTAACCATTAAACTCTCTGGTTAACTCATTCTTCTTCGTTCCGAATATTCTACTCAATACTTTATTTTCTAAAACTTGAAGATGTTGCTCATACCTTAACGTAAGCGGCCACTTTTCGCATCCATAAAGAATAGGTAGGATAATGGTTTTATAGATTCTAGTTTTCAAGTTCCTGAGAAGAAGGCACGTCCTAAGTAGTTTTGTCACAGAAAAATAACAAGCATTTCCCGCCTTCAGCCTAACCTTAATCTCCGTTAAATTTAGTTTTTTTTATTTATCATAGACCCTAGATACCTAAAGTTCTCTGCATGTTCAAACATATTACGTTCTATATTGATATCCCTGGCATTATCACCATTTTTGCAGCTAACCATATATTTTGTCTTAGCCGGGTTTATTTTGTGTCTTAGTTCTTTACTGGCTGTAGTTTCTGTGTCTTTACTTCACAGGACCTAATCTGTATAGCGAAGCAAGGTCGTTGTCCCAACCAGATCCAACCCTCTTTCATTACATATTACCTCCTAACACCATGTTCTAATGCCAAATTAAACAGGACAGGTGAAAGGGAATCACCTTATTTTAAACCTGAACGAATCTTAAACTTTGGGAATAAATAATTACCGTTTTTAACTTGACTGAGTGTTTCTGTCAAGCCCATCCTAACTAGATTTACTAATTTTTTTGGAATTCCCTGTTCGATTAGAATATTACACAGCTTTTGGTGATCAACACCGTTGTACCCTAATTGTTTCTCCAATATTTGCCATAAAGAAAATATTTGAACGGTTCTGTCTAAATCCGCTTAAGACATCTTAACTTTAAGATTTTGCTAATGATCTGTAAGATTCATACCTATAAAAAAATTATTGTACAAATATAGTAGACAGTATTAGATTTGTGACCCATGAATTGTAAATTTTGTTATAGAGTGCCCAAAACAATAACCGCTTAGGGCTTTCCCTTTTCTTAATCCACTCCTGATAGAGAGTAGTATAAAATTTATATGAATGGAAATAATCTCATTTACATTAAAGCGTTAGGTAAGTTTAATAAAGTTGTTTGGAAATCTTATGTTGAAAACCTCCTACTCTTATTCACTCCTGATTTTTTGTCTTATAAAGTTTTATTCAATGTTCATGAAATGTTGTTACAAGCTAAATGAAGTCAAATTACAAACAGTTTTCCATTTAGTTGATAGTTATTAGTTTTAATTACAACATATGCCCCATTATCACTGTATTATAGTTAAGTTCTATTTTATAAATAACATAATTATTTCTAGGTTTTCCTTTTTATTATGTAAATATGTGTATTGCATCAATAAAAGGTATATACTCTTTTAAATTTGTTATAGTTTTGAAAATGTTGGACAAATTGTTTTCTATTTACATTACACTGAATATCAAAACAAATGCAGCAGCCAATTATGAAGGAAGCAAGCTGATCTTTCTTATATTCTTTTGAACTTATGTATATATATATATATATATATATATATATGTATTTCATATATATATATATATATATATATATATATATATATATATATATATATATTTCATATATTTCAGGTGTATATGTATATGTATTTCAGGATACATATGATAACATTTACTAGGGTGAATTTGATATTTTAGTTTTTCTTTTATTGTTACTAACTTATGTATAGTATTACTGGATAGATCAAAATTTTAAAATAATTTTATTGGTTCATAAGTTTTTTCAAAGAATGTTAAAGAAAACTTTTAAGTTTATTTTTATTCCATTTTGAAAATATTTTGGTTACAATTTGCTCTAGGTAATATTTTTTAATTCATTGAATTTGATAATCTTTTAACACTTTAACGACCAAGCCATTCGAGTGAATCTTTCTCCACGGACCAAATCGTTTTTCTCTCAAAAGTTGTTACTGTTAAAAAAAGTAGTATCTATTTTTTTAAGTTTAAAAATAATTTTAAAAAACAGAGCAGGCATATATGCCTGCCATTCCTTATAAGGATGTATTAATTTTATTTTTATTTTCCAATTTTTATCCTTGCTAGTTATTTCTTATGTGTATATGAGCCTTTCGGTTGACAGAATGACTTAACTCAAATTTCAACATTTTTTATTATAAATTTTAGTGTTATTTCTAGTGAGAAAATTTATACCTTTATTAACAGTTCTATATTTCAACACTGCAATCACCTACTCTGGAATCAACTTACTCACTGTATGTACAGATATAAATTTTCCAACTAGAAATATTACTAAAATGATTTTACTCAAAAATGTTGAAATTGGAGTTACTCATTCTGTCTACTGAAAGGCTCATACAATCATATTTCGATATTTAAACGAATTAGAGCTGCATTATTGCAAATATATATTGTTTACTGCTACACCACTGGTAATTTAGGTTTGTGTTCAGCGAAAATATGTTTTTACCTTTGCAGGTATACTACTGTATTGTAAAGTATGGCCCATACTTTCCCAGTTAAAACAGATAGGAATAAGTCATGTACAAAAGACGATACACAATATGAAATTCCAGGCATTTTTATGATGATGATAAAAATTTAAGTCCAACCCGAAGCAATAAATATTTTCAAAAGAACTATAGCTGTTGTTCTTCACAGGTAATTCGACGTTTTTATAGCACATTGATTTCTGGAACAAGTTTGTTTGTAGATCTCAATGTATATGCCCGCAGTGGTCCAGTGAGGAACAATGAAATTCTTAGAAATATAAAAATGATTTTTTTCATTCAGTCATGATCATCTGTATTTTTATTAATATTGTTATAATGAACTATGACTAACAGCACTGTAAAGAAAGATAATATGAAAGAAAAATAGAGAAAATCTTTTATGAGATAAAAGTAGAATTTTATACCAAAACTAATGTTTCAGTTCCTGGTATTAGAAAAATTTCTGGCCGAGGAATTGTAAGTAGTGTGAAATGATTTCCACTTCAAAGATTTATTGTTAATATTTTAGTGTTGATATGGAAGCCAAAATATATGTGCTTGAGCATCTTCTGCGGCTTCAACTCCAAAACTATATAATGTCTATAAATTAATATTTTTCAATTATTAATAATGTTATCATCAAAGATTAAGGAAATTCAAGAAAATAAATAGTACCTTGAAACATTTTTATTACCAAATAGAAAAATGAATTGATCAAACAAATAGATTTTTTTTCCATAAAAATTATACTTCTCTATTTATGAATACATATTAATTAATCAGGATACATATATAATCAGATTTTTGAGATATCATCTAGTAATTGATCTACATATTCTCATTTTTAGACGATTTCATAATATAAAGTATTATACATTTGTTTAAACATCGGTTAATGACTAGATAGACAAGGAATATGAGGTAACGAGTTAACAGCATCTGTGATGAAAGATATATTCTGTACACCATCTTAAACTAATAATTTAGCTAATAATATATAAATATAAAATATCATAATCTCTTTTAAATAAAAAAATCTTAACCTATTATTACAATCATCTTTCGGATAATAATTCATACATCAAGTTTGAAGTGACGTAACATTCCTCAAACGAATGTAAGATTGCCATAAAGGATCTAATGAATATTATGAAGTATGGAACAAATAATAAAAGTTTTTAATTATTAACGCTTGATTATAAAACATAAATGCATTAACTCAGAAATTTATCACAATGACACAGCTAAAATTTAACTATATTTAATAAAATATTTTTTGTACATTTCCTAGATAATTCATAACACTTTAAAAAGTGCCACATAAAATATTTACTTATCAGTACAAAATTCATTAAGTAGGCCTTTAAAAATATAATACTAAAATTATTATATACAGATCAAGGGAAAACATGTTCAATCACTACTTTGGTAATGTAATCTTAATTTCTTTATATTATTATACCTGATTCCCTTAGTTAACTAAAATGGAAAAAATAGTTTAAACAGCACATTTGGCAATTAATTAAGTACATGGGAGACAGTATCCTAATACAGATTAATCTTTTTCGTAATCGTTTTCCTACACATATGACAAGAACGCAGTGGAGCAGCACACTTATCACAAGCTCCATGACCACAAAGAAATGCAACATTTCTTCGTCTTTCCATGCATATTGAACATGAGTGTGTTTCTTCTATTTCAGCTATTTTGGTCTCTAAGTAACGCAAGCATTCAGCAGTTGGTTGTCGAGGTCTATAAGAGATTACACGACCATCTGAAAATGAATTAAAATTAAAGTATACTTTCTTTCTTAAACAACTCAGTAAGATTAGTACTGAGGCTTAGGGATTTTATTTGTGTTGGCTAGTTTTGAGATTACAGGAATTATACCAACTATATACATTAGTTTTAAAATATTAATTATAATCTGGTGGATTCCTATACCTTGATATTTTCAATAAAGAAAAATAGATGTATCTATACTGACATAATGAGTGTGTGTGTATGTATATAATATATACATATATATAAATGAACTATTTCATTTAATTTCAAGGCTGAGGGCTTTGCAATAATTAATCCAAAACATTTCATACTTAACCTGTGTCTTTAAAAATGGACAAATCACGTCAATTATATAGACATATAAAATTTCTAATTGCTCTAATCTCTAATAAAAAATATAACTACCACAGATATTGTACACTACTTTCGAAACTCTTACCATTTGAAAGGCGGCAATTAATTATTGTTGAGCATTTAATACACTTTTTGAGCCTAGCTGAACAGTCTTCGCAAGCTATCCTGTGACCACATGGATCAAGGCGAACATTTTCCTCACTCAATTCAGAGCAAACACCACATTCAACTGGCCTCTTGTCTTTCTTTTTCTTGTCTTCCCTGCAAAGTAATAAATAATTTTATAAAACAAACAACTAAGTTATAAAAATACACAATTCTATTATAAATATTTATTTTTAAAATGTTATAAAAATTATTGAATATTCAATAGTTAACCGTTGCATTATAAAGGAAGGAGATGGTCCGGGGTGGCGGTCATAAATAGGCTAAATAGTGGTAAAACTAATTTATTAAAAGCCAACGTTTCGACCCGACTTTGCAGGTCTTCTTCAGGGCTAGAACCGACAAGATACATAAAATATAGAGAATTGTGGAAATTACATAATAATTAGGAAAAAAAAAATTATAAACAATGTGAATAAGCTAATTAAAATTGTTAACACTAAGTACATTAAATATAAACAGAGTAAGCTAAGTAACAAGATCCTATACTGAAGTAAATAGATGTAATATATAATATATGCAAATGTGAATATACTTCTACAGATCTTGTATTTTTTATATCTTGTCCGTTCTAGCCCTGAGGAAGACCTGCAAAGTCGGGTCGAAACGTTGGCTTTTAATAAAATAATTTTGCCACTATTTAGCCTATTTATGACCACCACCCCGGACCATCTCCTTCTTTTATAAAAATTATATAAAACATGGTTCTTTTTAATTATTACATGAAGCTCTACTTAACTTTTAATAAAAAAAACTCACTTTGAACCATTGTTGACATACTGTTTAAGAATTGGACCTATATCAGTTCCCTCAACAATGTCTAATGGTGTTTTATTTTTGCTGTTCTTTAACATTGGACAACCTTCTTGAACAAGATAACAGGCTATCGCAATACCAATACTTTCATTTGCCAACTGAGGATTACTTTCTCTCACTTCTTCCCAAATCTTTAACAAAAATAAAATTAACATTTTAATATCATTTTTAACCATAAATGTACAGAAATTGAAATTGAGTCATGTACCGAGATTCAAACAATAGAGTGCATAAAAAGTGTCTACAAATATTTAAATTTATTGATTTATAAAGTAGATAGCTGTTTTAAGATTGTCATGCTTTAACTATAAGTTAATTATTCACTATAAAGTAGGGTTACTAGAAAAAAAAATCAAATAAAGATATTAAATAAAAGTTCTTAATTAATATAAATAGTACATACACAGAGATTTAACAAACTGACTGCCAAATTAATTTTGAAGAAAATAGTCCTTTAAAATAACTTAAATTAACTGCTTTTCATAAATTGGAGGGCAGATCTCCCATAGAAAAATAATCAAATAAAAGAAAAACAAATTAAGAAAGATAATGCTTTAGTTTGATTAGTTTTAATTTTTCATTGAAGTTTTCTAAAGCACATCGAATTTCTCCTTAATCCTCCGAGGCCTTCTATCCTCAGGGACAAAATCCATAGTCTTCAGTGGATCTCAGTGTTCCTCTATCTTGATGACATGGCCGAACCGCTTGAGCAGGTGAACCTCTAATTGGGGATACAATCTTTTCTTGTTTTCTCCGAATCCTGCGAAGAAACCTTATGTCTGCAACTGTCACTCACTGACAACACTGCACCTGTGGGTCTTTTTTTTTTTTTTTTTCTGTTCCTCCCTACCTCGCCTTTTAGGCTATACGGGATTTTCCCGGACCAGAGGGTGATGGCGGGAATTTAAAATCCCCTCTGGCACCGGGACGCGAACTCGTGACTATTTTCATATCATAGAATCATATATCCAGATGCCGGGCAACGGCGGTGCAGTGCACACCCCGCCCTCTGCACCTGTGTTTCTGTCAATATTCCAGCTTTCAGAATCATTTAAGAATACAGTGACTTAAAGATGCAGCATTTCCCGTTTCTGCGTACCTTTTGCTTCCCAATAACAGTATTGCTCACCTAGCAGTAGGCTGTGTTTGCCTTACTATGCTTTGTAGGATTTCTGAGTCCATTTTCTCACACTGTTCCATAAATGTTCCAAGGCAGGAGAAATCTCCGAAAACATTTTTTTTTGTTGCAGTACGTACACCTGAAAATCTTTCTACCTGAAGGATATAGCTTTTGTCAGTCAAGTCAAATATTCTTTTTTTCACAATATTCATAACAACAGCCATGCTAACCAAGTATGAATGAACAATGAATAAATGTATAAAAAAATTCATAAGAAATTAAAACATGATATGAAACTTTAATAATGATGTACCCCAAATATTGTTGGTGCCTCTGCTTCTGGTATTGGTGCAGCTATTGTTGATCTCTTCATTAGTGCAAAATGAAGACAAGTATCACCATCTTCATCCATAAGAGCGAGATTCGAACCAGAACCAACTAGAAACTCTATTACAGCACTATGTCCCTATTTAAACAGATAAAAATAATTAACAAACATTACATTTCCAATATGGAAGCTTCTATCACCCACAAAAGAAACCAATAAAGTTTTAGAAATATCTTTTAAATAAAATTGATAACCAGTTTTACCAAGTTTTACTTTCACTTACTTATATATTAAATATATAGTACAGGAAAGTATTGCGATTGTGAACATTTTTGAATTTCAGTTTTCAATGGAAATACACGTTTTGAGGTTCCCTGAATTCAAATACCAAGTCCCACAAAATGGTCTGTTAACAGTCTAGCTCAAAAACGAAAAGCCGTACGAAAGTGGAATTGCATATTTAAGGTTTTTATATGCTTGGGATGTTACAGCAACTTTTTGTTCAAAATAGGCTAAACAGAAGTGGCACTTTATGCCATGAACTTAACACATTTTTATGATTTTATCGAAAACGGCTCTAACAATTTTGATTAAATTCATTATATCAGTGTACAATTAAGCAGTTTTAAATGTAGATATATTCTGATTGATGTTCTCTAACAGAGTTTAAATGGCTAAATTTCAATATTAGCTTCCCCTAAAGTACCTTTAATTTTTTATATTTGAAACAATTGATCATTTCACATTGATCGCTAATATAAAAGATAGTTAAATATAAAATATCAAGGAATTTGATGATTAACTAAAGGAGAAATAACAAATCGTAACAGAAAGTAGTTGTAAATGAGGAACCAAAGGAATACGAGTGCGCCCGAGCATACACGAAACATTAGAACAGGCTTCCATACCTAACATAAGTTTAAAATATTACAGACTCCGCCAATGTTATGTAAATATGCATATTAGGTTTTCATAAATGCTATCGTTGGTATTATTTAATATTTCATTGCATGGTTTATAGTGATATAAATATTAAAATTTGTGTATATAAGAGAACTTGTACAAATAAAAATACCTACAATGAAATATAAATAAATATAGCATCTATAATTTTTCACATTCACTTCCCCTTTGTCTGAAAATATTTAATGGGGAGGCCGAGGGTTTAAGGTATAAGCCGACCAGACCCAATGATTACTCCTTCAAAAATATTTTGCTCCCTAGACACTAGTGGTTTTGGGAGCACAGTGCCTTGCTCCCTGAGGTCTTGCACTATCACCATTAAAGTATTTTACCCATCCCCTAAAACATCTTTTACTATTTTGTCTAATCGCTATTGAATAGATCTCGTTTCGCTCTTTGTAATTGTCTTCTTGGTACCACTGTCTTTGCTAATTTTCTATAATTTATTCTACAGTGTAATGAGACAACTTGTTATGTTCCCAACAATACAGCTATCATACTCCCAACCATTAACCGAAACTCTAATGCATACAAAACAATTATTAGTATTAAATTTTTTAAACAAAAACAGAATAACTACCTGAGAAACAGCCAACATGAGCGGTGTTTGTTTTCTGTAAGTGAAAAGATCTAGAGTTGCTTTTCCATCAGTAACTAGGCTTTCGACAACGGCTCGGTGGCCATTAAAAGCTGCTAGGTGCAGCGCAGCAAACCCATCATCTTTTTTTACATCAACCAACTGTCGAGCACGACTAATCAGCTTATCGGTAGCACTATAATTACAGTTTACTATTTAATCATTCTAGCAAATAAATAATAAAGAGTAAAAGAAAATATTAAAATAAAATAGAGTAAATAACTGTAGATATACTAACAATAAATTTCCTTTCAAGGCAGCATGATGAAGAGGGTTGAAACCGCGTTTGTTTTTAAGAGATAAATCTAATCCAGGAGTATTACAAAGCAGTTCGACAGCTTCATTAACTTCATTACCAATGGCATCATGCAATACTGTATCACCATAAGAATCCTGCAAAATGACAGAATATTCTTAAATAAAATAATGAATTAGATTTTAATAAATTTATGATTATATTTAACATTTGTCTAGCCCTGATTCAATAATTATTGAGTCAGGAGAAGAATATGTTATAGAAGAATATATGTAGGAGAAGAATATGCAAACTAAGTGTATCACAATGGAGGTACTTTACCTGGAAAACAAATTTGTGCTGCAATAGCGTTTGTATCTTAATAAACAAATAGATAAACTTGATACTGCATTTTTTAAATAATAAAAAATATTCATATTTAAATGTTAACTGGAAAAGTATGATGAGAATTGGAGGAATGGACATTAGTGTGCGTGATATGTACTCCTAATGTTACACTGGAGCAGTTGCACTGGGACAAGAGGCTGAGCACACTACGAGCAAAACTATACGTCTGCATGTCAACAACAAACCTAACATTATTTATATTGATTCAGAGGAGGACACAATTCTCCATAGCATTAAATTTTATATTAAGGTTTTGATTTTAAATGTTAATAAGAAAAATATAAAACTAACAGGATTCATTAGGAATTACAAAAATTATCTTGTTATAATTTAGTTTAAATCTCAACAAGAGCTTAAAAAGGATTTGATTATCAAATTCAGCATCAAGAAAAAATTGTAACTGAGTTAAAATAAAAATACCTACTAAAATTTTCCCAGATATTAAGAAAAAAAAAGAAAAAAACAACCCTGTACCACTACAATCCATGAAGGATTTCAGTGACTATGTAGGGAAGTTACTGTTTCTTGGTCAACGGTTGTGCAAAGAGGTGATTTGACCGAGATAAATAATTTATCTGCTATAAGTCAGGAATCAAACCTGAGACCTTGAGCATTGGGAGCTGAGTGCCCTACCCTACTCCCTTCTAAAATATTTGGGTTAATAAAATTATCCTTATCATTAAAAATAATAATAATGAATAAATAATAGTATAGAAAGACAAATATTACTAACTAAATAATTTCAAACATTTATTTACCTGAAGATTAACATTTGCTTTTGCATTAAGAAGAGCCTTGATACAGGGTAAATTCTGCCTGCTTACTGCTACGTGGAGAGGGGAGCTGAGACTATTGTTAACAGCATTAGGATCAGCTCCAGCAGTCAGGAGTAAATCTATTACTTCTGCCTGTTCGCTAAAAACATAAATGAGGTACTAACAAATAAAATCTTTAAACATAATATCACTAATATAATTGAAATGATTGCTTTGCTTTTATAATAAAAGAAAAAAATTGGTTCATATTAATCAATGTTTGGAGCATAAATAATGAGGTAATGAGATAATAAATAAATTTTATAACAACAGAGGAAATACTTCTTTTAAAAAAATCAGGACCTGTGCTTTAATAATAGCACAGCACAAATATCCCTTCCTCGCTGACCGACAAAACCTCTGACAGGAGAAAATAAATATAAAAAAGTTCCACTAATAAACAGTAGAAGTCATATGTGACTTATCCCATAGATGGGCTTCACAGAATCGGTTTTAGAAGACGAAACATAGTCTGGATAAATGATGGCAGAACCGCTAAAGTGATAGTATACCTATTTTTCCAAAATATATTTTCCTATATAGGTTGAAGTTGAATGTAGAAAAGACATGGAATAGGGAAGATCCAAAAAATATTGTCTGCGGAAAGAAGGGAAGAGCCACTTTAACTCGTCATAAAGGTGGGACACATGAGACCGCCTCGATGCACCGAAGACAAATCTTAAGCACGTATTCATGAGTCGCTTCAATCTATCCTCGAGTACCATCGGGATGCCTCCGTACACCGCCGTAGTCAAAGTGGGGGAAAATGAGAGAGGATACAAGGAGCTTGCGGATGGGTTGTGGGAGTAGGTGGCAGGAGCGATGAAATAGCTTAAGGGTACCTATTGACTTACGGGATAGGATATGAGGGAGATATGGGATTGCTAGGAGGGATTTCATCTATGGTGATTCCTAGGTTTTTAACGGAGGAGCTGAATGTGATAGGATGACCATTGATGACTAAAGGAGGAAGGAAGGAAATGGATTTAAGAATAGAACTGGAACCTATAATAATGGCCTGAGTTTTCATCGCATTTAGATTTAAATTATTCAGACTTGCCCAGGCACTGAGCCACTCCTTCTCATATAAATATTTTTATTTTTTATTGTTTCTATCATAGTAACAGATTCATATAACTATTATTATGCAGTAATCGTTTTATGTTTTTAATTTTTATTGTTATTCATGTTTTGTGAAACCCATTCTAAAGGTAAAATATTGTAAATTTTATTTATATATACATGATATGTATTTAAATTTGTAAAACCATATTATTGTACAATAGCCAAGCTAGGCTCTATTTGTATGGGGAGTCCCCAAAAACAAATAAAATATCTATTTATCTATCATTATTATTAGAAGTTGACTAATATATATATTTTTGTTAATTTCTATTTTTTTTTTTTTTTTTTATTTTAATAGAACTCTCAGGTATTATTCTAAAGGAACTTGTCTCAGAATAAATTAACAAACAAAATTTTAAATTAATTCCAAGGCTCTGCCTCAATGATACTTAAGCTAGGTTTTAGTTTCATATCCTAAATCAATAATTGGATATCATCTTGAATTCAATTCATTTTGAGTTGAATTTTTATTAATGACTTTTCAACCACTTCATAAATTTTGCGAATGGCTTCAAACTGAATAAAAATTGCGTAACCAATGGTTCTAAACCAATAAAATCTTAAATTTCCAGGACATGGATTTATTTGTCAAATTATAATAAAATTAAAAAACTCAAAGAACATATAGATACTGTGTTGACTACAAAAATAGAATTATGCCTTACCCAAAAGCTGCATAATGAAGAGCTTTATCACCTTCGTCATCAGATATATTAAAATCAGCTCCCAAAGCAAGAAGAGATGTAACCAAAGCAGCATGACCTTGATGGCTCGCTACTTGAAGACATGTCTTGTTATTCAACTTGCCATCAATCTATTGAGTCAAAATAGAAAACTTATAAAAATAAAATATCCATAAATTTAAAATAATTTTACTGTCTCAACACATAACAAAAGTTGTTTTTTTGTAAGTAAAACAGCTGAAATTCATGAATATGTTGTTAATTCAAAAGTCGACAGCATATTTTTTTTGCTTCGGTATAGATGGTTATATATTGTTTTTTATTAAGAGGTATAATATGAGACATGTCCAGTAAGTAAGAATACTCAATTTTTCTGCTTTATAAAAAAACTTTTATTAAATGTATTGTTGTGTAAATATTACATATTGAAATTAATGGGTCAATAGAGCTTTAAATAGTGGCAGGAAAACGGTGACATCAGGGACTACTTTCAAGTAATAAAGATGAAAGGGAGAGCGAGAGCCACATGCTTGAGGGAGACAGTAACTGGCCGATTTGGAGAGAGCAACAAGCTGGATTGATGCAGTAGTGTTTGCCGAAACCGTGGAAACATTACAGAAGAAGTTTAGTTAAATTTACTGCCAGACAAATGGGTGAGTGCAAATTATTTTTGCTTGTAGATGAAAGCACCAAGTTTAGACTCCGACAATTGATAGGAAATTCATAATTGTTATATATATGATCAATGTATAGTTCAAAGGTATCCAAAGTTGTAAATAGAAATGTAAGTTTAGTTGTCTTAACCCAACCTGAGTTATATTTTAAAGTCATTAAAATAAATTAAAAGTATTTGTTGTGAGAAATAAATAGTTTTTTTGTTGAGAAACAGTTTGTTTACTTTTGCATGTAAAACATAACCTAACAATACATATGTTACTTCTTTTTCCATGTCGCTTCCCCTTCTGTGCAGATTTTAAGCCATGGAACAAGTGTTTTGATGCTCACCACATAGAACTCTCTCACCATCTCCTTTGCCCATTTCAAGACCTCTTGTTTCACCACTTTATCGGCTGAAAAGATGAAAATCTGATGTAAGCAGGGCAGATCAGATTGTCACAATCAAATGAGTTCAAAAGTGTCTCAAAGGCATTGGCTGTTTGCGTGCCATTTTTTGTGCAAAAAACACATCCCTTTCATCAAGATTCCCATCTGTTTGTTTTGAATTGCTCTTTTGAGGTTTTATGGTGCCTTAAAGTACCATGCTGTATTAATCGTCTACCCATGAAGCAAACTTTTGATCATAATGATCCCTCTTTGGTCCCGAAACATGGAAACCATGATTTACCCCTCCCCCCCCCCCCGAAATTGAGATTCTGACTTTTTTTGCCAGATGTGGATCCAGTTAGCTGTCACTGTGTTAACTGTCTTTTAGTCTCAGTAGTGTAATGAGCCACCCATATTTCATCATCAGTCACAAAGGAGCTTCGAAAATCTGAGCGAACCTAACTCTTGGTGTGATTTCTTATTGACATATTTCACAGAAATGGATGCTTTGAAGTGAGTTTTGGTACTAACAATTATCGTACCTGCCTGTTGTTTTTAGGGGAATCTTCATTAGGAAACAAATAATTCCCACACGAGAGCGAAAGAGTACTCTAACTTTCTGAACATGCCTCATAGAATTTTAATTGCACGAGTTTTATTATTAATTCTTTTCTCATTCTGTACAAAAAAAAAGATTCATATATAATAATCTAGAATAGATCCAAAGCAAAGGCAACAAAAATAACATACTTTTATTGTTTAAATTTTTTTTTTCTTATCTCCTGAGATCCATTAGAACAAATGCCAGGACATGTGTGTAATAGTTTTTGATGTAGTCACCGAAAATAGAATTGGTGACCCACTGATTGCGACGACTTCCCAACCCCATGTAAGTTTTAATGATAGAAAATAATTTTGTTGGGTGATATTATTGCTGTTTTTATGTTATCGTTATTTTCGTGAAAATTTTTCCTTGTTCTCTGCATAATTTATTATTTCAGAGTTTCTAACTTGTTGCAAAACCTATTTTTAAGTAGCACTGAAGTTCAAGAATTTTTGTCTCAATCCAACACACAAAAACAGATATACAAAAGTCAACATTTTTAGTATCTGGTTAAACAACTTCTTAATTTAGGAACTGCAGCTTGATCTAATAAGTACATCATTATCAGATGAGGGGACAGAATGTAGTGAAAAACCTGCAGCAAAGAAGAAAAAACAAGTGTTGTGGAAAAACTGGTGTTGAGAAAGATAACCAAAGAGTGAACTGGAACAGGCTGAGTTGTGAAGCCAGTGATATCTTGAATATGTTCTGAGAGAAGACAGCTCGTATTTAAGATATTTTGAGTAGATCCCAATATTTAAAACTTTAAAGATGGATTAATAATCGACTGATCAATTATGTGGTTGAAACAAAATTGTCAGGAATTTTAGTCATAATAATATTTATTGGGTTAGCCGATCCGATGTTTCGATCATCAGCAGGTTTGTTCACTACATTCTGTCCCCTCATTTGATGATGTACATACAAGAACTGAGCCCTGGGTTTGGGTCAAAACGTCGGCTAACCTAATAAATATTATTGCAACTAAAATTCCTGAAAGTCTTGTATTCATCAGAAAAATAATTAATTAAAAGCTGAGTTTAAAGAAATAACTGAGTAGGGAAGGCGGAAAAAGCTATATCTCACGAAAATTTCAGAACAGAATATAATATTTGAATCCTACACAAAAAGGTATAATATTAATATTATAAAATGATAAATAAATAACTACTTACCAAAATAGGATGCAATTTCATAAAGTCTAAAACAACTTGAGAATTTCCTTTAGCAGCTTCTTTAACAATACTTTCGATGGATGGACCGGATTCCAATTCAAGTTTATTCTCCATTAAACTTGAAAGTAAGCAAGACACAGAATCTAAAACAACAAATAATTTAAGTTTGAAACTGTTATTGCTATAAATATAGAAATGAAGTGTTTTTGACAATTAGCTATAAAATATATATATTTTTTAATTTTACATTATTAGCTATATAAGTTAGAGAAGTACAATACTATGTCAAACACTTGTCTAACCTCATGTGTCCGAAAACAGTGTTTTCTAAAAATATTCTGCTCTATCATTGCTACTAACACCATTTTCAAGGAACCTACATTCTCCTGAACTACTTTCAATGAAATATTAGCGAATATAGTAGATTAAAAAAAATCTGATTATAATTATCATCACACAACTTTCACTTTCCACCCGACTTTAAGTAGAAATTAATTTTGGATACAGTAGGAATAAAGTTTGATATACTTGAGACTTTTATTAAATCAATTTTTTCATTAAGCCCAATGATCTTCATATTATCAAGAGTCCATTAGTCAGTCGACTGGATACAAATATTTTTGAATTAACAAGAACAATGGTCAGTTTTTATGTTTCTTCCAAAAAGTGAATTTTCATAACTTATAATTACAAAAATCTATGAGAAAAAAAATAGACAAAGCAATGAATATTAACTCTTGGTTAAACTACAAAAATATTAAACTAGATATAATCTAGGTTTAACTTAAGAATAAGTAGTTACCTCCATGATGGCGAGGACTTGGTGTGTTAGTATTGACACATTCTGATACAGGTTCTATATTGTTAGGATTTAGCGTCCATGTTTGTCCTTCTACAGTGACCCTTAAATCACCATCTTTATAAACTTGGACTATCCTACCCACTTTACCCAATATCTGTAAATCATTACAAGTTATTATTATTTACATCATTTTAGAAACATATTAATATACATGACTAAAAAAATAAGAAATGTTATAAATTTCAAGAGGTCCAATTATCTTTTTTAACTTTAATAATAAATCTTTTGAATTTTATATTCTGATTGCTATTCTAATTGTTAAATTATCACTACTTAATGAGATTAGCTAATAGTTTAGTTTACTATAACGAGACTATAATATATTAGTTTAATAGTGGGTTTAGCACTATTACAATTTTAATGATTAATTCGTTAAGTAAATCTTTCTTAATGTTTGAAATGTCTAACATCTAAATTAAACTAAAAGAGAAATTCAGATATGGGCATTATTTTATTTTACTTAGGATAATATACTTCAGATAGATAGAAACAAATTTTTTTCTGGGACGAGGCCCCTTAAGAATAACAATCATGTACAAATAAATTAGAGTGCTCTCAATGGCTAATTTCTCAATAAGCGTTTTCATGTGGTTGTATCATTCCTGTGTACACATTTACTAGATGTATTTTTAATATAATACAGTTGTGAATATCATGAATAAATAAATAAAAAATGAAATGTACAAATAAATAGAAACCAAATCTGGCCAAAAACTACATTAATAAAATTGAAACTAGTTAATTTTTTATAAAGATACAAATATTCGGTAAAAAATATCTTATACAACAATAAAAATAAAAATTAATATAGAAACTTTACTCTAAAAGTGGAGAACAACATTGACTTCTTCTTTGTGTCAAAGATATCGAAATGAATTTAGGTATATTGGTGAACTGAGCTACTCACCATATAGTTACTTTGTTCAAATTGACTTTATTTTAATTACTTTTTTAATAAAAAGTCTAGAACCTCATTACAAACCGATTTATAAAAAATGATTTAGAACATCTAGTCTCTTATCATGTTTATGTATCTATATTAATCTTTATGGTACCTTTTTTTATATGTTTTGTAATTGCCACTACGTCTAAATGGCAATTGGCCGCTATGCCATTATGTTGGAAGGAAGACATTTTCAAGTATGAATAATTCAATTATTATTGACATCAAAACTAAAGATTGATACTAAAAAATTATATAAATACTGACTGATGTCATTGCTGATATCCACTCCCCATGTCCTGCTTGGAACAGCTCAACTATTTTTTGGTCATTCAAAATCTTCACTTTGTCTCCAACAGAATGAGGACGGCCAACCTTCTTCATCACACTTGGGTTTAAAGTCCACCGGCAATCCAATGTAGGATAATATACACGAATATCGCCTTTTTCTGTAAATCTATGCACGATTCCGATTTCACCAACAATCTAATAAATGACATTAAAGTACATGTTAATTTATAAAAATTATGTTTAACTAAAAGCCAAGAGATCAAAACAAAATTAAGAGATCAACCTTCTTCTCAATATTTTATACACCTGTTGCTAAATTTTAATGTAAAAATAAAATTACGTGACTTAAGACCAAAAGTTCCTGACAACTGATGGTTTTTTAAGCATAATTCCTGGGTTTTTTTCCTGGTCAGAAAAATTGAAATATAAATGCCAATTTCAAGGCTCTAGACATCCTGACTTGGTTATCCTATGAACATTCAAATTTTTTTATTTTATTTTTAGAGATGAATGATGAATTCGTACATTGAATTCCTTCATAATACAACTCATATGGTTCAGAATAGAAGATTTTTTTGTTGAACATAGGGGTGCCACTGATTGCAACAGATGGTAGTCAAAAAGAGCCAAGTTCAGATTGTAAGCAAGGTGAGGGATAACTCAATCCCACCAAGTTCTTTCCAGTTAGAGAACCATCGAATAAAAAAAATAAAATATTTTGTATAGATTAGACAGCAGCAAAATGAAAGCGTGATTTGTGTCTAGAATGCCAATTAGTTAACATAAAGAAGGTAGATACTGATTATTTTTTTATTAATATGATAATGAGAATAACAGTTTTGACTCCATGGTGACACTGCAGAGCAATGTGGTTATCCATGTACATTGCCAAAAGCTGTCAATGAAATGGCACTCTTCATTTAAACCATTCATTTAATACAACTGCTTAGTTTCGAGAAAATGAATTAACCTGAGACATACGAGGATTCCATCCGCCATGCCCTTCTTGCATCTTTTTCAGAGCCTCCACATCCACAGTCACACTAACACTCTCACCAACTATAAAAGTCAGGTTGGAATCTTGATGACTATCATGTTCCTCAGTTTTTTCACCTAAGCAACAATCACATTAATGAACAATAAAACATTGTAAAAACAGCTTATAAGTAACTGGGCTTTTGCAAATTTTTTTTCAAATCTGAATTTATTGACTGTGATTACAACTTTTTCCAGATCTACAATTTTCAAAAACCATCCGAATGTTTGAAGACGTTAAACCAAATAGTTATCGAATGAAGTAAATATAAAAAAAAATGTTATAAGACATTTTCAGAACTACTTTTTTTTCTTTCTTTGTAGTGTCACTACCCAAGGAATAGCCTATGACAACATTTAGCATAAATCCAATATAATTCAGCCCTCTGATGCATAAAGTTAAAGAGGAATTAATACAGGTGATAAATATTCAGGACGCAGTCTTTTTTAAAAAAAAACCTGCACTGAGCACTGAAGATGACCCACATGTTTGGGTTGAAACGTTGGCATAAATAAAAAATTAAATTTTTTTTTTAAAAAGATTGCGTCCTAAATATTTATCACCCATGATATGTAGAACTGTCGACTAACTTCCTACAGGAATTAATATAGATTAGAAGAGATGGAGTTTTAGTTTCTTAATGATTAGGTGATGACCCGAAGACAGTTTGTTGATTTTTACCCTTTGTCTATTTAAATACAATCACTACCCGGCTACGCATTGCTGTGGCTCATTCTGTTTAAATAGAAAAATAAATGAAAAAGAAAGCAGATGTTTCTAATATATTTATATTAATTGGTTATGCGATATTATTAGCTGTTCAATTCTTTGTATAGATATATAGATTATCTGGTTTTCAAACTCTAAAATTCGCAACATATAATTGTCTATGTGATAAGCAATCAGTCTCTTAAATCTCCCAAGAAAAAGTATAAAATGTTTAAAGCATTATATCTCTGCACCAAATTGTCTGATTTTAGTGAATTTTTTTTTTATTTGCAGCGAATCAAGATATAGATTTCAAATAATGATGGGTATAATCAAACAAAAATTGTGTACTTTTGGAGTTATTGGGCAAATATAGTTTTGAAACCATTGTAACTTTTTTTTCATACTATTTTTGGGGAAGGATGTTATATACATAAATTAAAGGAGTTTCAAGGAGAAGACTTTCGCCAAGTTAAATTAAAATTGTTACAGCTGTTTAGACGCTACAGTCTAAAGAAACACAGGTTTTTCGGCTGCCTTTCCGAAACAAAAGACTGGAGGGTAATTAAATGTATATAAAAACACTCCTGAATCTGATAGAAACATTATTTCAATAATTCAAAGCAATCGGTGAAGAAGTTTCGGAGATTAGTGGTTCTGAACAAACGAACATTTACATTTTTAATAATATAGATTGGGCAGAAAGATGGCTTATCTTTTTGTAGAAAAATGTTATTATCTGATATTTTAATTTTATTAATAAAGGAGAACCAAAATTTCACCAAATACAAATCATTATTTTTGAGTTTAATTTATTTATTTCATAATTTTTTTAATTGTTACCATTATTAACTATAAAAAAAATAAATAATAAAAACAGGATTGAGTATCATAATTAAAATAAAAATAATAGCTTAAAAATATTAAACTGTTTTAAGATGATTGTAAGCTGGTGGGTTGATTGACTAGACTGCTCAGGTCTGCTAGCACAATTAGGCATTCAGTACTAGGGCACCAATTTTTTATAGTTGACTGTCATAGATACTGCACAAAAATTTGTTAATGGAACAGGAATGAAAGTAAAGTACTAACGGGAGCTACTTTAAATAAAATAATTTTAATTCGAAGAATTAATTTAATACTTTTTTGACACAATACTCCCATTCGAATTTCAAAGAACAACGTTCTTATCAATAGCTGTATTTGCTATGACCATAACGAAATCGCAGGGTCAAAATTTTGGAAAAGTTTGTGTATTATTGCGACATCCAGTAATTTAGCATGGACAATTAGATGTAGCAGCAAGTAGAGTACGTTCATTTTAAATTTCAAAATTTATATTTCCAATGGCAATGGGTAAGGGTATGTTTTAAACAATAACAGAACATAAAAAAAGAACATTGTTAACAGAGAAGTTCTGCATAAAAATGGATTTAAACTGAATTTCAATTAAAAATCAAGCTTAAACTACTTAAAATTATTTATAAGTAATATGAAATAGACTCGTTCAAAATAAATTAATGTTATGATTAAGCAAATAAAAAATAAATTCAGCAATTTCAATTCAGTTTAAATCCATTTTTATGCAGAACTTCTCTGTCAACAATGTTCTTTTTTTATGTTCTGTTATTGTTTAGAACATACCCTTACCCATTGCCATTGGAAATATAAATTTTAAAATTTCAAATGAACGTACTCTACTTGCTGCTACATCTAATTGTCCATGCGAAATTACTGGACGTCGCAATAATACACAAACTTATTGTGTCAGAAAATATTGAATTAATTCTTCGAATTAAAATTATTTTATTTAAAGTAGCTCCCGTTAGTACTTTACTTTCATTCCTGTTCCATTAACAAATTTTTGTGCAGTATCTATGACAGTCAACAATAAAAAATTGGTGCCCTAGTACTGAATGCCTAATTGTGCTAGCAGACCTGAGCAGTCCAGTCATTCAACCCACCAGCTTACAATAATCTTAAAACAGTTTAATATTTTTAAGCTATTATTTCTATTTTACTTATGATACTTAATACTGTTTTATTATTTATTAGAGACTTAAAGGTGTGTAAATCTCTATACCTGCCAGGTGTTTATTGCCCTCCCTATACCTGACACCCTTACCCTAGGCTTTCCAGTTCTAAGTGAAACTCCTAGCTGAACATACCTACCTGTAAGTCTCTAATTGGAAGAATAACCAATTTTATTTACTTATTTATCTAATTTTGGTTTCCTTTTTTCTTTTCTTTCTCCACATTCCTTTATATCTATTATTTCATATTATATCCTTTTTCCTTTTCTTTCAATCTCTCCTGTAGATTTTGTAGAAGTATATTCACATTTTCATTTATTATATATTACATTACAAAAATTGTTAGCATCTATTTACTTCCGTTTAGGATCTTGTTACTCAGCTTACTTTGATCATATTTGATTGTATTCGCTGTTTATAATTTTAATAAGCTTATTCACATTGTTTATAAATTATGTCTAAATATTATGTACCTGCCTCAATTCTCTATCTTTTTGTATCTTGTCCGTTCTAGCCCTGATGAAGACCTGCAAAGTCGGATCGAAACGTTGGCTTTTAATAAAATAGTTTTACCACTATTTAGCCTATTTATGACCGCAACCCTGGACCATCTCCTTCCTTTACTAGTAAATAAAATTCATTTATTTTAACTGAATACCACAACTAACTTCTCTTTTCTTCAAGACATCAATGACATCAATTTTTATTGGACTATCAATGAGCGATGTTTTATTAATTAGGAAAAATCCTAAAAATGTTTTAGAGTCTAAAATTAAAATATTATGTCTTTTTTAATATACTTTTGATACTTATTTTTTGTATATCTTTGATTTTAAAATGTACAATTTAAAAAACAAACAGAAAGAGGTTGTATTAATGGAAGTAGAACTAGCCCTGGAGGAAGGGAAAAAAATCAACTTGATCGCAGGCGAAGGTTTGAATGTAAATTACGAAAGTTTATGTTATTTATAGTAAAATGAACCTTTTCAGTCATCCCAGAGCCGCTGCTGGTTTAAAGAAATTAGGCCCGGTAATTTTAGAATTGAGAACTTAAGAATAGCCGAAAAAGAGATATTTTTTTGCTATTTCCCAATAACTCCTAAACGGTGTATCAAAGCGAAAAATATACTCCTAAACAAACTAAACAACATTAAATTGTGCATCGAACGAGTACCTAAACCTAATAATTGATTAAGTGGTATGGTAGAAAACCACAGCCAACGAATGCTGACTTTTACCAAATTTGTCAAAAACTGAGACAAATTTTTATAAATGGCCCTGTTCCTGAAATGAGTTTCCCTAGAGAAAAAACTCATAAAATCGTATTTGAAAACCATCCAATTCTGCATCCACTGACTACTATAATTTTAAGGTAAGTCAATTATACCTCTTATCTCAATATACTTCGCTGCTGAAAGGTGGAAAAGATGCCTATACTGCATATACTAACAAGAATAACATAGTAGAATAGACAGACACCCATAGTGTTGATATATTGAAATATTCAGGAAACAGTCTTTTAAAAAAAATTAAAATTTTTATTAAAAGACTGCGTCCTGAATATTTATCACCTATGATATGTAGAACAGTCGACTAGCTTCCTTCAAGAACTACATTGAAAATGTTAGTAGTCAATGAACACAGAATTTGATGGTTTACAACTTTGATCCTATGAGTTTTCCACTTAGGAAACTTATTTCCAAGGAACAAGGAAATTTATAGAAATTTGTCACAGTTATTGAAAAATTTGGAAGCGTTTGTTGATCGTGTTTTTCTACCATACCACTTAACAAATTATTAGGCTGAGGTAATCTTTGACGCACAATTTAACGTTCTTTAATTTCTCAAAGAATGCACTTTTTGCCAAATAAAAATACATTTTATAATGCTAATCAGGGTTACAGAAATTTTTTTTTCTAGGGGTATCCTAGTAGCATATTATATAAGAAACATTGTTTGAAATTTAATAAATAAAAAACAAAATAGTTAAAGAAATTCTAAGAAAATGACTTTTCATTAGGAATTATATTTTATACTTTACCAAGTATTGGTAGATGTGAACGATAATAATGCCCTCCAACAGCTGGTTCAACACATAATAGATCAACTCTACCTTTGTGACCAACGCTATACATATTGGTATATCCAGAACTCCACGCGACATTGGCCACTGATCTCCAAGATTCATTTCCCCAACCCCGTATATCGAGAACTCTTCCCTTTTTACCTGCAATAAGAATCAAATTTAAGCTTCTTAATTATTACTTTAATTAAAAATTGATAATAACAATCATAAGTCCTAGTCAATTCAGAGGTTTAATTAGCAAGGGTCATTCATTATCTTTCTAATCCTTGTTCTGCTAAAAATATTTTAAGCAATAATCTATCTATTTTGAAAAGCCTTTACAATTCTTGCTTTTCATTACCAGTCCAATATCTTATGCATAAAGAACATCACCAAATTCTTAATTTCATGCTTTAGAAGTAACTAAATTTCTGAGATTAATTCTTCTTATCTAAATACCTAATAGATACATTAAAAAAGGCTTTATAATTAATGTATAAAATCTTTATGACTTCTTCATGCAATAAATTATATCAATAACAACTTTAAAATATTTGATTTTACCTGGTCCACCATCTTGGTCCCCCCAATCCCAGTTATTACCTCGCTGAACAATTGCACCAATAAATATACCGCGTAATAAAATTTTTGTAGATCCTTGTCGGGGTGGTAGCTCAACCCTATAAACAAAAATAGTACAATTTTCATGAAATTAATAATGAAAATTTTAAATTTTAATCATAGTCAAAATGCATACATATTTATCTACTCATGCCTTCAATTGTAAAATTAAATAGGCACACTGTAAATCATGATGCAAATTATTGATAATTAAATGTTGACAGCAATATAAAAAACCTTCAATCTCCATTTCATCCTATTCAACAGAGACATAAACTAAGCTAAGTAGCTTACCTTAGTTTAGTTGTACTTTCCTAATGAGTAAAAGGAAGTAATTATGAGTAAAAGACTTGGAATTATTTATAGGACTGCTTTATGGAAACTAGAAAACTAAATGACTTTAATAATTTTATTCTTTTTTTCACCACCCTTGGTTTTAAGTCTGTCAAACCTCTCCAAGTGCCCGGTGTAGTGATCACCCTCCAAGCTGCCTCTGACTGAAGAACTCCCGGTATTTTTATTTTATCAACTTTATTTATTTTATTAACTGCTTGGAAAACGGTTGTTGCACACTGCATGCTCACTCGTGTTATATTTTTAGTGTCATAGTTTTTCTCAGATATTTTTTGGTGTTAGTGGTTGAATTGCAGTTCCAGATCTGTCAGCTATCTATTTTGAAGCCATTTTTGTTACAGAAATTTAAATATACCTGTGCGCATTTCTTGTAATCAGCAAGACAAATCTGATTATGATGTGTGATTAATTTGTTCTTTTTAATATTTTTGATTTTAACATTTTTCATGTTTTCTAATTGCTTTTTATAGTAAACTTATTGTATGTTTTTTTGTAATCAAACTTATGTTTTACATTATCAAGCTTATTTAACTTCTTTTTTTTTTTAACTTATCATCAGATATTAAATTATAGTACATAATATATTTTAGTATTTATTTTTTCTTTTATTGAATATGTCCTGCCTTATATTGAATATTCAACAAAAAATAAGAAAATAAAATAATGAAAATTTTACAATCATAAAATTAAGTAAAAACAAATATCACAATAATTTAATATAAAAATATACAATTAGAAATTCTATTAATACATATTAAAGTACAAAATACTGAATTTAGAATTAAAACACCAGAAAAATCACATTAATCTCTACCTACCAAAAAGCCATAGCACATTCTGTGCACCTATTGATGTTACAAATGAAAGCGTGTCCACTGGAAAGGTAATGGATTCCAACCAATAACATTAACAGTTTTTTCCTGTCACACACAATACAATCTTATCTAAACAAGACGAATTTGCCATTCTCGGGACTAATCATTTAATAATATCAAATATATGCTTCAACATTAATTTTGAATGAACTGTCAATTATCATGCATATACCCATATAAAAATAAAATCAGTAAATGACTTTACTTACGACTTTTTTAGACTTTGGATGTTTTCTCGTAGCACAACCAATGTATTAAAAAAATAAATATTCACTTTAAAAATAACAAAGAGAGAACAAAATCAAAAGAACTGAACAATGTTTCCATAAACATAATTTGTGGAGGATGAAAGTTCTTTACAATTTATTTTAAAACAATATTAGAATAACTTACCCAACTGAATTATAAGTATCAAATCTCTGGAAGACATGTGACAAATCATGCTTGTCTGCCATATAGCATTGAAGACATAGGTCAAAATCATAACACCTCGTGCACTTGAACCTGAGACCAGATATACCCTTAGAATGACATCCGTCACAAATGATGTTATGATGTTTCACACCTAAAAAAGTTAATAAGTAAAACTCAATATCATTATATTAAATGGTAGAAAGGGACATATTTCGTAGTCAGAAGAGGGCAATAAATAGATCAAAAGATTATTGGTTTAGAATCAATATGACAAGTGGATTCGACAAGGACATAATAATAAGGATCTTAAATTTTCTTACTAATAACAGGTATATATAAAATTGTTTCAGTATAATTATTAAACTTGGTTTGATTGAGAAATAACCCAAAACTAGATGTTGAAAAATATATTGTTAAGTCCATTTAAGAGAGGATTAAGAAAGTTACATGTCATCTACACACATTATAAACCATTGATAGTTATGACACATGGCTGCGATTAACTATCCTTATAATATTGAAGGAAGTTAGTCAACTGTTCTACATATCATGGGTGATAAATATTCAGGATGCAGTCTTTTTCAAAACAAATTTTAATTTGTTATTTATACCAACATTTCAACCCAAACATGTGGGTCATACATGTTTGGGTTGAAATGTTGGCATAAATAAAAAATTATAAAATTTTCAAAAAGACTGTATCCTGAATATTTATCACCCATATCCTTATAATATATACAATTTTCCAGACGTTTCAGCTAACTAAAACCATATTCAAGTTTATCATGTTTCTTAATTTAATCTATCTCATTTTAAATAAAAATCATCTTAGGTGAAATCATTGTCAATTTTTCTTTCATAAGTTGTTCTGTCAATCATATCTGATTTTCATGGCTGCTTATGGATGACTTATGAAGATGCATCATAGACTTGAATTTGGCTTTTATAGACTTGAAAATGGCTTTAGACATCAAAAACTAAAGGAATATTAATAAAAAGAATTTCTGATAAAAAGTTCATTTGAAAAATGTTAACTCGATTCACTTAGACTAAAAATCATTCAGAGAATTAACCGTGCTTATCACATTGTTTCCTGAGTAGAATATAAGGTTAATAATAGTACTGTTTCTGAAAGTTTTAATGAAAATTGAGGTCCTAATTAACAAGCAAATGGCAAAAATAACAGAGTTTATCATGATTTTATTCATCACCTTCATTTCTTCCAATTAATAAATATAGATGACAATGTAAAATGTCATATAGCGAGTGTCGATTAACGAATATTGATATGAACATAGTTGATTTCAAATTAATCAAACTTTACTGCTTATATAATCAAACTGAGTTATTAGAAAATAAATTACCTAAATTATGTATGAAAGTTATCACAATGTTATCATGGGAGTACAGAAAAAGAAACAAGCAAAATTTAAAATGGCAATGTGTACTAATGAACTCACCTGCAGGAGCATTATCCAAAAGTCTGAGATCATAAGAACCATCATATCCAACCCTATAATTGGTTTCTACGCCAGTATCCCAAATAACTACAACAGTATTCTCTGGAGAAATAGTTGAGCCTGGCCTGCCAATTTTGACAACAGTTCCTACAAAGCCTTCCCCTCCGTCTTGGTTGCCCCATTCCCAATCGGGCCCCCGAACAACCCTCACTCCGAGCTCCAACATATCTCATTTCTCTGTCAAAGTTTGGCTTTCACGAATAATTGTAATTATAATAACCCCTCCTTCCAAAATTAAACTAACCAGAACGAACCAACTAACCCGGGACCAGCATAGATGCCATATTGGATCAGCTGATAAAAACATTGCCGCTCAAAACTGAGACTTGATCTATTTAAATTATTTTATTTTATTTCACATAATTTGCATATATGTTGTATTAATGAGACTAGATAATTAAAAAATATAATTGTGTCATATATGTTTAATGTTTTACCTCAATTAAAAAGACTATTATGATTACATAATGTGTAATGAACATAATCTTCAGGACAATAACTTGATAAGCTGATTTATCATAAATCAGTTTTAAGGCAATATTTAAAAATAGAGCTAGGATGCTGAGTATTAAGATATATCTCTGTAATTACATCACAGTTAGATATCTATGTAAATACATCACAGTTAGATAATCCATATAAATGGCAAGTCACTGTTATTTGTAAATGAAATAATTAAGGAAATTAAATTTACTGTGAAGCTGTTAGAACATGCAGGAAGAAATAACAAGATATCGTTTTCCTCGTTTATGTATTCCACTAGTTATTTTCCTCATCCTAGATTTCTGGGAAATCAATTCGTGTCATGTAGGAATGTCCCTAAACTAAGAGCTCATCGATGGATTTTTTTTTTTTTTTTTTTTTTTTTCCCTAGCCCCTATGGATAAGGATATATATTATTACAAAATGTTTGCTTGTTTGGCTTTTTGCTGAATCTGATTTTCATTTTAAAGCCTTTTTGTGTTATATATGTTTTATGATCTTTTGTTAATCTTTAGATTAACATTTTTGGGAGTAAGAAGACGTTGGGGCACGTCTTCGTTATGCATCGATGGTATTATGTCGTCCAGTTTATAAAGGATTCGAGGTATTCGTCTGAGAGAAGAGGGGGTCCACTGACCGTAATTGTGTCTCATTACAAGCGTTTGGGTATAACAGCTCTAGTCTGTAGTAACTCAAGCCAAGATACAATAGATAGTTAGTTTCTTTATTTATTTTCAAAGTAATTATCGTCATTTTTAGGGAAAAAAAAGCTTTCGGGCTGAGCTCCCTCCCCCCAAAATTAAATCCTGGATCCACTAGTGGTTGAAATTAAGTGGAGATAATATTATATTTATGCATGCTTAATTGAGATTTTTTGTTTATACTTATAAATTCATTACTTGCTACTATGCCCATGCATAAAACCACAAAAATAAATAAACAACAAATTCATTTGATTCTAAAAATACAATTTCATATAGATTTCTAGGCGGTCTCGTCTGCTTACACGTAAATCCGCCACTGCTTCCAATTAGGCTTATTTAATTGTCTTAGAGTTTACAAAGAATACGAGAAACTCTTCTTTCTGCTTTATGAAGACGCTCATTGTAAGGTTTAATTGGAAGTGCAAAGGCTTCAAACAGTGATCAAGGCGCCTTGCTTGTTCCAAAGTGTCAAGGAAACTTAATAGATGGCTAAACGTTATATAAAATCAATACAAGAAGCAGAACCTAAAATCAACCGTTTTGGAGCTTTTGCTGTAAAAAGGAGGTAGCTCTATTCTGAAAGAGTTGGAATTTCTATGAACTAATTTTGGCGAGAACAAAGTTTTTCGTTAAAGCTATATCCTTTTCGCAGAAAAAGTTCCAAAACGGTTGATTGTAAATTCTGCTCCAAAAAGGAAATAGCTAGAACATTTTTTTCTCCCTTAAATAGAGTTATTTTTTTTTTTTTTAGTAACAAGCCCTTTAATTTATAATCAAAACCGAGATTCGATTAATATGTTGCATGACACAAAACTGCATAGCTTAATCTTGGCTTTAGATTTAGGATGTTTAAATCAACTGATCTGAGCTCTTTAGAAAAAAAAAATGGAGATATGGTTGCTTAATTCATTACTCATATTCTGATATACGCAAATGCATAATTTCATATAGAATAGAATAGAATAGAATAGAAAATTAAACTTTATTCTGGGAATAAGTCCCTTTAGAATAACAATGATGAGTTAATACAAAGTAAAATACAAATCTGGTCAAAAACTAACTTATAAAAATTTTAATATTTTATACATTGTTTAAAAGTATGTAACCAGTAAAAAATAAAAAATAAAATATATATACAAATGAACATAAAATGTTCTCAAAATTACTTAATTGTGATGAAAAAAAAAAAGAAGAGAAATTACATATTTATATATACATAACTACACAATTTATAAACAATAGACTATCTAATAGAAAACTAACTTAATACAAAATGTAATAATATCTACAGTGGTTTATATAATAATATGCAAACACTAAGATAAAACAAAATCTTAGGATACTTGTGGTGTAATGGAAAAAATAAATAAATAAAAGGAACTATTTATACGTACATTCTCATATTGGCACACATAAAGACAAAAATAAAAACATATTTACCCGAAAGAAAAAGCACAACCTGAGGAGAAGAGAAAAATAAATAAATAGTAAAAAATAATAGTCAAACTAGGTGACAAAGATCATTGCTGTTTTATGTTAAAACTTAAACAGTAGGCACCACTATTTACTTCACGCAAATTCAGTTCATAAAATAAAATTTATGGTGGTAAATCTTTTGTTTGGGATGTAAGGAGATATTGGAAAAGGAGGTATTTGAAAGTTGACAGGGAAGAGGCATGACGGATGTTATGTGGCAAAGAATTCCAGTAGGAGACGGAGCGGGCTAAGAAGGAACGTTCATAGGTTTTTGCCCTGTGGAATGGAATATAGAGGTCAGAAACACGGGATCTCGTTTTTATTGAGTGGACTAAGGGTTTAGGCTGGAGGAGACAACAGATATAGGAAGGGTGCTGGGAGTTGATCGTTTGGTATAAGAAATTTCCAAGGAAATATAGGCGGCGGGAAGAGGAGAAGAGCCACTTTGACTCGGCATATAGGTGGGACACATGAGACCATCTTGAAGTGCCGAAGACGAATCTTAAAAAACAGTTCATGATTCTCTTCAGTTTATATACATGGTACATTTTTCGCAGGCATGTGTAAAGAAACGGAGGACCCTCGGGATTAATTTTCTCGGGCCCTCGTCAAAACATTAAATTTACCATTAAACCCATGCAATTTAATTTTAGATAGTAGAGATAAATAATCGATCATGTTTTTATAAATGTTGTCAAATTGACAGAGAACTTGTCAATCGATATCTATGTAAATACATCACAGTTAGATAATCCATATAAATGGCAAGTCACTGTTATTTGTAAATGAAATAATTAAGGAAATTAAATTTACTGTGAAGCTGTTAGAACATGCAGGAAGAAATAACAAGATATCGTTTTCCTCGTTTATGTATTCCACTAGTTATTTTCCTCATCCTAGATTTCTGGGAAATCAATTCGTGTCATGTAGGAATGTCCCTAAACTAAGAGCTCATCGATGGATTTTTTTTTTTTTTTTTTTTTTTTCCCTAGCCCCTATGGATAAGGATATATATTATTACAAAATGTTTGCTTGTTTGGCTTTTTGCTGAATCTGATTTTCATTTTAAAGCCTTTTTGTGTTATATATGTTTTATGATCTTTTGTTAATCTTTAGATTAACATTTTTGGGAGTAAGAAGACGTTGGGGCACGTCTTCGTTATGCATCGATGGTATTATGTCGTCCAGTTTATAAAGGATTCGAGGTATTCGTCTGAGAGAAGAGGGGGTCCACTGACCGTAATTGTGTCTCATTACAAGCGTTTGGGTATAACAGCTCTAGTCTGTAGTAACTCAAGCCAAGATACAATAGATAGTTAGTTTCTTTATTTATTTTCAAAGTAATTATCGTCATTTTTAGGGAAAAAAAAGCTTTCGGGCTGAGCTCCCTCCCCCCAAAATTAAATCCTGGATCCACTAGTGGTTGAAATTAAGTGGAGATAATATTATATTTATGCATGCTTAATTGAGATTTTTTGTTTATACTTATAAATTCATTACTTGCTACTATGCCCATGCATAAAACCACAAAAATAAATAAACAACAAATTCATTTGATTCTAAAAATACAATTTCATATAGATTTCTAGGCGGTCTCGTCTGCTTACACGTAAATCCGCCACTGCTTCCAATTAGGCTTATTTAATTGTCTTAGAGTTTACAAAGAATACGAGAAACTCTTCTTTCTGCTTTATGAAGACGCTCATTGTAAGGTTTAATTGGAAGTGCAAAGGCTTCAAACAGTGATCAAGGCGCCTTGCTTGTTCCAAAGTGTCAAGGAAACTTAATAGATGGCTAAACGTTATATAAAATCAATACAAGAAGCAGAACCTAAAATCAACCGTTTTGGAGCTTTTGCTGTAAAAAGGAGGTAGCTCTATTCTGAAAGAGTTGGAATTTCTATGAACTAATTTTGGCGAGAACAAAGTTTTTCGTTAAAGCTATATCCTTTTCGCAGAAAAAGTTCCAAAACGGTTGATTGTAAATTCTGCTCCAAAAAGGAAATAGCTAGAACATTTTTTTCTCCCTTAAATATCTTCCTGTCAATCTGTTCAATCGATTTTTTTCTAATACAAAAATCTGATTCTTTCAAATAATTAGTAATTATTTATGTTTTCTTTAATTTTTTAAAAACATTTATGCATGATCATACATTTAATTATTTCCTTTTTAAAAATATGTGCAATTTCGTTACTGAATTATCATTTATGGACGGATTATTTTGCTTGTAGTTTTTTTTACAAGTCTTGGAACTGTGGTTGATAGTTTTCTTTTTAAGAAACTCATTTTTTTTATCGATTGGTAAGACTAGTGCTGGGGGGCCAGACAATTGCTCTGAGGCGCCGACATAGAGGGGGCATTTGCCACTTGTTAGGAATTAAAAAAAAATACAAAACGTATTAAAATAAATAATTTTATTCTATTAATAAAGGAACTGTATAAGAGAAATATGGAATGAAATAAAATTCAAATATTACATGAGATAAAATTGCTTCAGAAATAAATTACATTTTTTAGAGAAGGGGTATGACGTCATTGCCCGGGGGCGCCAAATGTTGAAGGGTGGCACTGGGTAAGACTAATATATATTTAATATATTAAATTGACAGAATATATA